GTAAAACTGGACTCTTCTCCTCCCCATTTATCCCACTGCTCTGCTCACTCTGCTTTTGGTCAGCCAATGGCACCTGCAGAGCCCGGCACAAGGGTACACCTTTCAGACAGGTCATGTGCAGCTGGGAAACCTCTGATACAGTGAATTATATTCTCTGTTGGTCATGGGCCTGTTTAAATGTTTTAAACTATAGCAGAGAAGAAACAACTTATTATCATTTCTGACTGTCAGATGCATTTAACTAATTGTCAAAGTGACCAAGTTATTTTGAAAATTTGACTTTGAGATTGAGATTTTAAGGTGTGATGCATTTAAAAAAAAATGCCTGTGCATTGTGGTCCATCAAATACTTTTCTCTGTGGATATGTTTTTGCTTTGTCTGGTATGTTTCACAGTATGGTATTAAACCTTTCTATCATCACTGAGACCAAACCAGGCCAAGTTACAGGTCAAATCTGTAGAGATGCAACCCCACTCACAGTCAGAATGCCTGTTTTTGTATGTATTTTTGATAGCTAAAACCACTTGTAATTGAATAAATGTAAGGTAGAGCTGTTTAATGTCATACTGTGAAATGTATGAAGCAGAGCAATGGCATTTCCATAGAAACAAAAAGGTGATGGAGTCCCATCTAAGAGGTTGCATGTTGTACCTTTAAAGAAAAAAGTAATTATAGTATGAATATTATTATTATTATTTTTCTTTTTTTACTTTTGGCTGATTTTCAAAGTTAATAGCAAAATATCTTTGTTTTGGTTTACAGCAAAGCCTCTTTTTACCAGTGTTATTGGACTCCAGCTGTTTGTGTTGCTCTGCACACTGACATGTTTTATCTCAGCTGGAACACATTTTCAACTAGAAGGAAGTCATCTAATAAGAGGGTGTAGTGCTGCTTGTCAGTGTGATGGCTCCTCTCTCAAAAAAAAAAACCCAAAACATTAATAAATAAATAACAAAAACAGTCTGGGCCTCTTACTCAGCTTCGTCATGCCATATCCCGGCATCCTGTGGGGCAAGATTTCTGCAGCCTGTGCACGCTCCAATGTGCTATAGTGCAATCAAAAACACCTGGCCTCCGGGCTTGGAATGGCCACAACATTACAGCATATAAACTAGTGCACTACTCCATACACAGGTCCCAGAACTGTTGGACTGAACAAGATTTCACTTTTTTTTTTACTGCTAAGTTGCCATTGTTGTAAGAAAAACTCCAGCTTTAAATTCAACTGTTCAGCCTTTTAGATATCATTTTCCAAACAAGCAGGAATTACAAAACTATCACTGAATCAGTATAAAACTGGAAAAAGAAATGAAGTGTCCTTGCACACTTTCACACCTGTGATGTAAAAATGGACTTGGCACCAACATTTTTTCAAAGGTCATGTTTGGTGATCCTCTAACTGAAGATTTGCAAGACATGGCTGCTGCCCAAACAGCTGAATTTATACTTCTGGTGCTTGTTAGCCTGGGATGCTCTCAAATCAAGGAGCATGATTTCACTTACATGCAGTAATGAAGATTATGATGTTGTTTTGGTCCACCCTGGTTCTGGACAGTTTTAGATTGATGTCACAAACAGCTCTCAAGCCAAGACATTTTACCTAAAAACGCTGGTACTGTGCTTGATTGCAACAAATGACATTATCCAGAGTTTTATGATCTTTGGACCAAGCAGAGTACAATACACTGAGATAATGAACTGTTTTTATTCTGCACGAAATCGGATAATGAAAAGGAAACCCCATATCTACCCATTACTTATGAATACACTATAGGCTTTTTTTTTCCAAATATAGGATACTTAAATGAGGTATACAAGTCTGGAAAGATTTAGACAAATGTGCATTGTTGTACTCCCAATGGGATCGGAGAATATAAATTTCCCTGCTCATTATAAGTGTGATTCCAAGTTGGTCTGTGGTTTGTGCTCCCCTCGTCCTCCCACCAGGCCCTGGCACTCCTGAGCATCCCCACAGAGACCATTTCCTCGCCATGATGAGCTTTTGACAGGCCCAAGAACAGACGTCCAATTCAGTGCCAGTTCAGACAGAAAGTGGCCAGGACGCTGGCAGCTTTTTGGCCTGTGCCACTTTGTTTCAGGCCTGAGCCCCCTATCGCCTCTTTATTTTCTCCACCCTGTTCTTTCATAATTGTTATGCAAAGGCTCTCAGTGGCTAATGTGGGAGTGCTTTGAGATGCACATGTGTCCAGATCATAATAGTACAATCTCCCGTCGAACTGAGGGATACAGGGGATAGATGGGAGGTCTGCATTGCAGAGCAAGCTGCAGCACCAGAGTGCAATCTCCAAATCCATGAGACAGGAAAGAGCAGCTGGGATTCTACAGAGTTAATAGTCAACTTTATTAGATCTGATGAAAGAAATACATTCTTTTACTGAGATCAAGAGTAAAACTGCTCTACTGCCATCCAGTGTTGCAGTCCCCACACTACTTAACTGTAAACAGTCTGTTAGAGATGAGTGTTTCCACAAGGATAACTCATTACAGAGATACCATGCCTTTTCCATTTGTGGTCACTTGTAAAGCTTTTACATTGTAAACATTGTCCCAATGAAAAGGAAACATACAAACTATGGTTTACATGGCTTACAAAATGACTGGAAAAAAGATAATTATGTGGTGGCAAAATAAGGCCTAAGCTGCATGTTTGATAAACTAAACCTGTACAATGTTAGTGCTTAACAAAATATAAAAAACACATGTTTGCTTTGTGGTAATGTCTGTGATTATTTGTTGATGAGTTTAAGAGTGCTGGAGGTAAGGTGGCCTTTTTAACGCTACAAGGTGAGAAAAATGCAAAAGACTGAAGTTTAGACTCAAGAGTTCTCATGTGTAAAAACAAACACTGTAATGTACCTGCTGAAGTCATCTCATGTTCACAAGCACAAAAAAGGAAGGAAGATGTGTATCAACAAAACATTTAATTCAACAAAAACAGACATCCTTGCTTGTTTTTAGGTAAATCTCAAGTGCATAATTGTTCATCTCAAAAGGGTATTCTGATAAAAATTTCTATTCTTACTATTCCAATAGTAAGAAGAACAATCTTTGGAGTCTGGCATTGTAAATCACAGACATGCCCTACAGTCAGAGCCAGCAGCAGACACCTCTATCTTAACTGTTTTTACTTGATAGGTTCCTTTACATTTCAGGGCAGACAGCTGCAAGTGTTGCAGCCACATTTCATGTCTTCTCAGGCAGCTATCACAGTGTGAGTGAGCTTGCTCTCACATATGAAGTTAATGTTGAGATAACAGAAAATTTGGCACAATCCTGTCAAAAAAGTATTTACACACACTACCCCTATGCACAAGCACTGGTCTGTTTCTCTTTCACTCTGTCACATTTGCATAAGAGGGATTTGAACCAATACTATATTAAGGTTATCATACCACGATTTTAAGTGGACAGCCAAATATGAAACTACAATGCAAACAGGAATGTAATGAAAAAAGTAAAACTCAAAAATAGATATAAATAAAACCAATTTAAACGTATTATCGCTCTTTAAACTAGTGAACCATTTAAAACATTGTGGCTCACCTGGTACTGAACACACAGTACTGACTCAGATTTGATTCCTGACTGTGGCAAATATACCCTTTGTATGACTTCTCAAGACTTCCTGGCAATCCACTGTTGTGATCAGATAAAGGTAACAATACGAAATACTATACATTTCACATAATGCATATATTGATTGAAGAGTCACTATATCAGTGTCCCACCTGCATCTGATTTGCTCAAAGCTGGTGATAAAATGACCACATAATCTGCACTTGTTTTGAGTGAGTAGGTGGAGGAGGAGAGCTGGTTTTAATTGGGATGAGGCGATATAAGCTGTAACCTTATCTGCGGAAAGCTGCTGTGCACTTCATTGTTTTTGAAAATTATGACAAAAACATCAGAGAGTGGAAAAGTATGACCTCAGGCAAAAGAGTTTGACAGACATAATCCAATCATACTGCTTTGGCCCAACTTGAGTTTAACGCCAGTCTATACATCATCATACTGTATGTCTAATTTAGAGCTGCCAGACTGCCCTTTGAAGGCAAATGTTTCACAATCACATTCAGGAAAAAAAGGATTTCAGGGACTTTATCTGCAAAAAAGACTGATAAATTTAAATTCTGAGTTCCTCGCAACCAAGCAACCTAGCAATGCTTCATGAGTCAAGACTATTGATAGCCCCCACCTGAAATAATCTACTATGTTAGAATGTGAAAAAAATGCCCTATAATTGATGACATTCTCCAAATATATACAAGCGAGGTAGACTGTAAAATTAACCCCAGAACAATGGGATTCTCTGGTGTATTCGTTATTGGACGTCATCATGGCTCTCTCTTCAGCCGATCTGATATACTGCAATCACACTTAAACATCTCCCTCCAATGCCTCAATAGCAATTATGAGAGGTTATCAAGGAGCATCTAGCAGCCAAGACTGACCATATGAACCCAGCGTCATTTCCCCCAAAATGTGCCCCATTGCTTTCCTCAATAAAGTACTCCTTTACCCCTACTTAAGTAAGCAGTGAAGCTGGTGGAGACCTGATGGAAACTGTTTGCAAAACTATGCTGAACAAAGCTGGCACTCTTTATCTTGAAGTGCATATTAGTGAAGTTGAGAAATGGTATTTGCCATGTTGCATTAGCCTGCTGCTGTCCCATCATCATCGCCTGCCGTTCCAAGCAACAACATGATCCAAATGCAGTCCAGATGTCAGAGTCATCAGGCTTCAATATTTCACTACCTAGACATTAATCTTATCACAGAATCCGGTGCGATAACATCTCACAAGATCATTTTTTACAAATAGTTTTCTCAGCTGACCATCACTCACTTGTAACTGAAAGCAATGCATGGTTCATAAAAAAATAAATAAATTATTATTTATGACCTTTATTCTGCAAATGAAACATGTTTTTGAAGTGGAGAGCAATGTAGAAAACACAATCAACTGGGATAATCTCACTTTCATTTTGAAGTTCAATTTATTTAAAATATAAATACCTCATTTGATGTTGCAAAGTCATAACTGATTTAAAAGTTAAAACATAAGAATCCTGACAGATGGCTTTATTTTTAAGAATTTCTGACAGAAGAAATAGTACATATGACTGATTCAATTGTTTCTATAAGCAGCTCCATGACATTGGCCATGCACCACTGAAATCCAGATACTGTAAAGTAGTCCAGTGATGCAAACTCAACTAACACAATGGGCCTCAGAAAGCCAGTGCCTGCTATGTTTAATAATGAGAAATATTCCTGTGATTAAATGCAGCATGTGGGCCTCACTCGGGCAGCAGGTATTATACTTCCTTAGGACAGAAACAACAGCCTGTAGCAGACTGACTGACAGTTAACTAAGCTACTTTTTTAACTTGCCATTCAGCCTCGTTCACACCAGGCAAAGACTCTTTTTCCTCTTTGAGAATTGCTTGTCCTTGGAGTGGAAATCCAGTTTGATGGGTTTTGATTGCGAGGTCCAAAGCCTGTTTATCTCGGGGCCAAGGTCAACTGGTTTCCCCAATTCTGGGCTCCCAGGATCAGTCCTCCTCTGAGGAGAGCTGGGCTCCATCATCATGAACCTCTCTGTAGGCAGCCATGGGGCCACTGTCAGGAGTGTAACTCCCCATAGAGAACTTCAATCCCTCAGACAGCTTCTGGGCTGCCAGCTTGGCCTGTAACTCCTGAAATTAAAACAACGTAAGGAGACATAACATGAATAGACTTGTAGGCAGAAAACAGAAAAGTCTAAAAAAGAAACACCACCATAAAGTACTGGTTAGACCATTCAAAATTACGCATACTTTAAGATTAGTCCAGTCCTCATTAAACAAGCCGTGCCAGTTCAAGAGGTAATCAAACACTGCCCTCTGCAGCTTCAATGCTGTTAGTACAACTATATTGTACTAACCACATTCTGCTTTTTGATTTGCTCATACAAGTGTGGACGGAAATCCTCAATTGTGTAGTGTTCTTCTGAACAAGTCTTATTAAAAAAAGTTCTGAGACAGATTTTTATCCTATAGCTTTAAGTATCTGCCGGTACCAGATATCAGCAGATATCAGTACAGACTGAATACAGCATTTATGTCCTTTAAACTCAAATAAAACAAAAAGTCAAACATTCTGAGACTTTCTGGGCCAAGTATGATCAGTAAATAGTGTTATACATCAATTAAATGACCAATCAGGATATCGACTGAATTGATATTTGGAAGCCAATATCCAGCAAATTTTCCAGGATCAGAACCTGCACTTGATCTGAGTGTGATATTATTATAAATTATAACTATTACTATTGACCTGTTGTTTCTTGGTCTGCTCTTTGATGAGGATAGCTGATTCTTCCAGTGACAACAGCTCAGCAGGACTGTGGTGCAGAGGAGGCAGTTTTGCAGCTGTAATGTCATCCAGATGTTTCCTGTCACGCTCCCTTCGTGATTGTGCTGAGAGAGAGGACGTTATGGAGGACTGATTGGGAGACGATGAAGCTGAAGGAGAAATGTCATCTTTGCTTGGCAGCCTGAAGGAGGCAACACAATTGTTACACAAAGAAGGAGTGAATATACTGGAAATTTTTTAAATAAAAATTAAACTCACTGATTAGTTTTGAATTTTAACTTTCTTGATAACTGAACATGTTCAGACTTTTCTATAACACTTAAATAGTGAGGCTTAGCTGGACTTTTAACAAAATAATTCTCCACTGATCTCCTGTCATGTTGTTTGGTGTCGCCACTTGAACCTTTGCCGAGTGTGACCCTCTCCATGGCCTCCACAAGTCCAGTCTCTGGAGCGTGGGTCTTCTCCATCGTCATCTCTGCTGATTTGCCAGAGGGTGAAAAAGGCTGCACTTGTGTTGAGTAGCCTCGTGAGGATGAGGTTTGAACCAGCCGTTGTTGCATAGTAAAAGCTTGTTCATATTTGGACTGAAACTCCATCCTGGCTTCAGATACAAGTCTTTGCTTTCTCTCTGCTTCTTCATGCTGTTTAAGTGCTTGCTGTATTTTCACTGCAAACTCCTTAATTTTTTCCCCTTTGTCCGTTAGTGTCTGTATAAGCCTTCTGCAAAAATACATAAACCAAAAACATTACATGGTTTTAAAGACTAGAAAATTCCAATGTCACATTTAGGCTTAGTTTTTTTGTTACTGTAAATTACGGTGCAATCAATAATTACAAAAAAGAAGTTTTGCTGTAGTTTCATTGGTAATTAGGTGTTAAGTAAATTATATAGTTAACCTACCTATTGGAAAGAATCTTCTCTTGTCGCAGCAGAAGCTCTTGAAGGACTTCTTTGCTGTGTTTTGTCAGGTCTCCCACTTGTCCCTGACGCTCGGTCCACGACATGTCCATCTACTAGTGACAGCTAACTCGTCTCCTCATTTCACAAACACACGTCAAATTCTCAACATTCACCACTACTTCCTTACTTTTACAACAATATTACACCCGATACATTAAACATAGTAACTTTAGAGCCTGATAAAAGTAATACTGAACGATTTATGTTTCAGAAAAAGCGTCAAAACACCTCCACCTTCCTCCATGATGCTCCAAAACACAGGGTGATTCTTCTTCATGAGAAGTCTGTTGCCCCTCTGCAGGCTTGAGGCTCCACTGCCCTCTACTGTTCATCAGGTAGACATTTCATGAGTGCCCCCTGCTGGACAAAACACCCTCGGTTTGAGGTGGTTGGTAATAATAAAATTGTGAAACGAGTGCATAATCAAGGAAAACTGTTAAGCACTCGGCCCATTCATGACTAACATGTGAGCCATTATAGTCACATTTTCTTTGTGTTTTGGCTATTTCTAAGCACCCTTTTTAAAATTTTTACTAAAATAAATGACATTTTATGCCTTATTTACTGTTGGAAAAACTGGGAAATCAGTGGTTATAAATCTGCTGGGAAAGGGGACACAGGACTCAAAACTAGGACTTTCCCGGGTAAATATGGATGTCTGGTCACCCTACACACATTAAAACTTATTTGAAGTGCAGGGCCAGACCGGTGTCAGTACACTGAGTAATCTACATTGGTGCATTTCACATAGCTTTGACAGAGCCCCTGAACCTTGGATAAGGCTTGGAACAGCAATTGCAGGTCTGTATTACAATGCCATGTGATGCTTTTGAGTGGCAGAATTACTTATGTTTCTTGTACAAAGTTCTGCCTATGAGCAGTCGGGCCAATTTAGCAGGAAGCTTGAAGGCCAAAAAAATAATAATTGTTTGGACACCCCGCTCTGCAAAGGCCAATTAAACTAAGATCTGTGTAGCCTATACGCACCAATCTACGATATTCAGTGACTTGAACAGGTAACTTGTAAAGCAATAGCCAAAATCAAAATGATCTAAACATTTACAGCATGTAAACCCAGTAACATTTCAAGTTAAGGATTTAATTTTAGAGCATATATTGACATATATATGAAAAAATGTAAACTGAGTATTTATTATCATCTTTATTTTCAAATGTAAGCTTGGTTTGAGTCTTCCTTTGTGATATGTAAAAAGGCACATAAAAGCAATTTCTATACAACACCATTGTGGCAGTAGTCATATGTAATAGTTACACCAATGGCTCAGGACTGGCAGTGACTCAGGACAGTAATTTTTTTGTCTTTAATGTTAATTTACTTATAGTGTGCTCTCCCTCCACCAATATAAAATATTATCATATCACAAAGAATCTTTAATATAAATATTGTCTTTTGTTGCATGATAATAATAAAAATACTGACTTTTTACAGAGCAAGTATAAAATATTTGGGGAATACACATTAGATGTATTAATATAGCTTCATCTGAATATGAGGATCAAGTGCCCATATGTTAAGTAAACAAATATGTATTCTCCAGACACTATTTACTACATGTGTATATTTACAGTGTAGAGCATGTTTATGGTGCTGTGTGCAAACAGGCTGAGCGAATGTCCAAAAGCTCCCCTCACTCAATGTTAATCTTTGCTGTCATCTCCATCAGCTTCATAAACGGTGTATAAACTCCATGTCTACTGGGCGACAATGAACCAGGCGCTGTTTCCCGGCAATTTGAGGAGTCCACTTCATCTCTACCAGTTTGTCTCGGGCTCACAGGACGGTCCCCTCCGGTAGAAAGTGGGTAAGTCAGTACCCCACTGGGCACTGAAGGGTTGGCCTCCAGGATGCGGCTGTATTGAACAGGAGTGTACTTAAGTAAGCTGTTTTCTAGACGGCTGGGGGGAGGGTTTTGGGGACTGAACGTCCTGGGTTGGGCTGGAGTTGTTAGATAGAGAGATGAATGAAGAAAGGATGTAGATGATTGAGATGGCACAGCAGATGAAGAATGGGTGGGAGAGACTGGGAGACTGGGGCTTAGCGGCGTGGAGAGTGGGGGAGACAATGGAGGTGACAATGGGGGAGACAGCAGGGGAGACAATGGGGGAGAGATGGATTGAATCGGTGAAAGTGGTTGACTTGATAACGATGCATTGAAAGGTGATGGATGATGATTAGGTAATGACGAGTGATGAGGATGAGATGGTTCAGATGGAGAAAATCTGTGTTTATTTGGCTCATCTCTGTAAGGGTACAGTTACATATTAGCACAGCAGCCTACAGAAGATCTACAGTCATGTCTATTATCTGTACCACTGTCTAAACGGATTAGATGGTACTTAAGTATTTTAATTATTAATTTAGTCAAGTTGGCTCCTCAAGAATTAAGTTACAACAACACTTATACCCATTCTGCATGCTAGGCCATCATTACTAGCCTGCTTTATTAGTTTTCTAATTTTTCTTACCTGGGGAGCAGATCACAGCCTACTCCAACATCCCTTGTATCCAAAGCCTCTCTTGGCCTATTCTGTGTGGACATAAAATACTTGAGCTTGTCTTCTAATTCATTATTCTAGGAAAAGGAAAACAGGAAACAAGCAATCAACTCAGATACATGCAAAAGAGCCTGGAGTTACATAGGTCACCCATAACAATGGCAGGCAATGGCACACAGAGTGGACAGTGCACAGCAGCCCAGGGATTCAGTGATCTGTGTCCATGCAAAGATATCCACCGCACACCCCGACTTTAACCAATAACAAAAATATCCACATATAGAAAGGCCTTACCTCACATTCCACGATCGCAATCCTGTCCAAAAGCTCCGAAATAAACATGTCTTTTTGGGCAACTTGAGCTCTTAGTGATTCAACCTGCAATCCAAAAAATAGCTTGTATTATGTGCACAGTTTAATAATGGAAACTTAAAACAAGAGTCAAAACAAGAAAGTCAAGACAGGTTCAGGTACTTCTCTAAAACCGGAAATTAGCTCCACCCCAGAACTGTTTACTGTCAAACAGCATTATGTCTAAAGGGCTTTGTATCGTCTACATGCTTCTGGCCTGACAATCCACACCTACTGTCAATAGAAACCTACATTTCTAGATTATCTCTTTAGTATAGATTCAATCACTTCACCTCTTCTATCATCCCTTTAACCTTTCTCTGCTGACAAAACACCATGTCATTTAAATGTTTGATTCTTTCTTTGAGGTCTGCAGCTTCACTCTCCAGTTGTTTGGACCTGAACAAGATAAATAAATAGAATTATAAGGTGTAAACTAATGCATATTTTGCTAAATAAAGTAGGAAAAACATACTTTTTGACTACATTTGAATCTGTGGTGTCAGACAACTCCAAAAAACGAATACGCTGTTCACATGTCTGTAGTTTCATTTGGAGTTGACTTTTTTCCTGCAAGCACAAATATAGTTATTTCACTCAAACAAATAGTGTATTTAAGTCTTTGTCTTGTCTTTGTTTAGACCTGGAGCAGTCTGTACAAAAACATATATCATTAACATTTTTAGTCCTTACATTTCCCATACAATTGAGAAGTCGCTCTACTTCCAGGATCCGCTGGTCTCTTTCTGCGATCTTGGCCTCTGCATTTTTGATGGTTTTCTCTGCTTCCTCAAGTCGTCTAATGTATTTGTCAAGTTGTGCCTGAAAATATATTTAAAAAAAAACTAAATTCAGCAGAAAATTCAGACGACAATACAAGCAATTGTTGTAATCATAACTTGCATTCCTTGTATTGTTTTTGGTATTGTTCATGGTTTCTACAAGAATAACAAGTACTACTTCTAGTTTATGAACAACAGAGTAAGTATGCAGACCTGTAGGTTTTCAATCTCCTCCCTGTGTTTGCGTTGTTCTGCGAGTAGTTTTTCCTCATACTCTCGCTGTAGTTTGGCTGAGAGCTCATGCAAGGCCCGAGTGCCTGCCTCCTGCGAAGACTCCACCTGAAGGCATCAAATCACACTGTTAAGTACTGTTCAATAAAAACTCAATTACTATTGAAAGAGGAAATAAACTGTATTTAAAATGTCACAGTTGCAGCTCACATCCCTAAGAAGGTTATATAGATTAAAAGTATATTATGGTAATCTCTCTGTGTAAACATGTCTTAATTTGTGCCAGTCCCAAAAATAAATTCATATGGTACAAATCTGTACATCTCTGGCAACATTGTTTGTGTAGCTATTACATAATAAAGATTTTGATTAAATGCATTTCCTTTTATCTAGTATATAATTTACATGATAAGTTGCTGGCTTTCTCTTCTGGGTACTGTTTTTTTTTTTAACCATCACTTGAGTATTCAGCACCTGTAGCCGCAGCGTCTGGTTTTCCGCTTGTGCTTGAGCCAACTCCCTCTCTTTGTCCTTCAGTTTCTCTTGGGTTTTTTCAAAGGTGCCTCTTAATGTTTTCACCTCCTCTCTCAGGTCCACCCTGTTTTGACAGTTTTCCAGCAGAGATTTCTAAAACACAGACAAACTTGTAAAACATTATTAAAACAGCATTACTTAGATTCTTAGGATATGGTACCTGTAGGCCAAGATTGGCTGATATAAGTGAGCTGTTCATTTGGTCAAAGCTGTCCATGGCTTCAGTCCGGACCCTCACCTCTGCCTCTAAGCTTCTGCTTCGGGAGTTGGCTGTCTGCAACATTCAGCATTATGTTACACATAATGACATAAGAATTTGTGAAAAAAAAAAAAAAAAGTCAATTTGCAATGTACCTTAATTTCTTGAGTAAGCTTCTGCATCGACTGCTGCATCCCTCCGAACTGGCTGTACATGCGTTCTCTCACCTTCTCCAGTGAATCTCTTACCTAAGCACACCACATAAACAGGTCAATAATAAACAATGAAATCCCATACATAACCACTGTTGATATCCAAGTTTGTCTCACCTCTCGTATGTATCTCATCTCGTTCTGGAGGTGACTGACGCTCCACTCCCGTGCCATCACTTCCTGTTGGCGGTCCGAGCCGGTCCTCTGCACCACGCCATACACTTTGGGCCCATGAGGCTGTAGGGAGAACTCGGGCACCCCATTGGCCCCGTCTGTGAGCTGCTGAGGGAGACAGGATCACAGTGCTCAAGTTTCTCTACACAACACTAACACTAGACTAGAATATTAAGCCTCCTGTATTCTCAATCTATTAGGGCACAAAAAGTTCAGTTATTATTGACAGTAAGGACAGTCATGCCTGCATATGTTCATTTGATATTTTGAGCACTTCTGCTGAGCTCGAGAAATGAGACGATGGGAACAGCGAAAAAAGTGCTCAGTAAATTGAAGGTGTCAAGTTTCTGCAACCCAGTACATGAGCTGCTAAAGTTTCTTGACATTGTGCATCTGACAACCAAACAGCAAATGAAAACTAATGTGCATCTCTTTGATCCATGGATATTATAATTAATATCAAGCTATAGTTATTCAAATATTTGAATGTAGCATTTACAGGACAGGATCCTAGAGTAGAGCTTCAGTTTCAATTGATGGCATTTGCCACAAGTTGCAAATGTTTTGTTTAAACCAATGAGCAAAGCACTTTTACTTGGCTCATTGGTTTAAACAAAACTTGTCACTAATTTGGTCCCTTTGAACCAAGATAAAATTTAAATAATCTTTGACATAATTTTTTGTTATTATCAGTAGTCAGAAAAAACACTGCTTCAAGCAAGCTATACTATATGTGCAAAAAGTACTTTAGCAAGAAATATAAAACAAATATTTAAAATGAATATAAAAAAAATAAATCTTTCCATTTTCTCATAATGTCATTGTTTGTCCATGATCATTTAAATGATATCCACTGATTTGCATATAAATTCCACAATGCACTATGCTTAACTTATATAGTTATGTTTACCTGCTGAGGAGACTCCCTGCCAGCCGGCCTCTCTCTATAGATCAGCCCATTCTTCTTCTTCCACGTCTCTTTTGCATCTTTGTTCTTCAGACTGTAGACACACAAATAACACTGACAAGACAAAACTTTTGAATTCATACATTTACCTTCAAAAAGTTAAATTACAAATGAATTTTTCTATCCACACTATCTATGTTGTATTAGTCCTCTGAAGGTCCCACCACAGCCGTGACATCTTGTAACCTCACTCTGAACATTTGCCAGAAAAAGGAGGTGTCTTTCTGCACATCTCTCACAGATAAGAGAGAGGAGGGCTTAACAAAGACATCACTGTAGTCTGTGCACAATGCAATGCCTAACATGTCTACACTAAGCATGCTGTTGAGAAATGGTGCAGGGTTGCTAAGAGGCCAACACAAATTCCTTCAGTTTAGGGTAGAGTCAGGTGGCTTCATTATTTTTTATGTCTCTGCAAGAACTATAGACATTATTTAAGACATGACACTGGACTCTCTATTCATTCGTCTTAAGATGAGATGGCTACTAACAGTTAGAAGAGCATTTGTCCACTGATGCGAAGGTTGGTGATTTGAATCCTGCTTTGGACATCAACATCATTAGTTGAATGATCAGATCCATTAACCCATAGGTTGACAGTATGATTCCAGCTCATGTGCTGTCATTGTGTCCTTGGGCAAGGCACTTAACCCACCTTGCCCCCAGTGTCTGTGTACACTGGCGTATGAATGGGTGTGTGAATGGGTGAATGGTTCCTTGATGTAAAGTGCTTTTAGTGCCTTGAGGGTGGAAGAGCACTATATAAAAATATGTCCATTTACAATTTACTCTCTAGTTTGTCTTTTTATTTTTGTTTTTACTATAGGTTTGACCTTCTTTATGACACCACATAAAACTACATAAGAGGCCCTGTCACATAATTATGTCAATGTCAAATATTTGACTCCCTTCTTCTCTCTCACATGACTGAGAACGCATGCTTGGATCGTTTAAGAAAATGTTAAAAGTATGCTTGAAGTGAGCGAGAGAAAAGCAGCTCATGTAGCTCATTGACCTCAATCATTCTCCCTGACAATGAAATCTAATGCTGTAGTTACACAAACATAAAAGACAGGCTGAGGTGCTGTGTCCTACGCCATCTGTGTCATGGTGCAGATGTATTACATCTCAACATCTTCTCAACTTGGCCGACTGGATCCTGGCCATCATGTGTTGTGTTTTAAAGCATGCCCTTTAAATTTGTGTTCTCAATTTCTTTAATGTTTAAACTATAACTCTGGCAAAGGATGTATGGATACATTAATTTCCTCCTTCTTGCTAAAATATCCTTAATTACCCAACAAAATTTGAAAAGCATTGTTAATTAAATTAACCACAGCATAATGAACCATCAAGCCATGAAACCAACATGAATGAAGACAAACTTGAAGTTTTGTGAAAGTCTCAGTTGCTTGTGACAAGAGCAGTGTCCCGGACGCACCAGCTGCACTGAGCTTGAGCTGCTTAATACTTCATGAACAGGATACAGATGGGAGAGTTATTAAATGGGTGAACTTTGTCTTCACTTATCAATTAGCACTGTGGTGCTTCACCACTACAGATTACCATACACAAATGTACAGGAGTTGTTCTATTTTTAAGATTACAGAACCAAATGTTATTTTCATAAGATATTTGAGGGAGATTTTATGTTGTTACACACTTATTTGTATCCTGAAACAAGTATGCATTTAATCATTGTACTTGCCATATACAGTATTGGCCATTCCTGTGGTGTGGTGTGGAATGTGTAGCATTGTGGTCACAACAGAAAAGACACAAAAACAAACATTACTATCAGAGGGACTTGCACAGTAAATTAGCTATTTTAGTTATAATCTGGTGTGCATCATCTCTGTTTTTTATTATCTTAATGTCTCTGTACATTACCCCTTCAAATAAAGACTAAACTAAACTTAACACATGTGAAAGACTCCAACTGTTGACCACATTGTCCCTGTCGCTGTTGCACTGTCCGGTCACACCCTCATAGAGATTAGCACTATCAATAGCCTGAACTGGGGAGTAGATCTTTGGCCAAGGTTCAGACATCAAGGCAGTCTGTTAGACTGTTGTTTTTTCCTTACTTACATTTTCAAACACAAACAAAGGTCAGGACCTCTGACAAAAGGAACTTCAATTATAAATTGGCCGCAGTGTATCAATGTTCGGGAACCTAGCGGTGTATTTATGTTGCACTATCACATTTATATTGTTTTGACTTTGTGTTGGTGTGGGTGGTTGGGGGGAAATGGGGGGGCTTTTTTGTATTTGTTGTGGTGTTGTGGTTGTTGCTTTATGTTTTTGTTTTTATGTTGAATATTGCAATTGTTAAACGTTGATGTTTGTTTTATTTTTTTTGAATGTTATGTTCTGCTGTCTTTAATAAAAAAAATAAATAAAAAAAAAAAAGGTCAGGACCTCAGCTTTCCACAGCAAACACACACGTGCATCCCACAGCAGTCAAATTTCACACAGGTCTAAAATGCATGATCATGTATTGAGAGTGTGTGAGTTTAATTTGGCACTCCAACTATGCACTGGCATTGATCAGTGTTTACAGAGGTATCACTCTTCTGGTTTTAAAACAAATAATCCAGTCAGGAGATAAAGGCTATATTATAGCTATTCAAGCCAGAAAGAATGAGTTTTTTTTATATAGTATGGAAGATATTTACAGTAGAGCAGAGTGGTCTGCTTTGAAGTAAATGAGAAACAGCTGTGTAGGCATTATCTCACATGCACACCCTGTCCAGATTGTAGCGTGTCCAGATTAATCTTTTCTATTTGTCCATTTTGAATTTGCTTTGCAGGATTTGTAGTTACTTTAAGGACCAGGGATTCTGTCATAAGCCCAAGTCCAAATAAATTATTTCAAACTATTTTTATTGCATCGAATAAAACAATAACAGCAAAATAACTTACCAGGTCTGCATTTTTCCCATTTTCTCCAGCATGGAGGGTTAACCTAAGCCGTCTGAACTTCCTCTGGAAAAGATATACAACAATTTAAAACATCTATAATATCTATAATACACCTTCAAACAACTATTATGTAAACTTGTATTATGTTGACTTTGTGTTTGTGTTCATAGTTAGTAGGTTAGCAGTTGCACATTTGAGTACATTGTTTAAAAGTTTAGTATCAGGGACACTTGTCTTTCCTCAACAACAAACAACATGAGTTACTATAAAGGCCATTTGGTACAAAGGACTGTTTTATCACAGAACAGTTCAAACAAACAAGAGCCTTGTGTGCTACACACACTGCCAGTGGAGTCAAAGCATGAATTCACAAATATACAACATAGGACTAATATTCAAATATGTCTACAATTATGACAGCTTGTAAAAGTGCTGTAGTGATACTGTCCACCAAGTGTAAGCCCACTCATTACAGTGCAGGCACAGTAACTTTTCATGCCTGTTGGTAAAAGAGACAGGGAGAATAATCTTTATCTGGGACGTCTTACCTCCGTCTCAGGAGAGTCCTCAGTTGTGGTGGTGGTGCTGGAAACAGATCGCCCTGATCCGTAGCGAAGCATGTCTCTTGTTGTGTCCACTCTTTGCTTCTCTTCCTTTGGCAAGGGGACCCTCCCACCCTTTCCTCTCCCCTCTCTCGCTCTCCTTCCTGAGTCAAGCCTTCAGAGCGGTCATTGGCCCCAAACTCCACAAGTCCAAGACAAGGGAAATTCCACTTTGTTTTCACTAGAGCTGCTGTCCACAGCTTCTCTCTCTTGATGAAATATGCCCTAAAGTTTAGAACAACGCATATGTCATTACTGAAGTCCGTCCTCATAAGAGCACCTGCCTGTCAGCCTGTCAGTCATACAGTGAATAGTTCCCATCAGACCTGTTCCACCACATTTCAGATGCCTCCCCTGTCAACCTGAAGCCCCAGCTGGGCGTAGCCTGTAGCTTGCCCCGGGACAGGTGCAGAGGCTCTCGACTGAGGGAGGGGCCAAGGGGCGGAGCCAACACCTCTGTCCTTTCAGGACTAGCAGGCTGTATGTTTACACTCAGTGTTACTGTCATTGGTCACTAAGCAATACTACATGAAGTCTAGAGTAGTACTTTATGATATTGGTTCATTGACAAAAGCAATAATGCCTATTGATAAAAAAAAAAGAACATGACTTGAGTTTCTTATGATATACAGTATTGTAATTACAACAATAAAACTGAAACAAATTATATTTCAGTATATTTTTACATTTGCTACTGTTTCTCAAATACTACATTAATTGAAACAGATGAACCATTTTTTTTTACCACAGAGGGGCAGCTGCAGCCCCATGACAAACACGTGCTACAGACTCCTGTGCATTATTGATACCTAGGCTAGGATATATGAGCGATTAAAGGAAGCCATTATTTTTTCATGGTATTGTTTCATGGTTTGTCTATTGACTGTAATGCACTGGTGCTGTTTACACTGTCCATACCAGCTCATCCCAACAAGGTCTTTAAGACACCGGTGCAGTCATCCTTAAAGCTAGAAAACTAAGATCAGATTCCTGATGAGAATGACCTGAAGTGAAATCCCTCCCTTTTTATAGAAACCGGACACTGATATAGCGCAGGAGGTTCTTACTCGCACTGTATCAAGTTCAGGGTCCAATTTTTCACTATTGAGTCCAGTTGTTTGCACATGTCAGTTTATATGAAAGAAATACTATTCAGAACAATATGAGAGGCATTTTACAGGTTCTACAGGTTAATAAGTAACTATATCCAAACAAATAGCTCTTTTCCTATGAAGAGGTCACTTATCTGGGCTCAGAAATTAGGTTCAAATGCATGTAGGCTAGTGTATCTCTTACTATGCAGATCAGATATTTCATGTTGTGTTGACACAGGATGGTTGATGCTGGTTGCCTTGTGTTGAAACCATCAACAACCCTTTGGTATCTATAGTGACCTGTGTTGTAAGAACTTTACTGACAGAAAGGCCCTATTGCAGCCGATGACAGACAAAGCTAACAATGCAGCATTGTATAATGATGCAAGCGGCAAAACCAAAACAAAAGCTTTATGTTTATTGAAATTTAAATTTGCATCGACATAGCTGATAACAACATATTATATAACAAATGATGTTATTTAATTAAGGTATTCCTAGCCTACTTACAAATCATCACATTGCTCTTGGCGCATAATTTAAAAGTTGTAAATAGGAAGTTTACTTTGGCAATTGATCTAAAACATAGACGTATGAATTAAAATAATTTAAACTTCTTTGAACATGAAGAAAAATGGGCCTCGGAGACATCATTATTTAACTAAATTGTGTGAAACGAATGGACTCTACGTGTTTTTATTCTGTGAATCATGTGTGATTTCCCTTATTTGCTTTGCTGTTTTCGGAGACTTGAGGCTTGTCTTATCGGCCGAGTGTCGGCCGAGTGATGAAACCCAGAAACCCACCTCCCCTCCCCCTTTCACCCTAATCACCCTTTCTCCTCTTGATTCAAAGTTTCATATTTACTGAAAACACCTAACAAAGAAGCACTGCACATAAAACATTGTATCCTATTTGTTGTTAATCTGTAAATAAGATGCATTTATCAATGTCCCCTACTATAATAACATGGACGATAATGAGAATTGATTACTGAAATTTAAAATTAGCCATGTTCTACAGTCTTGCTGCGGCTAGGGGGCAGCAAAGCACTACACTGGTCAATGAAACTAGCCATCCACTAGAGGAGGCAGGTCTTATTATTTTCATAGCAAAAAAAATATAAATGAAAATAGTTAGTTCACAAGATAAAGGTGGAAATACGTTCTGGTGTTTTGTAACTTCACTTCATAACTTTTGAAGAACGAAACTCAGCCAATCTTTTGACATGCGCAGTTGAGCTGAAGTCGAAGCGCAGTGGAATCTCAGGAATGGTCACCTTGTTACGCACGGACAAAGTTTCCAGCCCCTATTAGTTTACTGCTTGGCTTGACACATACGGCCTGGGCATTATACCGTGGCACTTTAAAGCCTGATTTGTTTCGAGCACAGAGAAAAGCTGCAAATGAAGGTCGTGCCCCGGTAACAATGGCCAACCTGCTTCATTGTGAAAATAAGAAAGCACCCTCTACAGCTCCCCTCCGTTTAAGACTTACAGCAAGATTATCATCAGCAAATACAGGCACCTCGGTCCACTTCACTTTTATCCTTTCTCATAGTATGTTTTTTGCAGAAATAAATGGGAATTCGTGCTCAGAATTAGGGCCAACTTGACTTTATATTGACACTGCAGTTTTGACCGGAGAGGAAATTTAATCTGGGCAAATATCATTTTTATCAAACATTTGACACAAACACGAACCCTGACAGGAATGTAGATATCTTTATTTTAGTTTGCACAAAATTTATGAAATCACAAAGCTATATACAGAGGTAGTGGCAAGAATTCACTCAGAAAAGAGTGCAAAACATGGACGAAAAATATGATTGTCATTTTCCCTCATAGTATAATATCCTCAAAACAATCAGTAGACCCAGTGAGGAAGGCCATATTTACAGAAACCACAAATATGTAAAATTTCACCATTATATTTTTAGTGTACGCCATAATGGCATTATTCCCAGATTGCATTTGATGTTGGCCTTGTAACAGCTAAAATGTAAAATAATTAAAATAAATCACAGAAATAAAAGTCAAAATTGTTTATGCAGCTAAATTCAAATATTGCATATTGATTGGAGAGTTAGCATGGTGTATAAAAATATATAAAATGAATGTGTACAAATCCATATCTCACTACTCATCCCGAAACATAAACCAAAATGTTTGAGGCTTTTGTAAAACCATGAATAAATAAATTCTTTCTTACTTCATATCATGAGAATTAAACTTCATTCTATAAAAACAATGTGGAATGCTTGTCATTTATAAAAGCAGATCATACACAATAATACATGTAATAAATGTTGCACATTTGATAGGTATAAAATCATGGGGCTAGTTACTTCATTTTGTTAAAAAGCAGAAAGGGCCTGTGTTGGTTTACAGTGCATTTAGAAGTGTTCAAGTTACTACAGCTAAAATAATCATTAACAGATAATGTGTAATCCATTCTTGAGAAAAATGAACAAAAACATGTGAAAACCAATATTCAATTTGAGATATACACATATTGTAAGAAGAAAGGTACAACATTTAAATCCAGTAATACTGAACAAATCAAATTTCATGAGCTTGATCCAGGATTATAACGTGTATATGAGATTTTCAACACGCTTATATTTCAACTTGTCCCTGAATTTTCTGATAGGCTTGCAGGTATAACATCAGCATGTTTTACACATCAAGCTGTTTGCCTAGTTTGTTATAGTCTATGGTTTGGTCCCATTTACATAGCAAATGTGGAGATGATGTTGTCCTGGCTGGAGGAGCGCTTGTACCCCGAGGTGGAGCTGAAGTATGTCTCTCCATCAGTGCTAATGTCATCATCGTCATCGTCGTCGTCTAGAGTGTTGAGGAGAGGTGCGGAGCTGCTCTTACGCCTGACAAACAAAAACACACACGCACACAAACACACACGTTTAAAGAGGACTCCACCACCACTCTATATTGCCTATGTAATCTGTGGTTACTCCTTACCTCATCTCGCTTCTTATGGCTTTCAGCTGGCTTTGGAGATGCTCGTTGGTCTCCTGTTGATCATCGAGCTCACGTTGCAGTTTCTTCTTACTGTTCTCCAGACGGTCAATCTCCTCCTCGGCCTCATCCATCTGACGCTTTAAGGCTTTGAGACGCAGGTTCAACTGGGAGAAAAATACAGGCAATGATTTTCACTTATTGTTAATTTAACTGTAAAGAAAATGTATTGATATATACCTGGTTCTTTTCATCTTGCAAAGTGTTTTGTTCCTCTTCAACTTGCATCACCATTTCTTTTACCTTCCTCTCCAGTCGCCGATTCACCAGCTGCAGGTTACCACGCTCCCTGAACATAGCAAGACATCATTATCATATTTGCATATTAGTTAATGGCTTCATTATCATACATTGTATTATATTCTTTTATTGCATTGACCAAAGAAATATACTAAATACTCACTGTTAGCTCAGTACGGTAATGCACTTGTTAATAATGATAATAATTACAGACATTAATTTAGTCACTTTTGCAAAAAATTAAAGATTTTTTAATGAGTTTACAAAACTTCTTAAGGATCTTGAGATTATACAGGTGCAACACAAGCAACAATCAAAGTACAACTATTAACTAATGTGAAATAGTTACATATTCAAACTTCAAGATATTTTGCTTCATTGCTTCATGTCATCTACCACTCATTAAACTACTGCATGTGCTCCTTTTTACACATTGTACTACATTTGTACATTGAATGACTATAGCCAGGGATGGACAATATATTGGTTCCAATAATTATTGATAAGATATTGAAAATGTAGCCCTTGGCACCAGTGCTCTGTGTGCCCATGTGTCATTCCCAGTTTGTTCCCAGAATGCATCAGATTTCTTTTATTTGGTTTATTTATTGTTTTTTTGTTATGTTTTCACTTTTGTAAAAAAAAAAAAAAAAAAAATTATGTAAACTTCATTATAACTTAAACATTTGTTGGTCTTGCAATGATTTTAAAAAAAATCTTTATATTGATATTGGCAAATATCAGTTATTGGGTATATTGGATATTAGCAAAATAAATATATTTGAAAAATCCATATCAGACTACCATATCCCTAACTGGGTTTCCATATGCTGTACTACCACTAAGGAGAAATTAAGATGACTGTAAGATGAAGTATAAGCAAATTAACTGCATATGTAAATTACACATAAAAGCAGACTGCACTTATTTTCTTATGTTCATGTTCGGGTCATGTTCACCTCACCTTTCCTCTGCTTCAAGTCGCTCCTCCAGTTCCTGAATGCGCCCCTCCAACTGGGATATCAGGCCCTCTTTGTTGGACTTCTGAGAGCTCTCTAAATGTGCAACTCTACTTTTAAGGTCCTTATTCTAAAACAGATAATGTATATGGTAAGAATATGATCAGAGTCAAGTATATACAGTATTTAGTAAATATGTAATAAACAGTGAGAAATGTGCATGATTGTCTAACACAGAAATGACAATGAAAGGACACAAGGATGAAATGAGTATTTGTGTGTGCACGGGGGATGCTGTGTAGTTGTTTAGCTTCAGACAGGAGAGTGTGTACCTGTCTCTCCAGAGCCATCTTGTCACACTCCAGGTCCTGTCTGCTGGCCCTCTCCTGCAGGAGTTCATTCCTCATCTGCTCCACCTGTCAAGTCGAGCCCAGACACTGTCATCTCCCTGCTCCCACACAGTCTGATGACAATTACAACAGAAACCACTGCAGCGCTCACCGTGTCTCACAGCTAAACAAAAGGGTTTAGTTTTGAGGCCCTGCTTAATTTGTGGCCATGATTTTCAGGTTTGGCAGCATTCCACATTTTGTTTTCAATGCTATAATCATACTTCAGTGACTCAAAATGGCACTGAAAAAAATCACTGCTCAGAACTGTACAAACTATTGAGAGGTTTGAAAATAAATGGAACTAAGACAATAGAATATTAACATTTACTTCACTGAACCTAGAGGGCAAACTGTTAAGCAAGTTCAAAGGAGAGGGGGATGAAAAGTAATCAATAAAGTGTTGAAGGTTCTTTCTTTGTAGAAGGAGCAGAGAATTGGTGATATTTTATGCCAATTAGTGTGTGACAGTGGGCTGCTCTGATGAACGATGGCCCCTATAACTTGTGCACCCAGCACAGTGCTTGAGGGAGCTGAATCAGCAGACTGGAACATACAGCGAAACTAATCTGCTTTGTGAGAGACGGCAGGAGAGGAGAAGGGAGATTACTCTCATTTAGACAGGAGAGGAGCACCTGGTGCCAGGAGAGGCGCAGGTGTTCCTTCTGCTGCCTGTGCTGCTGCCCCTCCGCCCCATAGCCATACACTCCCACCCCCCACCCCTCCCGCACATACACACTACAGCGAGTACAGCACAGAGCTCCAGCGTTGCCTAGACAACCGACCCCATGCTGAACCAATGCCACTTTGTCACAACGCCACTTTTTGCTCTCTGCCAGAAGTTCTGCAAAAGGGAAAGCGTTTTATGGGATTTTAATACTCAACTTCTTTCTACTGAGCCTCTACTTATGCCATTAGGGCACAGTTCAGAAAAATTGGCCACTGCGCTTGAATCAGACAAACTCCTCCAGTACAGGTTACATTAGAAACCAGAATAAACATGCAATGCGTCACTCTCTGTACTGTTCACTTACACTACAGTTCCTACAATTTGGCCTGCTTAAGTGAAAGTATGAAAACAAATGTCATTAGGTTTAAAATGAATCCAATTGTAACTGTAGAATAATCCCTGTATGTAGCATAATGTGTTTTATTCTTCAATAATAATGACAATTAAACAACCAAAAAAAAAAGCATCAGAACTCTATTGGTTCTTAGCTTGAAGTGAACTCAACAACCTGCACAGAGAAGAGTACTTGGCAGAGTACATTTTGGCTACAGTCATGCATTAAGAAGGATCTTCTGGATTGATGCATGAAAACTGGATGTGTTCTTGGACCATGCTGGGCCTCTGCCAGTCTGAATGATTATAAGAGATTATTTACAGAGCAATGATTTTGTCCATACAAGGAATGATCTAGAACTGGGGTGTAGATCGCACTCAACATCTCTTATGAATGAACATGATCACATGATTCTCATTTAGACATTAGGGCGTATGCATGATGTTAGAAGCTCTGAGCTAATTCACAGACAGAGACAGAACACAGACACTTGTATGACTGCGGAGTGGACACTAACACAGGTGAGAGTGGGAAATGAACACGTGTTGAGTTTGTACCTGTTCTCGTCCTCTGTCTATTCTGTCCATCAGGTGGTCTCCACTCTGACGCTCTTCATCCAGGTCCAACTCGAGCTGAGCCACTCTGTCCTGAAAATTACCTCCTATAAGATTTAGAAGCCCAACACAATGCCTTTTATGAAATTATATAACTTACCTCAAGCAGTTTTATCTGTCTGGTTGTTTCTTCTTTTGTGTGAACACGAGTTTCAGCCTCTGTTTCCAGATCATGAACCCTTTTCTCCAAAGTCTCCTTCCTGAGGATGGCTTCGTCCCGTTCTTTCTGACAGCGCCGCAGGTCTTCCTCTTTGTGAGACAACTACAAGCGACAATAACACGTCAGCTTTGATCTCAGTTAATATGAAAAATAATATATGGAGTCTAAAGATGAGTGAAGCCTTCAAAGTTATCACTGTTTGTTATTAAAATTCTAATGAAAAACAAAGAACCATTGATCTGTCTGGTGCTTAAAAGGATGTAATGCTTGTCCCTCGTGACTAATGAAGCCAGCGCAGCTAGTGTTTCCCCTGTTCATTCAGCAGAGGTGCCCTCACAGCTGGAAAACTGCCCCCACTGCTCGAAGCAAACATAAAATTTATCATGCGGCTTTTATTTCTAACAGACAACAAATATTTGGCCATTAGAGAAGAATTATTCCATATTTCATCAGATAAATACTTAGTACATAATTTGAGTGTTTTGGATAATGCACACATAAAGACACAGATAATAAGGTAAGGTAATAGCTGCATCTTTCTCAAAGCCAATTATAAATAAGGGTATCCTTGCTTAAAAAGCAATTAAATTATGTAAAGTGGGTATTTAAAAAGATACATTAATTTTACTTTATTTTGCCTAACATATAATTGTAATGAGGTCAGGCAATAAGTTTAGCAGATCTGCCAAGTCCTCTTGGGTGGAGGCTGGAAAAGTGGACTCACTGGGCCCAGTTGAGAGCAATCAGTTTCTTTGGAGGAGGAGGATGTGAATCCAGCCAGCACAGCTTTCACAACAATGATATCACATCACTGACATCCATGTCTTCCTGTGCACCAGCTGCACAGAGAAACATGGATCTGGGTACAAAGGGGAACAACCTGCACAATGACCCCGTTTGAAGAAGTTAAAAAAAAAAAAACAAAAAAACCCACACACAATCAAAACTTACTTTATAGCTGTATTCATCCATCTATAAACAGCAAAGTTGTGTTGGTAAAGCATGCCCCAAACTGAGAGTGTTTCTTATGAGCTTAAATTCATGCATTGTGGTGCTTTAAAAAGAACCCAGTGGAGATTTCATTATAAACAGTCGCTCTTTTGTTTCCTGGATTAAGGTCAAGTACATTCTATGAATCTTCAAGACCTTGAACACGCTGAATATATTTCCCAAAATATTAACACAGCAATTTCAAATCTGTATTGTGTAACTTTCAGATATCCATTTGGATAAAGCTACAGCTGACATTAATAAAACGCTTTTCATCCAATCCTTTTCATCTAAATCCTTTTTTTTCCCCATGAATAATAAAATTGTCTCTTAAAGTATGTTCTATAGGGTCTGATTTACTAAATAACCTCCTAACTCAAAGCCACTTCCTTTACACCGCATTATTGATAATTTATTCCAACATCCAAAAGCATTCCTAGCATACCAGGGCTGACAAGGATAGATTGTCAAAATAGTCAAAAGATGTTAGATTTTAACTGTAAAAAGGGGCTACAAATGAAAGGTGACCTCAAGATTCATGTAATATAAGACTTATTTCTATAACTTTGTTTCAATAACTTTCTGTTGCATTGAAAATGGCTACACTTTTGGGAGGGAGTGTGAATACCACAGTGATGACATCGCTGTTGGAGAGGGGAGTATGTGGGTGTGGGAGGGGTCAGAGTGAGTCAGAACAAAGCTTCATCATCTGCTGTTCTGCTCAGCCTGACTAATGATGGCCTTGATTTGACCACTCACACCAGGAAAGCACCGTCAGCACTCGAGATCATAGGACAGAAGGCACAGGCTTTGCTCACTGTACCTCCTCTTGTAGCGTTTTTGTAGTGAGAAGATATTTGTCCACTTCTTGGCCTCGCTCCTTCAATAGTCTCTGCAGCTCGGTCAGTTCACGTCGATTCTTTTCTTTGTAAATATCTATCTGCTCTTGTAGTTCACGGGTGGATGACTGTGAAGCCTCTACAATGTCATTCATCTACAAAAAACATAAAATTAAATTACATTATCTTCTCAAACATAGAAAACCCTATTTTGATGGTGTATAAGTTGTCACCTCTTTCTGAAGTTTTTCCACAGTTCTGTCCAGCAGTCTTCTCTCATCTTCAATGTCATTTTTCATGTTTTTAAACTGTTCCTTTTGGGTCCGCTCTTCTTGTAACCGCTCCTCTAGGTCCTTATGTTCAATGGTCACTTTTGTCAAGTTCCTCTATGAAAATACAATACAATACAATACAATATACATTTTACAACATATGGTAATGTACTTGGTGCCAATTTACCTGGACATCCTCTAGTCGAATGGTCAGCGCTCGATTCGCACGTGACATCTCTTCTTCTTGTTCTTTAATTTCAGCCAGCGACTCCTCCAGTTGTTTCTTTTCTCTCTGTAATACATTCATGTGTTATAAGGACATAATATAAACATAATATAAAATTTTATTGAACAATATTTTACTAAATATTAAAGTTCTGTGTTAATGAAAAGACTAATGAGTATCATTTATTATCAGCATCAATAATAATAATAATAATAATAATAATAATAATAACAATAACAACAATAACAACCACAACAACCACAATTTTCCATTTGGTTTCTTTATTGAATTGTATTTATATGGTAAAAATTTAAAAAGGAAATTTCTGGAGGAGGGTCTGGCGTGTACTTGTGATCATGGAGATGTTATTGCTTTGCCTGAAATGTTCCATTGTATGGTACATTAAACCCATCTAAAATGTATTCATATGTGTGTTTTTATTGATCAAAAATAAATTCATTTCTTCCAGACCGTAAATTTGAGCACTCATCACAATTACAGTGTAACGTATGTAACCTGCTCTCCCTCATGACAGGTGTAATCCATACAGTGGAACATTCTAGACAAACATTTCTGTGTAAAGAAACAGGTGGCAGGCCCTCCACTAGAAATGTTACACATGGACCTTTAACATTTGGCTTGGTCCTGATTTGCGTGCATGTTTATTGTAGTTCTGATGGTGCTGTCCAGCCCTGATCCATTACAGGTTTAGTTCTGGTTTAAGTTATACTTGAGTTTCACTTTTGATTTGGTATGAATGCAGTCTAAGTATTGAGAACAATTGGAAATGCTTAAAACTAAGTGCCAGTTTCTTTCGTCTTTTCAGATCTCACCTCAAGTCGTGCCACTCTGTCCGTGAGGCGGCTCTCCTGTAGCTTGGCGTCGTCGATGATTCTGTTGAGTTTGGCCACTTCGTTTTCCAGTTCCTGCGTCCGCCTGCGCAGTCTCTCGGCCTCCTGAGTCAGACGCCCCGCCTGGCCCTCTACGGCGCCCTTGGCCGCCTCCACTTCAGCCTTCTCCCGGACCACGGCTGCACTGCTCTGTGATCAAGAGAGGACATTGGACGAGAGAACAGAAAGCAGTGAGCAATAGGCAATAACAGCCAAAGTGAGCAAAATAATGAGACAAAAAACAAGTTTTCATACAGGGTGCATCTGTGATTGCTTTTCATGCATACTTCTAATAATTGAATCAACACAAAAACTAGTTTGTTCATGTTAATTGTCTCTCATCAATTTGGTTACATTTCAGAAGAATTGTTTAAAAACATGAGAAAGAAAAAAAACTATCTTATTTTATTCTCCTCCGGTGTCCGTTTTTCACAGATGATGTAGAAACAGGAACCCTTACTGCTGCAGTGTGTCTTATATACAATTAAGTGAGACAATACTTCCGAGTCAGCATGGGTGAATGATGATCAGGGATTTATTTTAATCATTTCAGGTGGAGTACAAACATGAGTCAAGTGGAGTGCAGACGGAAGCACGTGTGTGGATGTGTCAAAGACAAAGAGCAGGGCGGCTCTCCACAGATAACTGGTTTGTGTAGCGTTAACAGAAGTGTTGCAGAAGTTTAGATTGTTTGGCATGAAGCTGGAATGTCACTGAACAGGTTTGACAACCACTGTGATTCCCTAGGCTAAAAAGGTATGTTACCAACTATTTTTATTTTTACAAACTATAATTTAAAATGCATTAAGAGCAGTTTCTACAAGAAGAAGTACAACTAAAGCAGTCCTTCCTTTAATTTGGGAGTATGGCTGTGGTAGCAGATACTGTGAGATTAAAATAAAATGGTGACGTTGTCATGATCATGATGAGTGCACTGTCAAAGCAGACACACGCCCTAGTCTTTCTTAAAAAGCCTTAGATATTAGAAGGGTTGAACGAGCAACACAATAACACAAAAAAGACACTAGTTTTCAAATGTTGAATTGAGGTATTGCAATGCATTGGTCATTCACTAAAGGAAATGTCTGCTAAAAATCTCACCATATAACAATTCACATTCAAATATCAATCCACTACAATATCTGATAAGCTCAGTACTGTAGTATCTATCCGTATTACTCAATAGAAGGCATAGCTGTCATTGAACAAAAAGTTGTCTTCCAGCTTAAGTAAAAGCAAACCTGTCAGACCTGTTTGCTCTGTTACCAAAGAGGCACCCTCATCTATGCTTCAGTGAACATGGTTGCAATGCTGATGCTACATACAAAGCAAATACTATCAAAAACTGAGATCTGAACATATGTTCTAGCAGATATATAACTATATAATTATATAAGCTACACATAATCGTTACATGGTTTTGAGGCAAACTTATATACGTTAAATAGTAATGAAAGATCATTCACTAGTTAAACAAAAATGTGTTGGGTGTCATCAAGTTACAAAGTCCTGTTATGATTTTACTGGGGTGGAGGTGGGAGCAGAGCTTTCACTACAATAATAAGCTTTAATAGTGTGTGTTTTGTCAGTCAATGCTCCCCAAACACCACAGCTCAGTATACTTCTGCAGACTTGTCCCACTTCCCACACTAGGTCAAACAGAGAGACAGACGGTGAATATCTGTGAAGGGAAGCAGGTGGTGCTTGATATGTTTATGTTAGGGCACAGGCCATGCAGGACAGGTACACTATGGAAAATTACAAATCTCTTTTTCACTGAGCAATACAAAAAGTGTTGCTAATCAGTACCTTTAATTTTCAACACAGACAGACACACACAATGACTGTATAAGAAAAACTATTTAAAGAAGTGTTGGCATCTTTCTTTTGTCTACAGTGTTACATGTAGGGTCCTTTATATGTACCCAGGCTGTTTGGCTAACGTTGTACATTAACTAACTTTGAATGGTCTTTGAAGCTTGGTTGTAGATTTTAGTGAAATATTAGTCCTTTTTTTCTTCTCTTCATCTGCCTCAACATTAATTGTCTTCAAACAGTAACAGCAGAATCTCATCTGATACAATCTTTTACATATGAAACTAAGGGCTGGAATTTATTTGTATTTGTATTTATTTATTTTTTGAGTATCCTGATATTCAGACAATATCATGTCAATCCAATAGAAAAGTTGAGGTTTTTATGAATCAGGCAAATGTGAAATTATGTTAAAATAACCAATAAAAGTGCAGAAATATCACTAGTTTATACCCTTATTTGGACACTTACAACATATGTGTTTTTTATCCTAAAGCTCTTTTTGTATCATTTAAATTGGACAATGCTGCACTAAAATTTCAGTTATACACCAATCCCGTACCAACATGGAACCAGGATGCACTGTGAAACATGTGGCTTCCATCTGTAGCAGCTGCAGAAATATGCTGAGGCTTCAAAATAAGGAACAAAAACAGGCAAAAAAAAAAAAAATCCTAAATATATGGACAAAGGTATAACTACTTTAAAACCATTTTGCCTCACATCAAGAATAAATCCCAAGCAGAAGCAAAGACAACAGCTTCAGTATCAATAATAAAAAGACCAGAGGTGAAGCCAAACAGAGGACAGGTCACAAACTGAAAGAAAAAACTGAAGGACAAATTAAAAGGTGACAGTAAAGAAGCTTTGGCATCTCTTTGGTCTCAGAAAAAATAATTAAATCTTGTCATCTGATAATTGAAAGTCAACCCCATCTCTTTAAAAGAGGTCTCTGTGCACAGGTCCAGCTGAAAATATCTGGTTCAGACAAAATACCTTTCTAAGAAACTGTAGACCTGCATCCAGTACAGTTTAAAGAGTCTAGAATTTCCAGTGGGTGATAAAGCCTTTGCTTATTTGAGATACATTTGATTAGCAAACAACTTATACATAGTTGAAGAGAAAAACTATTACATTTGGGCAGACAAATTCAAAACACACAAGTCTAAAAATGGCAAGTGATGAACATAAAAAGAAAAAAATGCTTTGAAGGCCACCTAACATTTTCGGGGTCATCGCACTAGGAGGTGTATTTTCCTTAACTCCTCCAATATGTTTTTGCAGAAAAGTTCCCTACAACTCAGTGAACTAAAGGAACAATAAACAACAATCCACACCTTAAATTCACACAGACTGTACTCATAAAAGCAATCATTTTTAACTGCACCCAACATTCAATTATACAAGTCTTTGTCTGTTTCAATGTTCAAAAATACACAAAATGACAAAATAGCCAAAAGAAATGAAAACAAACAAGGAGAGAGCAGTCACTTGTAACTTAAAATGTTGTGGTTCATGCCCTTTCCAATGAGCTACGTAACCCTACCACTAAAATTGATACAGTAAACAATTTATCTATAAGGCACTTTTCATTATCAACATTTTCTACTTTGCACAAAATCTTAAGCCCAAAATGTAAGGCCATCATAATATTCTTAGTAGAGGAGTGTGAACTGCTAATTCTGAATTGCTCTATGTGCGGATCTAGAAAACCCATTTTCCTCTTAACCACTGCTACCCGCTAAATCAGCTCCTAAAGCCATGCCAGGAAATACTCGCTATCATCAAACACACAGACTGGTGCGGGAGTCTTTCCTTTCAAAAACATGCCTAAGGGGAACTCTTCTCCAGGCGACGCAAGTTTGACGATCAGAAACCAAGACTTCAACTAAGAGAGATGACTTAAGTGAGAGCTGGAGATAGGGTGAACGGCGCAGGCCTGAAAAATTAACTGCATTTAGGTGAGCGCAGGATCACTGCAGTCTCATAGGGAGCCATGGAGTTGGAAATTTTAAAAAATGCAGCATTAAGGATTGAGATTACAGATGAGAGCTTGATAACAGTTCATTTAAGTTACGTACTGAGGAAAAAAGGTAGAAGTAAAACTAAACATGGCCATGGAAATAGTGATAAGCCAGTCATAAGTCATCGTATGAAGGAGGCCTATTAATATTAACTGACAGTGAGTGCCTAGTGTGCTCTTAGGACACAGATGCAACTGGAGCAGGGAGAGAAGAAAAAAGGTGGAGCCAATAGCACCCCAGCCAAGTTTGAGAGGAAAAGTAGCAGGGTGCACATTCCCACCCTGACCCCCAACATTCCAGGAACAAACACTTACCTTTGCAAAGTAAAAGTCCTTTGGTTTCACATTTTAGCATCAGATAATCTGGGACAAAATATATGTAGTCTTTCATTTCTCAAACACACAAGATTTCATCAAGTTATACGCAAATAATGAATCTTGTAAGATATGATAAACAAATAGGGAAAGAATACAGATTCTGCTCTACAGGACAACACAATGCAGCCCTAATTTTGAGACAGCACAAAGACCCCGCTCTTTTTTGGGGTCAGCAGCACATCCCCTTTTGTACAACATACTGACCTACTTATTGAGCATGTCCCTACCCCCGCTGCTATTATTGTGTGAAACAAACTCATCATTCATTGCTGACGAGGACGCACATTTACCCCCGTGCTCCGAGGCCGTCCAGAGAAGAGGGACATGATGCAGCCCAGAACCAGCAGCTCATTAGATTAGTGATGGTTTGCCACTGCAATTAACTAGAATACAGAGCAATTTAGTGCTCCAGTTTCCAAGCATTCTTCTCTGCATGAGCCACTTGGGTCCCAGAAAACATTTGGGCCACACAAAAGGGGAAGCAGGGCAAAGCAGGAAAATAAAAAAATCATGCACAGTTTTGCCTTAAATGTTTTTCTTTCTTCAATACATAGCAGAAAATGCGTTTATACCTGGGCTACAAAAAGGCTATCCGGGAGTTTTATAATGTTAACTTGGAGGACAAGCCACATGCTGGGCACTTTCTGGAAGTTAAAAACGATAAGAAAGAAAAAAGTCTTCCTTTTAAAGAAACAATGACTTCATCATGCCATTTGTTTACAACGCACTGATGACATGGTCCCCAGAGAGAGCAATGCGTCTGGTGGACAATAACTAACATCGTTACTACAGTGGATCCTGCAGCTTATCAGGAAGCTCTGAACAAGGACAACTACAGTCTGAGAGAATAACAGGACACACGTGAAGCGCATAGGCGCTAACAATGCATCTTTAGCCCTCTTCCTCTGCTCCACATCAGTCAGTCACCATGCTTTGGCTTAGAAAGCAGAGGAATTCATCTGTTTGGTTTTAAATATCACACAAAGGCAACTGAATTGGAAACCTCTTTGTCACCGTTAATTGTGGTGTTTTAACTGCAGAGCAGACACTGAGTTGTTTTTGCTAGCCCGCATTCCCTCAATAAGCTACAAATGTGGGGTTGATAATTAAGATATCATGTCATACAAAAAGAAGGCTTTTCAAGACACTTTCCCCTATAAAATAATGAAAATTACATATAAAAGAAACCCATTGTGACTGTTAGTTAATGTCTTTCAAAAAGCTATATGAAAAGATTACAAAATGGTAGGTATTTTTACCACATTGGTGTACAAAGGGATATAATTAGTTGATTGTTTCAGGCGTATAAGCATATTTCTTTGAACACACAATACTGCAGCTGTAAAACTAGTGAAAGGAGAATAAATAACAACTTCAAAGCAGGGCCTTAACCTTTAAACTCCAACATATATCTGCCCTTGCGATGCAAAACTCACATGCACACGCAGTGCTCCCCTGATGTGACGCTTATCTTTGCTTCTCTTTGGCCAGTGTGTTTCGGGATGAGGGGGAGGGTTGAAAAGTAGGAGTGAACACAGAGGCAGACCAAGGGGAGCCTGATTACCTGCTTGGCCTCCTCCAAAGTGGCCTGCAGTCTGCTTATCTCCTGTTCGTACTGTTCCCTCATCTTGTCCACCTCCTGATCGTGAGCAGACACCTCCTCCTTCAAGGCGCCTTTCAGAGCAGTCAGCTCACGCTCCCGTCGGTGCAACAGCTCTTCCTGGTCCTCCTTAGCCAACAAAGTCTGCTGTAACTCAGCCCTCAACTGCATCAAGTCCTACATAAATAACACACATTTATTTACATAACTGATTACAGCATACCTACATGTTTTCAGTGACTAGTATACACTAGAACTAGAAAATCCCTAACAAGTTTGGAGCAGGTAATATAAACTAAAATAAATGATTTTACCTGTTAAAATGTTACCGGTTGAGACATCCCTAATTCCTTATCCTAACCTAAATATGCATGTGACATAGCTCTGGTCTTCTCTATACTTTGACCACTTTAAGACTAAACTAAATGCCATCTATACTAAAGTAATCCTATATGTATGTTGTATGTAGGTATCGTATATTATGCTTTACCGTCATCAGTGCGTGTCTCTCGCCATCAGCAGCTGACTTCTTTGCCGTGTCGAGCTCATCGTGCATCTCTGACAGCTGGTCCTGCAAGTCTCGGATCTCGGTCTGGTACTGTTCACGCTCCATCTTCACCTGGAAGAGCCTGACAGGCCACAATACACTTTTACACAACTGAACAAGCCTTCTGCTCATAGAGAACACACAGGTGCATTTCAATTCACACATGCTGCTCCTCACACCTGGGCTGGCTCATTCATGGCCCACAGCCCACAGGGGTCCAGCCATTGCATGAGCTCTGACTTTAATACAGTAAGTGCCTTCACAGAGCAACAGTAAGAGGAGGGTGATAAGTGATGTGAGGCTCCCTACACAGACCACCAACAAGGCTCTGTCACACTGTAGGAATGGAGTAGTGCATGACATTGGGAGGCCATGAAAATAAGGCTGGGTGATATTGACTCTCTTTTTGCTGTCATTTAAAAAAGTTTTAACTATAGACAATATATTCTATATTCAAATGTTTTCCTTTAAAACAAAAATTGCAATATTATTAATATGTCCTTCTAGCAAAAAGCGTTAGATTGTGCGAAAACTGGCAGCAAATACATTTCAAAGCTGCTAACTGGTGCCATGATACTGAGTAGAGTAATGGCAAGCTTATGGGATTACATGCTTATGTTAAGTCTCAAGAAAATACAACCAAGCAAACCAAATGAGGGAATAGAGAATTACAGAAATCACTGGTAGCACTCACTCTTCGACTGTGGTCTGGAGCTCTGTTTCTGCTTTGGCCAGTTTCTCTTTAAGACGTTTGCATTCCTCTTCACTCTTCTGTTGCTCAAGCTGAAGGTCCTTCAGACTTGATGTTAATCGTCTCTCAGACTGTTTCTTCTATAGGCAAAAATATACGCAAATGCATTGGGGGTTGGAAAAAATAAAAACTTACGTGGTTCGATGTAAACATGCATTGTGCATTTCTTGGTTTACCATCGTTTGTTCTTCCAGTTGATTTCTGAGTTTGGACACTTCTTTTTCCAGCTCAGCATTCTGTCCTTGTAAGGCTCGGGTTTGTGCAGTAATTTCTACAGTCTGGGAAAACCATTAGATATGTTGGTTAGTTTTATTCCTTACAAAATATCCAAGAAATCAGCAATTACAACACTAGTATGAATTACAAGTACATGATAATTAACAAATTTAAAATTTTCCTGTAATAAATATTCAAACTGACAAGCAGAGTAAACAGTCTAGTAGTTGTTGCCAAAGAGTGGGCTGTGCGGGGAAAAAAAACAAAAAATCTTGTGTTGACTGGAAATTTCTACTTTCTACAAAATGTCCCTTTAAACCTCAGATTTTTCATTTCGACTGACCTTCAAAATTTTATAAAAGGAGTTACAGAAATATAACAATGACTCACATTGTTGTCGCCTTGAGCACTGGCTGTAGCCCTGGATTTCAATGTTTGAATCTTCTCAAAGACGAGGTTGACCTTCCTCTTAGTCGTTTCATCATTATCGTTGCTTCTGTGGACATATAAATACAATATAATTTCAATTTAATACAACTTATAGTTTTAAATGGAATTGCAAGAGTTAAGTTGAGTTAATGCAATCCAAGCTCAGACTGCTTTGATGTGTCACCTCAAAGAAAGATCAGCTTCATTGCACAAGAGGAACATACTGTAAGGACAAACACTCTGGGCATTGCAAATCGACCGCAAAGTAATGATAAAAATGTGATATAAATGCATGACTGAACTGCTATTTCTGTAGGAACAGTAGTCTAAACTCTGACCTTTACGTTAGATTTTTTAATTTTTTTTCAGCAGTCATTTCAAACAAGATTTGGATTTTCTCATCACACAGAAGGGCGCAAAAACCCACAGTAAACGTGAAAATGTTATTTGCAATAACCACAAAAGCCATATATTATGTCAATAATGCAGCTCACACCCCCACTCTTTGCTCTCCGCTTGTGCAGATGATTTTCATTAAATCTCTGTAATGGTTCCTGGTGAATGTTTATCTTCTGAGCTTTGGGAATGTGGCTCAGTTTCAGCCTCAGCACTTCCATCTGTGTTTCCTTTGCTTTGTCCTGTGACTCCTGACCTGTAGCAGGACACACCCAAATACTTCCTGTCCCCCTCTCCAGTAGTCCAGAGTCTACTACAAATACACACCATCACTGTTAACATGCATTAACATTAACTCAAAATCATGCAGATTTTTTACTCAGTGATAAGATCGCCCAAAGGGTAGTGGTCCTACTTTTACTTTTTTAAACAGTAAATAAACAGAATGAGCATCCCCATTTCAGAATTTCAAAGAAAGAAATTTATCCAGAAATCCAGCGCTGCACAGCTGGACCATTTGGCGCCTGATGAGAGGGTAAGAGGTGCACATTCCTTCATGTTTATCACAAGCCCAAGTCTGATAAAAATGTGTGGATTAAAGCTCCACATCATGCATGGTAGTAACATTGAAGTAATGTTAGTCGTACAAGTACATAGTGTTAGAATCCTGTTACACTGCAGTTCAACTCCCATACACTTTCAATGTATATTTTCAATGAAGTCTTGATAACTCACCCATCTTTGAGGTAATTAAAGAGGATTTGTTTAGCAGTCTCATCATGTGTTTGTTGTGATAGCTCTTGTTGACCTTTCAAAAGATCAGGTGTCACCTAGAAATGAAAAGAGAAAGTCAGAAATGTAGAAGCTTACATTTTGATTATCAGCATTTAACTTTTTAAAATATTTTTATTACTCACATGAACATCAGTCTCTGAGCTCATCTTCTTGTTTGCTGTTACAGACGATTTAGACAGTGAAGTTGTCAAAGTAGCCAAAGAAATCTTGGGAGAGGAGGAGGATCCCCCTTCACTCTTAAGAGTGTATGAGGTACGCGTTTGTGGGTTTCTGTATCCCTGGATGGAGCTCACATTTTTGGAGACAGTGCTTTGGGGGGATCCTGGTTCACTGGTTGTTCGAGATGAAGGCCTGGAGTCCGTTTTACAATCGACATTGGTGATCCATGAGTCCTGACCACTCACAGACTTCCTCAGCTGAGACGGTCTGAGGACATGCTCCATGGAAGTACCCCTGTTGTAGCTGGAGCCATCACGTAAACCATAGGCGCTGTCCACACTGCGGGAACGTTTGCGGTCCTCTGGGTTGATCCTGTTCCTGCGTCCGGCCCGACCTCTCCTTTGCTGGCTGCTGTCAAACTTTTCAATCAGCTCATCAACTCCAGGGATGGAGCCTGTATCAATGTCTCTACCTGAACCAGGGAGGAAAGGGATGTAACGCCGGTTTTGATGTCGATTGATGGCGTCAGTAAATAAGGGGTCTAGCTCATCTAAATGTGTTTTGGAGGTGTTTGTGGAGGATGAGGAGGAGTGGCGGGAGCGTGAAGTCTGAAGAACAGGTCCACTGGAGTCTGTTCGCCTCAAAGGGAGGACATCTGGTTCATAATGGGTGTGGTCTAGACTGGCATTGGCACTGCTCACTGCTGAAGGCTGGGACAAGGCCTGAGGGGCATTGAGGTTTGTGCTGCGTGGTTTGGACTGTGGCTGGGCGACCTGCGGTTGTGCCATCTTAGAGGAGGGCAGAGGCTGACGTTTAGCAGCCGCTGAATCAATGGAGGTGGGAGGCTGTGGAGACTGAATATGATCCAGACTGGAAGACCTGGATTGGGACAAACTGTGGACTGAAGATTTGGAGGAAGAATTTTGAGACATAGGTCTGGACGGTAAACTGTGGAAATTTAGGGAGTTGGTTTCCGGATCATATGGTTGTAATATCTCAGGGTGTTTTTGAAAGTTCAAAAGGGTGGAAGATTTTTTTCCCTGTGAATCTAAGAGGCCGTTATGAAGACCTGAATGTTGCATCATCATCTGAGCTCTATACTCCCCAAAGGGACTGTTTGAGCCAGCCTCTGTGCTGCCTCTGAAATCATACTCATGATAGTTCTCAATGAAAGAGCCTTCTGTGTCAACAAATCCATTGCTGTTAGGATCAATGTAAGGAGGCGGACCCCTGTCCTGGTTGTTTAACACTACATAGGGGTGTCCATCAATACCTTGGACACGAATGCTGAGCCCATAGCTACCAGTCTCATTACTGTTTGTCCTGGAGGAGCGCGCAGGCTGAGTGTAGACCCGCTGTGGGCCAGTGTTGGGAATGCTCGTCACTCTGTATGACTCCATGGGGAATGCAGGTGGACAATTATCCCTGTCCTTGGATCAGGAGGCTCTCTTCTGTAAGCAAAGATTTACAGAGGATGAGAGTAAGGAACGAACTCTGCAATAACAAGAGATATTTCTTCACTTAATATTTAATAAAGCATTAGGCACGCCCAACATCTAACCATGCCAATTTAGTAAGCACAAAGCCACATAAAGAAAAAGAAAACAAAAACTTAGAACCAGCTGTATATATAAGTGTTGCACTCAGATATTAATGCAAATATGATCAGGCCATGTTTAAAGAGGCCTTTAAGGTGTGTGACTAACAGTTATGGTTTTACAAAGTGAATGTTTACAGTGCGCCACAAAAGATGTGGGTTAAACTGATCTAGGAAAAGCACTGACAGAATGAAAACAACTTCAAGGTGAGTTATAAAGATCAGGGAAATGTTTTACAGTTATGTCCTCACAGTACAAACACAAACATTATCCAGTCATAAATGCAGTAAGTTTATCCCTGATTTTAACAATAAAGATTACAGCGTCAACAATTTGTCAGATTTACAACAGAGGAGAATGCTTTGGCAATAAATATCTGTCTATGTACTAAAATTGAACTAGGCTGTTAACAGTTTAATGCCCGAGCAGCAGCCTGGAAAACAAAGCTGTGTACAGAATGGTTCAGTTCTGTGGACAATGAGCTTTGAACAGGTTCCTGTTTGTCTTGGTGACACCATCCCATTCAACCTGGTGCTATAAGACAATGGCAAACGGAGATAGGCCCAAATGAGGGACACTGATAACATTGGCACAACAAAGGCTTGGGCAGGATGTGCTGTATCACATTCACAAGAAGCAGAGACACATATTATCAGATCAGACAGCAGTGTGGGACTGTAGAAACAGGAGTAGCTGCTGGTACAACTCATATTATAAGATATTTGTCCATTTTATAACTATGCTGCAAAGCTATAGTCATCTCATGACAGTCAGATTCCATACAGCGTATGGGTGTTTTATTCATTTGAAAGATAACTGGCAGATAGAACAGATTCTAAAAGTCAACTAACAATTATAATACAAATCATCTACCAAGAATAACTTGTTCAGTTATCTAACTCCACTTATTTTTGTTTGGGGTCTGATCTTTGGTAATGGACGGGCTGGGTCCACCCTGCTATTGAGCCAACGATCTCCTATTGAGTGGAAACATCACACAAGCCACCATATACCAAACATTCTTTTTTATATCAAATATGTAATTTTGTTTCATAAGATTTAAAAGAATGTGTACGTTAGGAACTGAATTACACAACAACAGTGAAAAGTGAAGGACCTTTCCCACTTCACTAGCACAACCTTTCATGTAACTTGGGTGGCCAGTGCTTTAGATGAGGCTAAAAAGCTTTAAGCCCAATAATAATGGTGACTGCAGCAGTGATCTGTGAGAATTAGTCAGCTTTAGAGACTTTGGCCAGAGAAGAAGGCATGAATGAATGAGCACAACTGGAGTGTTCTGAGTGGACTAGGTAATGCCAAAGTCCCATCAAAAGACTCTTTCATGGTCCTGTCACAAATAACTAGTGACACATGATGACTCAGGCTGTCTAGTTTTACTCAGCTTCACCTCTTATTGTATTTTACAACCATTTCAGCTCCAATATCCCCCCTTATAGATGCTGCCTTAACTGACCTCTCAGCTGTGGAGAAGAGGTTAGGGCCTGGCCCTAGCTGAGAAGTGACAAATGGTTTATTAAACTAGATGGGGCCTCCCCTGTTTGACTGTGGTGCTTTTGTATCACATGACCCCAGGGAGAAATTAGTGAAGTCTGGCAAAGGTGAAAAGCGAGAAAACGATTTGCCCAGTAACAGCACTGTGGGAAAATTATTGTAGACTATTGTTACGCAATTGGCGCCCTTATATGCAGGCAGAAACAGGTGCGTGGTACACAAGGAATACAAAATAGAAAGACGTGTTTTTAGTAATTGTGTACTGAAAAAGACAGATCTGCAATAAACTAATCAAGGCACGTACTTGGTTGGGTCGACGCACTTCGCAATAAAGTTTGTCATCCCAGAGCAACAGGTGTCTACTGTAAACTAGATTTACGCGGGGCCATTTACTACTCAAGTACTCAAACATTAATATTATTCCATATATTGTTCCTCCCTGACACTTTCTGCGAGATTTCTGGAGTTTTCTATCTTTTTTATCCCAAGACTGTGGATGATTAGCGATTGCGAAGCGTCTACAATAAAGAACTTGTACTCACCAGCGCCGCTCTTTTATGTTGTTCACTGTTCGGATTTTTATAGTTGTTCTGGGACGATTTTAAATGATATGCCACTGAAATATAGCTCCACGCCACACTTTGCTAACTTATTCAGTACTATGTTGTTTTGTGAAACTGACTGGGACAGCTTCAGAAAGACATCCGTCCGTCCCTCCGGCCCGCTCCGCCTACCCAAGCGAGCACACCCGCCTAAAATGCCCTCCCACCGGCTCCAAAACAGCGCGCGGGTCCCTTGCTCTACGGTTCGGCCAGATAACACCTAATTGACCTATGCAGTGCACTGTAGCCCCCTTCTCACCAGTTTAGGACAACTGTATTACTTTATCAAATAACAGGTTCAGTCCAACTTCATCAACAGTTTTTGACTTACTTTTCACCAGTAGGTTACACGCAGATGGAAGACAAAAGTGTATATAGACCATGTTATTATTATAATTGCACACGTTTGGCATGTAGGAACCGGTTAAACTACAGACTTCCAGCCCCAAACTGTTAAATGTAACTAGGGCCTCTTGCACATTGCCCTTACAATGGATCCAGTTCACAGTCGCATGTTAAAATACGACAGCGTCATCTAGTGGAAAGTGAGATGATCTGATTGCAGGTTATGTGGAGTGCAATTATGGGTTATTAATATTTGACTGAAATCACATAATGACAACACCCCCTATTTAAGGCATGTGAACTTATGTTACCGGCATTTAGCCTTCACAATCAAAATGTATTTACAGATTTCAAGCAGGACAGGAGGCTTTCTGACCTTAGTTGTAAATATAGATAGTTGGCATGTTGTATTACACTGTGTGCCACATGAAAGCATTGCAATATCAAAGTATAAAAATGCCTGTAATCTTTGTCATCTATGAAATGTGCAGGAAAGGCTTCACTATAGACCGCAGGCTGCCCCCCCTTTATGTTTTAGTGTTTGTGTTCAGTGAGACTGCACAGCCTTTAATCTAAGTTCAGTACCACTGTGTTGAGTTACAGACACACAATAAAAGCTCTGTTCTCAGCCGAGGTGCCACAGCTGGGACCTCTGGGCATGCTCAGTTCGTGCTTTCTTCTCCTGATTAGCACCAACTCCAGCCTTCCAGCAGCAACTCTCCCAAATTGTAATTTAACAGAAATTCCCGAGTGGTGCACATGCTTAGCTCCACCTCCTCTGATTTAATATTTTCTATAGCTGTGCTTTTTTCTTGTACCAAAAACTGATGTGCATAGTGGCGACATGATGTAGATCAGAGAATAAACTCAAAGAAGAGGGAACAAGCTTGGTTTAGGTAGGCAGACTCTGTGCAGGGCTGGAGCAGAGAAAGAGGAGATGATTGTGCTGAAGAAGCAGGAGGCGCAGCAGGCTTTCTGGTTTGGCTTCAAGGATGAGAGCCAAGGAGAGTCAGCTGGCTGCAGCGACATGACAGGAAGTCAGCCGTCAGACATGGTGGTCCCACTCCCACAAGAAGTATGAACATCCATAAGAACGAGCCCAAACACCTACACAGTTTGCTCTGTCCTTGGAGCTAAAGGGTCAGGATGTTGGACCCTGCCTATGTGCACACAGACAGACTACAATCCAATGGGATTAGACCTCTCAGGAGGAGACGAGGACTCTCATGTCTCTGTATGAGGAGGGGGAGAAATTTACTGCAGATGTCCCGCGCCTTAGATTTATAGTCCTCAACTTTTAACAGCACTTAGACAGCACTAGTGGGAATCATTAACTCCAGTCACAGATAGAGGACTGAAACACAATGAGGTTCTCAACCAAAACGGTAATGAAAATTTGAAGAGTTACAAGTTCCAGTATGGCCATGTCCAAAGCTGCAGGAATACAGAATGTCTGTTTGAAAGCAGTTTAAAATTTGAATTACATTATATAATAATGAACAGTTTGTATTAATTCTTCATCCTCCAAAACAAAAAAGACATTATAAAACAGAACAGTTAGGTTAACAATTAGAACTTCAGCACATTTACAGTACGCTGCTATCACACTTTATTAAAAATAGAAACATATATTCATAGTATTTTTCATACATACTACAATGGTCCACTGGTATTATTTTCAAAAATGAGTTAAATACTATAAAACACTAATTTTGCCTAAATCCACTGTAATCATCCCGAACACAAACAATAAAAATAACAGGGTTAACTTCTATTGCCCCTTTCAGCATTCGTGCTGTTTCACACCTGGATGGAAAAATGAATGAAAAGACAAAATGTGGGATGGACAAAAGACAAAATGAAAGTCTGCTCCTTCAGTTAAATAAATGCAAAATACATTTGTGTTTACAAAATGGCACATTTATTGCAACATAAATGTTATATACATTGTTTTCTTTCTGTTGAAAAAGACAGAAATTCAATTCTCTGTTTCTGGTGTGAACCAACAATACCTTTGCATTTGACACAAGAACTTTTTATTCATCAGAGTTTTAGGAAATTTTGCACTAGTACAAGACCTTCATGTACTAGAATAGCAACAGATTCACTATGATCTTGAGATGACACTGGTAAATCTCCGGTAATAGGCTGGTTATTGTACATAACCATAGATTTTACTATCTAATATAGTAAAATAAAGTAAGAAACTTTTTACTCAAAACTTTTGCGTTCAAAAATCTAGAAAGAGTAATATTTAGACTTCAAGAAATATTCTTACCGTATTATTGTATAAAAGACCAACTACAGTGAAAGCCAAATATTTTTTTTCTTTTGAATTAGCTTTTTATGTATTATACAAGGGACAGCATCTGGGAGAACAGCAAGTCTAACTTGGCAAACAGACGAGCGAAGAAACAGCAAATAATAAAAGAAAAGAAAGAGCAGGATGTGGCATTCACTTTATAGTCTCAATCACCTTCTGCCACACAAATACATGTTTATGAATACTGACATGATCAACAAGGCCACATTCAAACAAACTGCACAAAAATGTTATTTTAAGGTTGCCAATAATATGTAATGTAAACTCTTGGTCTGGCACAGTAATTAATTATGGATTGCCATATAGAAATTTGTTACAGAATACTGTCATGAATGTGGTAGCCTTGTTTAGGGTGAAAGACAAAGACAATATACAAACAAAATATATGGAATATAAAGTATTAAGACAAAGGACTAAAATAATTGAGAAATGTAAAGCATGCACACTGATATGAAGAAAAAAACACAATGTCAGCCCATGTCTTTAACAAAGAAATGTTTCTGTTTGTTCACTGTTGTGCTACACCTCTAGGAACCAACTAAAACCCAACTCAACAAAATGCACTGATGTGCACTGCTCCTAAGTTACCAAAAATAACATTATCAGGTAGGCTGGACATAGTATGCCAAAATCCAGACAAAATGATTTGTTAAAAAAACATAAAGAGGCATAGCTATATTCTACCAGAAGAACTGTAATGGAACTTGATACGTTCATCAGGCCAGGAAAATCAGTGGTCGTCGTTTAAAAGTACTACTTCATCAAGCAAACTGATTATAGCTGGTGGCAAGAAATGACATATCAAGCCACTCAGAGGTATGAATTCTTCAGGCTAAATGTAATATAATGTCACTGTTTACATAAACACTATATGGCGAAAGAAATTGCATGGGCAGTGAGGTCCCATTTTATCAGTTAAGACACTAACATACAGGGAATGCTAAAGTTTGTTAATAGTTTGCTCTCTGTATTTTCTCTGCTCACTACTGAAGACTAAACACAACAAAATGTGGGCTTTCAGTAAAGCTAGAGTTTGCCACTCACTTTTGTAGAATTACATGTGCTAATCTAGCCAAATTAAATGGGTTCCTTCTAAAGTATTCAGTACTTGTGATTTCAGTCAGTAGCTGAAGCTAGACTAAACTACAACGATTCAAATGTAGTTTTTACTCATTTTGTGGCCAGTGGCAATAAAAATAAAAATAAATAATACATCTTTAGTTTAAATGGGGCACAATATTAAAACTTAACAAATTAACTGTGATGCACCAATCCATCTTTTTTGGTGTTTCTGCTGATACCCGATATTGTCCGATACCAGTGCAGAGAAAGAAGATATTTCTCTTGCTAAAAAACAATAATTTATCCATGTCTGATCACAAAACCGATCCACATATGTTATGTCACTGTACATGGTTTATTTGTAAGTTTTAACAATGGATCAGTGGTGTATATATAAAAGTGCAACTTTTTGATTATGATTATGAGACTCTTTAGACCAGAAAAGAGTCATTAATTGGTTGACCTAATCTTGAAACAATATCTAATCAATCTAATCTAATACCAGATTCAGTACATTTTCCTCCATTAAGTACTGGTGCATACCTAAAGAAAAAGCAGCTTCTTAGTGCCCAAATACTCAATATCATATACCTCATTACGGAATTGCCAGACTTAGCAAGGCTTATTTTTGAATGTAACAATATCCAAATCTCACAGTACATGGGAGTTAGCCATTCAAAACATCGTAACAGTCCATGGTATTATTATGATACTTGATACTATCACGGCTATTATTATCAGTATTTAATTGGTGACACTGGCAAACTGTAGATTGACTGAAAAGCTGCATACTTATCTTTGAAACTGCTTAGCTTTCCCTTTAGACATAATTTCATCAATAACAGAATAAATAAAAACAAAAACAATTGCTGTTACAATGCATTCGTCAATTCAGTTTAGGCACAAGGCAATTTCCACATACACTTGGAGGAGATTGCAAAGTCTCTGATTGTTCAGAAGCAACACACTTCTTGCAGACATTGATATGTGCTTAAGTTTTTTCTGGGGACATTTTTGCAGTTGGAAAACTAGATGTGAGATTCCACTTCAGTCTTGGATTGGTTTACATTAGTCTCAGTTTTACTTCAAGTGGTCTGTCTCCTCCAGTTGTTGTCACAAAGTCCTTTCTGTCACCAGGAACCAAGGTTCCCATCTCAAACTGGAAACTATTTGTTGTCTGTGTGATGTTGATCTGCCGAGACAAACATGGGGGGATTGTGAGAGATGGGTATTGGATACAACATACAACTTAATGTTAATGAAATTAATAAAATCTGATCAAACACAAATTATGGTACCTTTCTGCTACTCAAAGGTGGCCCATAGGGTTGGATGTGTCTGTCATGCCTGGGTGGACATGGGATTCAGCAGAACCTCCAGACACTTTTTCCTCCTCCCGTCTTTTAAGGCAGGCTGCCTTGGGATTCAAATTCCTTTCTGTAAGTCCAAAAAGGTAAACAAAGAGACACGAGTTGAAAAAATATACTTTAATACAAAGTAGCAGTACATAACACACAAGTAATTAGCAAGCAATAAGTAAAGTTACTGAAATAAAATGAAGCAGAAAATGAAGTGCTAAAGGATATTTCAATTGTTATTTGAAGATAAAACACTTGTGTCCTTGACACTGACCTCTGACTTGCTGCTCCAGGCTCAGAATGACTGCCACGGCCTGATGGAGGATGAGGAGCTTTGTTTGCGGCTTCTCGCTCTTGAGGTGGAGCTGGCACATGCGGCCCAGCTCCTTGAAGGCCTCGTTGATGTCTCGCACCCTGAGGCGCTCGCGGGCGTTGTTGGCCATCCTCCTCTCGCGCTCTCGCTCTGCCTTCTGCTCAGGATTCAGGTCCTCATCTTCAGTAATACTATTACAAAGACAAATAACCATGCAGGCAATTGTCAAATGCCCTTTTCATCTATATCATAATGTGTATAAATGAGACTGTAGTAGACTGTATAGTATGTGCCAACAAATGGGCTAGTAAATACGCATGCATTATACCTTGTGCGGGTTCCAGCACGAGGGGTCTTCATGTCTCTCCTATCACCTTCATCATCTGACTTATCATCTCCAGACATACTATCAAGCAAGTCATCTTTGTCCGGTTTTTCCACCTTTAGCTCCAAGTTAGAGGGGACCTGCCCACTAAGGGCCGCAGTAAGACCTAATTAAAAAGATGAAGACAGTCCATTAAAGAGATTCACACTGAGACAGTACCATATAGATGTACAGGGCTCACTTCTGAATGTCTCCACTTGGTGGGTGAGCTCCGTGCTAGATGTGGAGCTAGCACTAGGAAGGCCTCCATGACTGTTGTTCAGACTGGCGGCATCATCAGCATGAGCACCCCCCTAATTCAAACCAAGGAATACAATTAATCACATCATATCTGTGCTGTGCAAAATCTACACTCAGTTTAATATAACGGCTCACTGGTGAGTTGTGAGCTGCACATGTTAGAGAGTAATCCGACTCTGTGGAGAAGCACAAGTAGGCGGAGACTGTGTTGCAGAGTCAAGGGCACCCCTTTTTTTCTCCAGGAATGTGATCCTTCATCACTGTTGGCCTGTGTTAACCCCATCTCTCCGGGACACCCCTCTCCTATGCACAACGCTAATCTTTGCTTTGCTCTCAACAGGTGTCCAAACAAGTCTTTGTCTGAAGGAGAAGGAGGGAGGCCTGAGCTCTGTCCAGAAAAGAACACTGCCATTTTCATGGCTGTGCCTGATTACCATACAGCTGAGGGGCTCCTTTAGGGTGGAGGCTGTATGCTAGACACACGTTCAGCAATTCAGATTTGCTGGTTTGCTGAAAAAAGTGATGAAAAGGGGTAGAAGGAGTGGAGTGTGTGGCATTTACCAAAAGTCTGTGGCTGAGCCAAGTACCTCATTGGACCCAGGAAGTGCTGTATGTGCGCACAACAACTGGAGCATCGCACTCACTAGCTCTAATGCTACATTTGCAACAATGAATTACATCATTCATACACTATAAATCATGGCTAATATCTGTGAGACTTAGGGCTATAATTTGTTTCAGTATCTGCCCAATAATGAAAAACTCTAAGCTACCCCAGTCTGTGCCTTTCTGTATTTGTCCTTGGAGCATCATATGTGTCTTTTTAAACAAACTAGTGAGCTAAAATGGAAAAAGAAGCTGAGTGTATGGTTACACAATACCATAAAAATAAATACATAAAAAATTTATATTACATATGTAATAATATATATCATCTTTTTTAAGTGAAGTTATGTTTATTATTTTAGTACAACTTAACTTCAATATAGATTTTAAAATCTTGATATCAATATTGGTAAATATTAATTATTGTTCCCAACAAAGAGTCACAAGACAAAAATTCAAATGGACCATACCTAGAAGAACCTGTCTTGGGGAAAGTAAAAACTTTTTGAACTTTTAAAAATGTGACTAGGGATGTGCCTTAACAATATCTTTAGTGTAATGGAATACAGACAAAAATGTGAAAGTACCATTGCAGTTGTCCGATTTGGAACCAATGCCGAGGCTGGGAAGTTTGCTCCAATAGACGCAATTGGCCCATTTTGTGCCTGTCCCAGCAGACTGTGTATGTCGCTGGGCAGATTGGCAGTGGAGCCCACTGCATGGTTCCTCAGAACAAGGATTGCATCATCCAGTCTGTCCAGACGATCCTCCATTCGAGACTGTAAAGGGCAAACGGATTGGAGAAGAAACAGTCACCAATGGGCATTTGGAAAGGCTTGGGATAATAAAATTAGAAATGAAAACTCAAATACAACTGTATGATTAGGGATGTCAAGATTATTTGGTTAATCGATAATTGCCTAATTAGGATTATTCAGGTCATAATATTACCTTTAAGGACATTTAAAAAGACCTAATAGTATTCAGAATCAAAAATTTAAATTAATTAAATTCATCTACACTCTAAAAAATTCCACTTAAATACAAAGTGCATTTTAGTCTATGCCACGTTAACTTTACTTTATCATTCAGGAAATTTGATTTCATTAAGATGGTCACATAATGGAAACATATTATGGAAATGAAAATTAAATCAAATTACATTATTGTAACGCTAAAATTTGATGTCGTGACATCCCTATGTGTGAAGTGGACTCTGAAATAAAAATAGAAAACATGACATACAAACTCAAAATAGATCATACTTTTCTTAATTTTAAATGTTAAAAGTTCAGTGGGTTAGTGACAGTCCGCATCAATTAATGTAAAATGGCATTAAGTTTGCATTGTTCAGAAGTCATGAAACAACATGTGCCAGTCGTGTGTGAGAAAATAATAAATACATGATCAAGCATAAGATGGGACGCTTAATGGTAATGAGTAACGTTTTTTGGAATAAGAATACCTCACAAACATCCTTTAAGAAAGACATGGCATCCTGGAGATGCTCATGTAACTGCTGATGAACCCTGTTTTTCTGTCAAGTAAAATAAAAAATAGGACAAAAATATCAGTGTCTATAGAAATACAAAGTAAAAACTATGGGTAATCATTAACCACAATTTATAATGGATGTATTCTTTTAAGTTTTGAACTCTTAAACATATGAGACAAGAATGTGTTTTACTCATTCACAAAACTGTTGACAGTAAAACCAATGGCCAATAGCCATGTGCAACCCAGACCAGCTATAAAGAGTTACACATATTTTCCATTCAAGTCTGAAACAGCTGGCCAAATGACATCACCTCCTTTCCTCTGGACACTAGTGTTCGTCCACTCAGACAAATCATAGTTACTGAACACCAAATGTTAGCAAAAGTAGCTCACCTTTTAAACAGTAATCTTCACAAGCACAACAGGGACACATTATTATTAACTCTAGTCCTGGATTAGCTATGTATTTTTCTGTTTACAACAAGCTGTTTTTATTTTATCCTCCTTGTTTTGTTGATATGACCAGTGATCAGAAGCTCTAGTCACATGACAGCAAAGGAATCCCAGAGAAATGGTTGAGCAGGCAGCTGCCCACACCCCTCCCTCGACTGTCATCCCTTTCCTGGCCCACGGACTACAGCACAGATGGCCAGCCCCTCGGGACAGGTATTGTTTAGTTTGGTTATCTGTCTGCCCCCACATTTCTCAGCAAAACATTTGTCTCACAGGAATCTGTGCAATGCTAGATCAATCATTTTGGTATAACTTCGATCAAGTTCATTCCACACTGCACTTTCGCTAGGCTAAGTCTTCAAAATGGAGCTTACCAGTGAGTGAAGGGAGTTCTCATAATTTGGTGAGGATGGAGTCTGTCCACCTGTGCGTGGCCACTGATTTGTGCCTATAAAGGAGGATGAACAAAAATGGATGAATCAGACAAAGATGGTACAGCTTAGGTTAGGTAATTGAGAATTGTACATGGATGAAAGAGCCTGACAAACTAATTTCCTGGCTGTTCTTTCAGAGATATTTATATCTTTTGGATATGCATCACTTCCTGCTGGCTGGACTGCATCCTGACACAAAACATCACCTTTCCTTTGAAGAAGCGGTAGAAGCCTATGGCTCAATCAGAGTTTGTGACTTGAGCAATATGTTGTATGTTTATTATCTAGTCATAATCAGCATACACTTTCACACATAGAGAGCAAATATACAGTATAATACACACAATAGTAAAGTGTGTGGGAAAGTGCCATATAGGACTAATATATATGTATTTACTAAAATATGCCTTAAGGGGAACTTTAAATTAAATATATTTAAAGTTGAAAACCTTTGGAAAACTTTAATTAACTAACTAATAAAAGTGACTTTGGAAGCGGGAGTGAGAAAGTCTCTTCTGCTTCAGATCTCTCTCCCAGGTGAACAAGATAGGAACATAACATGTGAGCTTCTGCTGGTTAGAGGCAGTGAAAAATTAGCCTGGGACTCTGGTCCCCGTGTGTGCTGGAGAGGGCTAATTGAACAAACCAGTCTTGAGTAATGTGCTGTATATTGGTGTAATTCCAATGATGAATGGATTTTGAGGTTAACATCAACAGTGAGCCCAATTTCTATGCCAATTTTAAGTATTGTTCTTTCTCTTTCTCCACTACATAATGTTTTTGTTTTAACCTTTGACAGCCATGGGTGATGATTTTTGATTTATTGCACCTAATATATAATGTATACATTCTTGCAAAAAAAACAAATAAAGTTAAAATCAGCAGAAATATAGACAGCTATTTTATATCTACACCAAGTTCAAGTCCATGGTGCGGTCCCAGGTGTGGTTTGAGGTACTATAAACAGGGGTTCCCTGTGTGAGGGTATCATGGTCTTCCTCATCAGCTGAGTCACACTCCCTTCCCCCATTGCACATAATTGCGGCCTTTTGCAGCCAGCCATGTGTGTGTGTTGGGGGAACAGCTGTCCGCGGGGCAGGGCAACAGCTGAGGATGAGGGGGGCATACGAAGAGACAGCTGTCGCCACTCCATTACTACAGATGACAAAACTGCCCAGTTAGACCAGGGCTTTCCCCTCTCTGTGTCCACACATTCACTTTCCATTACTCACAAAGTCCAGACAGTACCTCTCACCAAAAGTGTACCGTTAGTACAAGTGTTTGTAATAATCACAAAATATTGTAATATATAACAACAAAATCAGATGGTTTAGATGATCCATTGTCAGTACACTAGAACATGTTATTTTTAATTAATTATCACACAGAAGTGCTTAAATATACAAATATGAAACCTTTACAAACCTTTGCTTCAGTTTGATTAATTTAACTAATTCTATACCTAGTTAAAGTAATTACAATGCCAGTATGAATTACCATATTAGCAATTAACTGTGCCTATTTTGGTCTAATCATTATTCAAGTATAAAGGGCTGTACGTCTGGAGTTCAAAAGCATTAATAATAAAAATACATTATAAAAGCAATAAAGTATTTCTAGTAAGTAAATGAGGAGATAAAGTACCTGGTCGCCCAGTTGTGGAGCCTGTCGCCGTGACGACTGTCCCTGCTGATGCTGTGCCTGCTGTGGCCGTCAGAGGTGAAGGAGAGCCCACTGGTGTAGAGGGGTTTGAAGGGAAACTACTGCTAGTGTGGTCGGGCGAGTAAATCTGTGACAGTAACAAAATACAAAATTATGAATATAAATAAATAAATAAATAAATAATATATATATATATATATATATATATATATACACACACACTACTGACTTTATTATGCTTGAACTGAAGTTATGAGTCAGTTATAGTTTTCTTTGGTATTTAGATAATAATCCAAACTTTTTGGTTTATGGTTTGGTGCCAGTTTTACATCTCTCACGAGGTTAGTCTCAGGTCAGTTGAGTTTTCTGTGACAAGTCAATCACAAGGGATGGGGAGATTACGTCTTCAGAACTTCCACAGGGATTTGTATAAACAATTGCAGGATTAAAGCACAATTGCATCCCTGTTTTATCTATTTAATAAGAGGATATTGTGGCGTAATAGAACAAGTCTCAGAGAACGAAGGGCATTAGTGCTGGATCCAGGCTAATTAACAGAAAAAACACAGAATGACAAATCCATAAAGATTTCTACTTCAGGTTCAGATCAAATTGAGCTCACAGGAAACGTTTTGAGTCTGTAGGGATGATAGAACACACTCATTATTAATAATCTCCTTATTTAATCTTGATCTCTGGGCTTTAGTTTTTCAATCAACTTGGAGTTACAGGCTAGAGGCTTCACTGAAGTGTGTCACTGAGTACAGCAGAGACAGCGGCCCAAGTCTTAAGCGCAAGTTGCTCTACACGTTTGTTTTTAACATTTAACATTCAGGCATTTTATCAGTGGTAAAACTCTTAAATAAAATAAATATATGACCAAAGCCGACTAAAACATATCCTTCAAACAGGCATTCATGACCATGACTTTTGTGCTAACAATATAAAATCAACTATTCTTTTCTAGCAGTGGATAGTAACGGTAAATTCAAAATGTAACATGAGTCATTTTGCTGGAATAAATGAAGCCCCACCTCCCCATCAGTTACGCTCCCTCCGGCGGCATGGGGCCAATAAGCACAACCAATTTAAAAGGGCGGAGAACAAAAGCTCCAAAAAGGGTGGCCCATGGAGTTGAGCCCCACTGCCCCTGTCCCATCTACACACCCCCATCTCTGCTTTGTAATGGTAATGATATTGAGGTGGCAAATATATATATATATATATATATATATATATATATATATATATATATATATATATATATATATATGTGTGTGTGTGTGTGTGTGTGTGTGTATAAATAAAATAAAATAAATAAATATAAAATCATTGGTCAACTATATTTTTCAATGCATATTACTGTGTAAATGTATAAAGGGTCCAATGTTTTATACACAGCTCCTTTTCTTCAAAACTCCTTACTTTAAGCCTGTAATTATTCAGGCTTAAGTCTAAAACAATTACTAACATGCTCTTCACATTTTTTAATCAGTATTCAAAATAGTACTTAACAGTACTTAAAAGGTGCTGAGGCCCTTGATGGAGATACAGCTGACCTACTAGTATTATCTTTTCAGAAAACATTAAATATTTGTGTAACATATTAATATATAGGTCTGAATACTTTAGCATATTCTATATTACTTGTGACTTACTGAGGCCAGCGCTTTTCCCAATGCATCTCCTGTTTGTGAACTTCCAGTGGCGTTCCCCCGATTTGCAGCAGCTACAAAAATACAGAGAGGTTTAGACAAACGAAGAGCTGTCATGGTGCAAAAGCAGCTGTTCAACTGAATACTTTTACTGAGTTAGTGTGTCCAAGTCTGTCAAATGTAGGTACAAAAACTACGTACCTATGACTGCATCTGCTGTGTTGACAGACGGCGTGTGTGCTGCAGTGACGAATGGTGAAGTGCTGGTGTTGCTTCTGTGAAAACTGGACATAGGAGGAAGACTTGAGTTGATGTCCGGAGAGACAGAGTGTGCAGGGTAATTCTGAAAAAATAAAACAAATTTTAAAAAGACCAGCGATTTAACGAACCATGATGAAACTGTTACAAAGAGAGACAGAGAAAGAAAGCGGGTGGCAGCATCTGCAGACTCCCTGTGGTGCTGGTTCATACATGGGGCATATTAAGAGATACGAGATAAGATAAGAGGAAATTTTACTGTTGCAATGCAAAGAACAACAGTAGAATTATAACCAGTGTAACTAGTTAGAATATTATCAATACTTAATTACTTATTTTATTAAGATAAAAAAGGCACAAATAACAAAATGCAACACTGTGCAAGTACAGTAGAAATATAAGGCTATAAAAATGTTATGTACAATAACTGGCTATAACTACAAATTATTTACTATGATTTTACAAATACATTAAACACAAATTTAAGACTTATGTTTTAATTACAGTATAATAACCCAGTTTTCAAAGGTTGTAAAAAAATTGTGTCCTGCAGATATATAGCAATTGTAAGTGTGGTTGTATAAGGGTCATACCAATCGCTCATGGGAGTGTAGGCTGCTGTAGTTTCCTGACTGTGGCATGTGAGATGAAGATCCGCTGAGCATTCCTCCGTACCCTGTCTGACTGATGCCATTGGATGAACTCCACGGGTCAGATGAACTGTGGGTGCCATCTGATGAAATAGGAGTCAAAACAATATACTTCACTTCCACCTTATCTTTACTTCATTAGTATGTAGTAATTAAAACTGATTAGGATGAGTAAGGGCTGGGCGGTTTGGAGATAAAAATCGAACCTGGTCCCTGTGACAAACTGCTATTTTGGTCAAATGCACACACTTGTCTTATTGAACAATTTCTTCATGGATCTGAGTGAGTGGTTTTGACCATGGTGAACTGTGAACTTTCAGAAGAAGCAGATTATTTTTATTACCTCTGAAATGCCAAAAAATGAATAAATAAGCAACAACAACAAAAATGTAGATGAATTGTGATAAAATTTAAACTGTGATCTGGCTCCTAAAAAATCATATAAATTTTTGCCATATCACCCCTAGGATGAGTTGATTCAAATACTGTGTTTAAAAGCCTGGTGTGTTGAAGCATTCAAAACTTTCTGTTTCTCAATTTTAAACATAAACATTGGAAATTCTTGACAGCAAAAATAAATAAATGAAACTCACCAAAGAAAGTGCTTGTGAACATACTGCTTGTGGGTTTGGGGGAGTTGTATGAAGGAGAATCTCTGCTGAACTCTTCTGAGCTCGGCGATGGTGCATACACCTGTGATGAGAACCTTAGTGTTAATATATACAATAAAAACGTGACGTAATCAAACTAAGCTTCTGACCACAAATTGAAAACATAATGGATTAAATAATACTATTGTACAATGTAGTTTGTCACAAAGTTCAACATGACCAAATTAACAGATACGAACAACCACATGGTAAAAAAAAAAAAAAAAAACATGCACAAACACAGTTTAATGACTCACAAGCAATCAAGCTCATGAAGGGAGGAGTGGATTATCAGGGGTATTTGCATTTCAGATCAACTCAACCTCTAATGGAAGTATAATGATACCCGCTTACTTGCACAGACTAAATGCCTTGCAAATTACAGCATTCCCAGAGAGGCAGAAATCAAATAAATGGGACAAAAACAGCCTGCTTTGCTGCTTTAAATGTGTACCTGTGCGATGGTGGCTGAGTGAAAGGAGAGGCACAAAGAGCATGCTGTTGTACAGCTGTGTGAGTGCCAAGCAGAGCGGGAGGATCAAAGGCAACGCAGGCCAAACAACACTGATGTGGTTTCTGACTTCATCGACTCCAGATGGAGAGAGAGTAGAGGACCAGAGACCAACAAACTCCTTCACACAGACAGCACTATAATGTTAATGAGAACCAGCCAGGACCTGCCCACTAGATTACACCTGTGTACTTCTAAAACTTCATTCATAAAAACTCAGATTCCAAAGATCATTACATGACCCAAAATATCGGTGCATAGCAACAAAACAGTTATTAATTATTTCACACTTTAAAACATAATAAAAAACCTTAGCAGTTGCCGTCTCATTCACCCACAAGCAGTTGTCATATAGGCTGCTTACTACTTTTCTCAGTTTATGATACTGTGTGGATGAAAATATGCAGTTGACCAAAAGTATACAGACATTAATAAGTTGCCTCATATTATATTAATATTAAACAAAGAGCTGAGGGATGTTGGCTGGGTGTGTCTGACTGTGTAACTTAAGTACAGTAGGAGGGGCACACCTCTCAGGGGTCTTGGGCTTACACATGTGACCAGGGTGGATTGTAGTGATCTCAGGTTAGGAGCCCAGCCCTTTGTCTCTGCCATGTTGGACAATCAGTGGGCAGCATATGGCAGTGGATAAAGCTAATTGTCCTTTTTACCAAAGGCTAACCAGTTAAAGCATTAATAAACCACCCAAAACACCGGGTGCTTCTCTCCACAGGCTTGTCCCAAAGAGGGTCATCGGGGGTTTTAGCCTGTCACTCAGCAAAAGCAGTGTAACAAATATATAATATTGGATAGCGTTTTTACAGATACTACTAAAGATTAACTTTTAAAATTTGTCATAAACCTGGTCCAAAAAAACTATGTACCATTTTAAACACTAATAGCAGAATTGATTTGCTGGTGTTATATGATGACCACTATAACACAACATATACAACATTATAAAGTATCCTTTCATGTAGAGACAGAGCCTATGAGTCACTCAGAGTCAGATCAAAGCCTGTACTTTACGTTGAGGTATCCTTTCAATGCTTTTCAGCCTCACTCTGCTTTTACTGACAGCTAAACATTTTCCACACACCTTTCCCTCTGTTAAGACTTGATACCTGCCTTTGAAGTCTATCCCACATCAATCAAAACATCTAATGTAAAACACTAGACATTGACCCGCTCCAACATGGAGATGTCTCATGGTGTCAGCAAAGAAAAGTAAAATTACGAAAGTGAGAAAAGATCCGGCAAAGGGCCAGCTAGTTCAAAGAGACACACTTAAACAGTGTCCTAAAGCCATGTCCTGTTTATGAGATTGTTGCCATTGCTAGGAATCAAGCTGAATCTGTCTCAGGGGCATGTTGTTTCTATTCCAACTCTAGAGGGGCTTGGCGTGAGAGCTGCAAAGAATGCCTTTTTAAACCAGACCTGTGTCTGCTTTGAAGACTGTTGCACAACACAGCACAAGATGAGCCACAGCTTTAAAATATAAAATAAGTTAAGTAAAATTATGGATATAGCTAAAATATGAGTAAATGTGTAAGTGTTCAAAAAACAACAGACAAATTAAAACAATGACTTTAAATTCAAATGTACAGGACATATAGGACAAAGAAAAGCCTAACAACTGGTTCAGTAAACTGGTACTGCACGTGCTATATTATGAGATAATAAGGATTACCTGCTGAAAGGACCTGTTGCACTGCAGAGGAACTTGCATCGTAAACACACTGCACATGATACAAATAACCACTGCCAATCTATTTCTAGATCAAGTGTTTTCAAATAATACACAGGTCCACCATAGCTTTCACATTTTTTTTCTTGTTTATTAAAGGCATCGGAAATAAAGATCATTGAGTTGCTCCATCTGCATTGGTTCCGTGCCACCAGCCAATGGCCCACTGTGAATTCTTCCAGTGCTCCAGATGGTGAGCCTGCCATGCCTCCCTGCATTTTACCAAATTAATATGAATCAAGTTGCAAAAATGAGCTCCATCCTTTATTTTTCTGAAAAAAAAATCAGATAGGACTTTACACTTTTGATCACAGAGCTTAACCACTCTGTACACATGCTATCAATTTTCTCTCCATCACCAAATGTAACACAAGCCGTTAATACTTAATATCAGGGAGATCAAAGTCAGCTTTGGTGCAGTTGAAGTTGACTGTACATGCAGTAATGGAATGGGAAAAAAACTACTATGGTTTTCACTAACATTTTAACAATCACAACGTCATTAAAATGCAGTTACTTAGAAACAGGTGCCTATGTCAAGTTTCCTTCACTGCTCTAAACAATTTTGGTATAAAAGAGAAATAAAAACAACATTATGAAATTATTGACCAAAGTGAACCAGATACTCATATGACTTGATTACTGTGTCCAAACTTTGTGTACACTTATTAAAGGTTTTTGAAACTAACAAAAATCAAAGAGGTCATTACAGAGCAGTTCAGAAATCACATTAGGCTCCCTGTGGCATCAAGAATGCCAATGTGATTAAAAACAGATGTAATAACAGCAACACTGGTGCTTGGAGCTCAATCTGCAAACAGGAAAGTCTAACCTCAACAGGCAGGCTCTTTCCCCTAATCATTCCCAGACTCCCACTTGTTATTATTTCAACCAGTCTCTGAGCTCGAGAAACCAGCCAGTAAAAATAAATTCAAGGCTGCATGAAAACTTTCTGCCCTGCTCTTTACTTTCTGTATATGGGAAAAAGGTTGGAAAAAAGGCATGACTTCTTATGCGTTACCTAAAATACTAAATTGTTTAAAGACAGATGTGGTGTGAAATGGCAGACTATACTATTGCAGTTGTCCTGGGACATGACTTTAACTGAGGCAATGGAAACTCAGACCAAGCCAGCGAATCACACATGCATTCAAAAATATTTATAAAATGTTATTTTAAATAAAAAAGACAAATTAGATGTAAACAAAATGTTAGCAAGCCAGCAAACACAAACACTGACTTTTGCAAATCTTTCTTTCAGAGAGATTACTCACCGATTTCCCGTTGTAGTAATACATTAAAGAGTTACTGCCCATTCCAGGGACAGGGTAGGCGCAATACATCGTAGCTTTTTAGGTTTATTAATGGTATACCAAAGTAGCGTTCTAGTTTTTCTCCGGACATATATCCAAAGCGCTCAAAGGGGACTAATAATTCTTTCAGTACTGGCCTCCACACACGACCCACTCAGAGGAAACTTATGCAAAGCAGGACCATACCATTCCCCACTATGAGAAGGGGTGTCAGCCAGAAGGGAGTGGCTAGCGTGGTACATGCCACTCTTAAGCCTGCAAGTGCTGAGGCAAATAGGAAAAGGACGAGGGGGAAGGGAGGCAACAGGGAGGTGGGTTTAGAAAGATAAAGGCAAGAGGGCTGGACAGAAAACAAATGTGCAAGCGGATTTAGAAAAAGACAAGAAATGTTTACATCTGAGCATCAAAATGTTGATTTTTTAGAGGAGTAGTCCAAATGATGACACTGGAAGTTCATTAATTCAATGCACTGAAATGAGAGCGTGAATAAAAGCAATGAGCCAGCTCTCTTCATAATCCTGTTTTAATCTTTTTGTTTGTGAGATGACTGGATATGGCTACAGGCAGTGAGGTGAAATATTGCACTGGAATGAGCACAACCATCTGGCAATGTATTTTACCTGTTTTCTCGCACTAATTAGGACTCAAAAGATAGCAAAAGTGATCACCTAACATGGCAATGAAGAAACAGTAAAAATCCACATAATGAGTAAAAAATACGCTTACAGCCTATTGATGAAATGTAAAATATGCAGTGTTTGGCAGAATAGGACCTGAACTTGAGGAGCGCCAGTAAACACAGAGTTGTAAAGCATGCAACAGCTGCAAAGGAGGTGGCTCGTGACGTCTGAACAGGAAAATAATGCTCCATTTCCTAAACCCTGGGGGCCTCAGACTGGGGGAGCACTGGGGGGAAGCAAAACATTTAACAGCCATTTTACCACGCTTTACTGTCACTGTGAGCCACACAGATCCTCGTTACGTTTATCATGTGAAAATAGAGGAGGAGAGAGCACAGATATGAGAAAAAGCAGGATAGATATAGTATAGCAAAACGCCAGTCTGCACAGTGCGACAAGAGCCTTTCATGTTTGCCACTCCAAGCTTCCTGGACTTAACACAGGTCTGCGGACTCATTGAGAACATTATTGTTATAGTAAGATGAAAGCTTCCACTTGCCTAAGAAAACTAGGCCTTTATTATGCTTCTCCCTTCAGTGCTGTTATTATTTATCCCCCCTTTCTTCTCAGAGGCTCTTTTAAACTCTTCCAAAACACTGGCTCTACATGCTGTTACCGCTTTATATCTGGCTCTGTTTCAAGTTGATGCTTTAAGCAAAAATGGTCATGATAGAAGCGTTTGAAGCGCCCAAAACAAGTCCAGACAAGGAGCGTAGCCTCATGAGAAAAGCACATAAAAGGCAGAGGGACATTATTGAGAGAGTGGCGGCACATGTTATTTGTAAATATGTTTGTAATAGATGGACATGCGAATGCTCATGTGATCTAAAGAAAACAGCAATTACAGTTTCAGACTTTGAAGGGAGTGATCGTGACACCACCTTGATATTATGTAAATGAGCGTGGTCCTGGGAGGTGAGCCGAGCTCCACCCACCTGTTCACATTGGCCTCTAATGACACTGGAGTCCTCACAAGGTGCTTTTCTGTGGATTTGTTTGGGTTGAAAAACACAGAGCAAATCCACGGGCTGAGGTCACCCCCATCGCATGCATGGATTTAGCCATGATGTCATCAGACAGGAAGATTGTTTCCTGTAAGAAGCTCTGCTTCTAATTAGAGGAAGGGGTGCGAGGGGCAACACTGACCGCCCTTCAGTACGCCATGGTGCTCTGGGAATAAGAAATCTGCTTTTTTTCTTTTTCTTCTCTTTTTTCTTTTTTTTTTTGGAAAATATTTTATACTTATCTCAAATTTAAGTTGAAAATATAATTTCTGTTTTTCTTTAATCCTTTTTATGAATGTAAATAAATAATAACATACATAATTAATGTTAAGAAAAATATGCTTCATTTTAAGCATCAAGATATAATAGAATCACATTTATATATCACATATAATATTGCAAGCATTAACTGACGTTCTCACATTATTAGCGCTCACAGTTTTAAATGTCTTTTAAACAATAAACACTGCTTTAGTTATTGTTGACAGGCCATGCTCTAGAGGCTGAAGCGATCCCAAATCAAGGTTTGCATTAATGTGGTAAACTCACGCAAGCCCAACATGAATAATTTACAACAGCCCTGAATGTGAGTAATGACTTTAATCTGTGCATTATTTTGTGTCTTTTAACTCTTCATGTTCCTCACAGATGAAAGCGGACAGGCCTGGTAGTTTGTCTGGTGTGTTATCTCAGTTGTGTGTATCAGCAGTAAATTTCAACAACCCATCACAGATAAACATGAAGGCTGAGGTCCCAGGGGTAACAGTGACTGTTTAGGATCATCCCGTAAAACAAGGGTGTCTATCTAATCAGACCAATCTGAAAAAGAGCCTCTCTGGGGAGTATCTGAGGTCAGAGCATAGCAAAAAACTGAAAATATTTCCACTAGCACAAGTCAAACAATACTAGAATTTAGATTTTTTTTTAAATTGAAGAATGTATATGAGATAGTTAAAATTATATGAATTAATTTACGATTTTGTCTGCATATGGCCATCTTGTGCTATGCGATATAACAGCATGTAACAGATTATCTACAGTACACCATTTGAAATCTCTCCCACACACAAGACGCTTGACTCATACATTTAGTCATTCTTACAAATTTCAGAGTAACACAGTGCTCAGATGGCCATTAACACTTTTTTTGCACAATGCTAATACTAAAATAATAATGTGAGAGAAATAATATTTTTTTTAGGCTACCATTGTAGCCACAGCTGCCATGGGGCAATGAGGTGGGAGATACATAAAAATATATAATATCACAATTGTTGTTTTGTGAATATAGAATTCAAGTATGAAGTATATCATCTATAGGCCAAACTATAAAAAATATAAATGATCCCAAACAGATAGAAATGTCTAGGGTATTAATTGTGTAGAATATTTAGTTAATTTTATGGTGCATTTATGTTTTGTCTGAAACTTGAACCAAGATGTTTACAGGCAAATTTTAGCACATTCCTTTCCATTGTTCAAATATCAACTGAATATTGTTTTTGAGAAAAAAAATTTAGATATTAATTTTTGTCAATATCACCCACCCTGTTTTAAGCCTTGCCAATTATGCATTTTTAGAAGGGCAGATCCACTGTATGGAAAAAAATTAAAAATCTATTCAAAATTTTAGCACCCCTTGTTCCACATTTTCTACCGTTGCAAAATGCCCTAAAAAGAACTTTGAAGATGTAGGGAATTTAACCATATACCATATATACCATTGCACCTGAGACGCCCCTCCAGTAGCAGTTATAAGCTTTCATACAGTAAAACGATGTGTGGTCTTTGTGGCTCGTCGAAGACAGGAAGAAAGACAGATTATTTATCTTTAGAATGTCATGCAACAGACAGGCACTGCAAGGAATATTTCTGAGTCTTGTAATTCAGACCCTACAGCAGTCTGTTTCTTACAACTCACACAGTTCAAATCTGACTGGAACAAGGGTGCTTGAGTGATCTGTCAAACACGAATGTCAATCTTTTTTGTCATCCACACTGAGGGGTTTGTTCGCAAAACTCCCCGAGGCTAAGCTGAAACTCTGCACTTTCTTTTCTCTCATCTGCGGGCTAAAGTCAGTAAGGAAGTCTCGCGTCAAGACACACTGCCTTGACAAGGGTTTGTGGGGAAAAACACTATTTACACAACAAACACACACGCACACACACACCGTGCCCTTGGAGCTCCCCATAAATATCCCATATTTCCCCCATGAGCTGGAGGAGCCTCTCACCCAGCACCCTGCAGCGCCTGACCAGGCAGCAACAGGCTCAGCCCCTCCTCACTATGTCAAAGCATTATAACACTATGACATATCCTAATAGGCTATTCCAAATGGCATAATAATTAAACCAGAGATTAATAGTCATCACAAAAATCCAGCAGTCAGTGTGTCAAAGTTGAAATTTAGCAGAGCACAGAAAAAGTATGTGCGTGGCAAAGTGAGGAGGTGTCTGTATATAAGATGTAAAAGCCATATAAACATTTTAATGTTTGCAATCACCAGCTGGCCTGTCTAGATAGCCTTCACATCCGACGCACGGCAGTGTCAAAACCTCAATGCACAGAGGATGTGCTCCCGTAAATATTTTGATTCAACTCCATCATGCAGTGTACACACAGCATGCTTGGACTTGCAACTTACATTGGCCATCTGATTTAAAACTCTTAAATTTATTTTTAGACTGTTGAGCCAGAATACAAACTTGAGGGAAAAAGAGGATTTAATAAATAAATAAATAAATAAGAAAATTCCCAGCAGAGTACATAATGATAGGAAGCACTGTGTAGATTTTTTTTTTAAATGAAGCATCTATTGGAGTCTCTGGTGAGGCTCCAGCGCCTGCTTACACAAGCAAAAGCTTTCAGTGGCATCTGCAGCTGCATTCATGCTTTACAGGTACGCTCCAGGCCTGGGGTACAGCTGCCTCCAGCATAGCTCAGTCCAGGTGCATGGACCTCTCAGCACTTCCCATCACTGCTGCACTAGCACCAGTGTCAGAGCCGGCAGTATAAACACCAGCTTTGGTGATAATGGCAAGGAGATATGCTGCAATCACACATCTAACAACAGCACATTTAAGGACCACAAGTAGCTTTTTAGACATTGCAATAGTTCACGTCAAACAGTCTCACCTCTGGCCTCTTTTTGTCCTATTATAACATCTTTACACCATCAAAACCTCCAGACAACCTCCCACTCCCACACAGCCCACCTATCAAAAAGCAGGTTCAATGTTTTCCTTTCTCTTTCAGCAGGTTAAAAAGAGACCTACAGCCCTTTTTCCAAAGCTGCCATCTCTATTCGTTCAAATGGGATCAAAGACTAACTGGGATAATTCCTCCGAGCTCCGAGCTTTATCTTGTGAGCAGCACTGAGTGACAAGAAGAATCTGTATTTTATCCCAGGCTCTGTCACTGTTTTTCCCATCTCGCATTGTAGCGCCTGATTGTACTCTTATGAGTCACAGAGCTGCACCTGCGCCCATGTGTTAAGTACTGACAAATAAAAGCCCAGCGTCCATTTACACAACAAAGAGATGTAACCTGCGAGGCAGTCATTCTTGTGCCCCCCTCGGTTGTCTGACAAGACCTCAAATATATCACTTACTTAAGAAAAAGGCAGCACGCCATCTTTCCAGAGACTGCTTTCTCTGTCGCACGCGCTGACAAACTTCCTTTCAAACACAAATCCAGAAACAAAACACATGCCAGCCTTTTATGTTACGCAGCCTGTTCCATATTTGATTTCAGAGAAACAGCGGCAAAGGTGACAATCATCAAAGCTCTGAAAGGCAAATCCAGTTCCACACTTTCTCACAACACCCAGGAAAACCTTTTAATGTTTAAGAGAAGAAAACCTCAGATTTTTAGCAAACCAGTTGCTTATGATTAGGAACAAAAACACACTATTGTGTTAAATATTCAAAGAATTTAAGTCACGGCTTAAGGACCTTTTTGCAGATCCACAAGGGTTTGAACAATGAACATCTGACTTAGTGATTTATGCATATTAATGGACTTGAACACCCCCTGTCTAAGCAAATGCAAGCTGAGCTCCACACTTCCCTGCATCCTAATGCTCACTGCTCCTGTGGGATCATTACCAATAGAAATTTCAGATATTCTGTGCTATTAATCTCTGTCTGTCCTCGTGTTCGCCTTCGTAATGACTAATTAAACATCAAAAGAGCAGAGCCGGGGATGGGCTCTGACAGCCCCTCTCTCTCCCAGGAGAGGCCAGGCTGTGACAGGGCAGCGCTGAAAATCAATCACATGGAGGTGCACACAATGAGCAGCACACAGGCCTAACCTACAGAGACAACGTTGTGCTAACATTTACCAACAAGCATGTAAACAACAAATATAAAACGGTACTAGTTTGTTCAGTGAATTCACAGGGAGCAGAGGAGGCATAGACAAGTAAACAACAAAATAGTGACTTCAAATCCAAGAAGTGAAATGCTAGTGTCAAGAGACCCCTTTGTGAGCAAGTCAAAGGGAAGTGTTTGTGTGTGTCTGCTTAACCAGGCTCACTGTGAAATCTGTTTATGTGAGAGTAGATGATCTTCCACTCACAGATGAAGGCAGGCCAGGAGGGACCTTGCGAACCTTTTTTGTTTGCAGAGGATCTGTGGAAAGATGAAAGAATGTGTGTTTAATGAAAAAAGGTAAAACAACAACCATACCTGCATTGTAAATAATCAGTCACTATTTCAACAGTACATAATACAACAAAAGCCTCAACATGAAATTACAATATACCACTATTAATATTGTTTTCTTTTGATTTAAATTCTCTTCTGAGTGTAATATACATTATCTGTTCTCAGTGTAAAAACAGTTAAACGGGCACTGGGGGCATCTGGGGTAAATTGTGGATCATGACTTGGAGCCACTATGCAGTGACAATAAAGGCACAAATTTACTTGTGTGTGTGTGTCTGTGTGCGTGTATGTGTGCCATGTGTGTGTGTGTGCGTGTGCGTGTGTGTGTGTGCGTGTGTGTGTGTGTGTGAGAGAGAGAGAGGTGAGTTTTAGAGTTAGTTTGCTTACATTTGTGAGCTATTCTAAACTGTACAGAGAAGTACAGACACAGCACTTACCGATGGGAGGGGCGTCTTGTAAAGAGCGTCTTCTGGGATTGTGCCCAGTGAAGGAGTAGAACGAAGCTGCTGACTTTCCAGAAGCAGCCACTGAACCAGGACCCACGTCAGGCCTTAGCGACGACTGAAACAATAAAGTGGATAATAAATAAAATAAATATTGTTGTTTTAATATAGTTAATATATCAGGAGAATGCTTGTATTTAATTTGTATTTTAATTGTAATTGTATTTGCATATTATATCAGTGTATCAAATGTAAATCTATTTTAGAGCAATAAAATTCTTTCTTTATAATATCTACTCAATTTGATCTTTACTGATATTACCTGTTGAATGTGAGGACTTTTTGAACATTTATTGAACATTTTAAAAACAGAACTCTTTCTTTTTGCAATTGATCCCTTTAAATGCAATAAGAATTAAATATTTATTTCATATGGCCTCCATGAATATATGTTCTAGAGAATATACCTCCCATAACCCTGATTAGCAGGTTTAATGGATACTTTTCTATTACAGTGAAGCAGTGAAGTTTTGCATTTCCTATTTAACACATCCCTGTATTCATACTTTATGTTGATTGCCAATAGTGTGGTTAATTGTAAACCAGTGGCATTCACAACCATATCCCTTGATGATAATTAATCAACTATCAATTTTGTATTACTAATTGATAAAAAATTAAAAGACTATATTTCATTTATTAAACTTTGCTAATTCCTGCTTCCCTAACCACTTATAGATGCTCGTGTGTCTTGACAATGCATATTTCAAGGTGCCCTCAATCACCATTTGCGTTTGACCTCTACAACCCCCACAACTGGGTTAAGAGGCCAAATAAGCGCTTGGGCTAATTACACTAATCAGTTGCAGGCATTACAGAGCAGGAGTCGCGCGCCGTTCACCTGAGCAAAGGCCCGTAGAAGAGTGGCCTCACATGCCCCTTCAAATCCCTTTAGGCTCTGACATACTGACACACTGACATCTGAGCCTTCACCTGAGTTTCAAATGTAAACTAACCAAATACAATAATGTTTAATACAGATTATAGCCTGACAGTGATAGATGATAGCAGGCTACTTTTATCATTCTAATCTCTCACCTAATTACCCCAACTTGTGAAACTATAGCCTTAAATGTAGGCCATGAAAGCATCCAGGACAAGACAGTACATGTAATCTAAATCAATGATTGTGCGATAACTAGTGACCTAAATTTTGTGTATTTTTGTTTAGGTGCCTTAAATGTCACAGTAACATAATTTTGAATAATGACACCGATTCTAGTGAATTACACTAAAAAGATCATTTCAATAAAACTGTATTTATAAAATATACTTACAAGGTAATTTTAGGTATAATAAATCATTGATCTTACCTGGCAGCCAGTAACTCCAGGGTCTCTCCCAAAACCGATAAACGAGCCCCTCTCTGATTTACCTGGAAGGAACAGGAATGCAATAAGCCATTGTGTATTTATAACACATGAACTCATGATTCAACAAATGCACTATTTGCTTCAATGTCAATGCCATAAAACATTTCACAACCATTTAAATCATACATATGCAATCATGCAAATTAATAATGTAAAATATGACTGTCAACCTCCTCACTGGCACCCATCAGGGACCACAGAAAACTTGAGCCCACTACATACATGAATCAAAACAATCACAATATCCCAACTCAGCACTTCGACTTGCTACAAAAACAAACATACAAACAAATGAGAGCTCTTGGTGGAAAGTGATGAATAACTTTAACAGCCCCATGCATTATTTTTGTCAGACTTCCAAATACTACAGGCTCAGACACCAGCAGCAGGACTAAATTGTGTTGACTCTAGGGACAAGGTAAATATGTTTGTTGTGAGTTAAAAAGTTGCCGAGCGTGGATGTTTTGTTACACGATGACTGATCTGAACGGAGCTTTTGGAGCGCAGGTGAAGACATCTGAGAGCATTCACTTGTGCTTATCCCAGCACTGCTGCAGGAGACGGAGCACACGCCTCCCGAGACTAAGGAGCTATGTGGAAATCTGGAAAGATGGTTTAACTGGCAAAGCCGCTTGTCTTCCAACAATAATATGATACGCTTCTGAGCCATCGCTCTTGCAAAAGGAAAATAGGATTAACTTGTCGGTTACCACCAACGTTCTCTAACATAGGGGGATGATGAAATATAGCCTCAGACGGCACATTTTAATTTTCATTTCTTTATTTCCTTTTAAAACTGATTTGGTATGAAAATAATTATTCTAAATGCCTCAGATAAAAGGCTGGTCAAGTGCAGAGTTAAATATTTAGGCACAGCATGTGTTTTGACACAAACACCGTGTCTGACATGAATAATTTATAAATCACTGTTAGTGTACTGAAGCATACGCATTTGGTGGAATATAACCTCTAAAGCCTAAAATACATGAGAAGGTTACAGTATGACAGCAATGGTATGGGCATATTTTACAATAAAAACATTATAAGAAGTTAAAAACATAACTGAAGAGGCCCTACAAAGTAACTAAAGCATGCCAAAAACCAAACAATAAAATAATTTCAAAAGTAGCATCTGACCTAAACAATGTGCAGATCATCAACTGACCAATGCACAGGTTTATGGTGAGTCAGTCAATTTTAGATGATAATGCTGTGATCAATACAAAATAACTGTTCAAATGTATTGAAATTACAGTAATAAGATTAATGTCGACCATCAAAAAATTACCAGTAAACCTCCAGTCCCTAAAATCTACAGTGAATAGATTAATGAGAACCAGAATTCTGTTCACAGCTTCTGCGGCTGTTAAAATTTTCATAGAATGCATATTATGATGTTGAAGTAAAGTAGAACAAAGTCATATATCAAGGACAACATACTGCTGGCTTGGCCAGTTCCAAAACCAGGAGCCTAAATTAGCTGAATAAAATATTCTCTTATCATACAAGCAGTCACACAATATTGTGTCTTATACACAAATACTGTTTGCAAGAAAATGGGTCACTGTAATAATATGTTCCCAAAAAGGAATGGAAGTTGCTAACTCTTGTGTAAAATTTTCAATGACTGCACCATAAATCAGAGTAAAGAATAATTACAAGCATATTGCATGTACTGTTTGTGCCCTTTAAAAGTTACATGTAGTCTTTACTACCAGATGAGTTGAAGTCAGTATTTTCCTGAATGTGATGTCATGATCTCATGACCTCTATTGAGGTAATTTGTAGACACCATGAACTCTTTTGTACTGCATTAGTTTAACCTAGGTAGCTCTAAAACTTTGGCAGTTTACCTAACAAAGGGAGATGATGGATTTACTATACGAAAAACAAACCAATGTTTAATTCACTTCTGAAGCTAATCAATACAGCTCTACTTTTGGATGAGTTTCTTTATTATAGTACCTAGCTGTTACATGTGGTTAAAGCAAAAACAAAATGTTCTGTGTGACTAGGCTCACCATGACCCACACCGTCTAATTACCTCCATACAATTTGCATATGCACTGTGTCGTCCTGCAGTATTTTCTTTATAGGAGGAAAAATCCATCACTTCTGGTGTAAATATTCTGCAAGCTGCTCATTAGCATAGCACTCAGAGCCCTCATGCTCAACAATTAATGTGATCCATTTGACTGTAGAGAGAGCCTTTATGTGTCCTGGCATTGCATTAACGCAACAAACACATCAAAAATAAAATATAGACACTATTTATGTGCAAGCAATTATTTAGTGGTGACAAAATGATTTAGTCATCCTGTCATTAACCCTGGGGCACAACTGTGCAAATTTCCAGCCTTAAATTGTCAAAACAGAAATATTGCAGCAATAGCTATGGTTTATGGCATGATTTAAGGTGTTATTCCTGTGCTGTCAACATTATAATCTTGTCAAATATGTTGTCTTACACAAATATACTTTTGTAAAACTGTTTATATTACTGCTAAAACAACTGCTGTACAATCCAATTTGATGAGTCCCTCACCAAGAGATTGAGCGAAGATACGAAATGACAAGGCCAAATGGAATCATGACAAGCAACAGACAGACTGCACAATAAGAGGAACCAGTCACTACATTACTATTTTACTCTAGATCATATTCTGTAAATGTATAAATCACAACAAATAGCAAACATCAGGCAGAACTCAATGTGTTCCAGAAACCCACCAAATAGTATGAACAATTAACATCCATTTGGCTGTTTTTTTTTTGACAAACATAATTTCAACCAAACCAGCTTTCACTTTCAGCAATTAAAGTACAGTACAGTATTTAAATGATTTAATTCAGTAATTGAAAAAGTTGAACTGAATAACTGAAATTGCATGAATTGTTATGCTGTAAATTAGCATAAAGACATCACCTTTTAGAATAGAAAAAAATAAAAATTAAATTAAACATCTGCTTCCTAGAATTTAATTTTATACATAAATTTTTAGTCTTAAAAAGCTTGATGGTCATAAGATGCTGAAGCAGTTTCTTACTGAGTACACAGCTACAGTACAACCAAGTGTGGTGGCACTGTATTGAAAGCCTTATTTTGATAATGTGAGGAGTAGTGACCTCAGCCTCCCCAGGGATCAATTCAAAACCCTAGTCACAAAAACAGCCAATTAGCAAGTGTGCCTGGCTGTCTTTAAAACACATTCCAAGGGCCACTCTTTCCGTTCACCATTTGCTTTGCCTTAAAACAAACCATGTGAAAGCATCTAAGTGGAAGGCACTTTGAAGCTATTATCAAAGTAAACATTTTAAAACAGTATTATGAGATAGTGCAACCTGTTGCTTTGAGTTCATACAGCATATAGAGTGCAGCTAAAATTCTGACACATCCTCCAAATATCAAGGAAAGTCTCGCCTTCAAAATCATTTTATGTCTACACAACCTCGTTGCAAGTGACATTATTCAAAACAGCAAGAGCAAATGTTAATGAGTTCTTATTTGCATATTTATTTTTTTCTTTGTTGAAATGTCACTGATTATTACATAGTATGATGATAAATGCATCAGCTCATGGAGGCTGATGTGTAATTAGCCATTAGGTGAAATGAATAGATCAATTAAAGGAGAGAAACCAGGATTACGAAAAATCAAAGCGAAGGAATGACTAAATATTACACAAGGAAACATCAAGTCTTACTAATCACATAAAGGTGTGTGCATTTACTCCTAGATCAAAGAGATCCCTCATAATCCAACATTTTGCTTAACCCCAAGGTACAAAACGCTAAAGACACCATCATTTGACAGAATAATTATTATATGTATATGTTAGAATATCTTGTGGTGTCACAGAGAAGATCTCTCAACTGAAATTGTTCCCATCAAGGATAAACAGACAGACTGTGATTTTTTTTTTTTTACTCACAAAAAAAAAGAAAAAAGGAGGTGCCAAGGGGAAAATGTTTTCACTTGGCCTTTGCCTTTTTCCAGGCCTAACTATTCTTCTGCCAGTGCTTGTTATTCAGAAATGAAGAAAAAAATGCATTACTGTGGACCAGATGGGAACATTCCACATGACCAAACCAATCAATCACCTTGGTGGGACGCAGGTGTGACACAGCCGTGCAGCAACACACCATTTCACAGTCTATCAGGCACAAACACATGGTCACCAATCAATGGCACCCTGAGGACCCATGAGGAGGGGTGCTTCTCCCCTGCCTCAGTGGTTCACGGCTGATGACTTCATAATCACACTTCTATTCTCTCTGAGGAGAGCGTGATGCTCTCCCTAATAACATCTCCCACCATGTGAACACCAACAGTGTAATAGACGCTAGCATGGTCACACGTATCAAACCATCACACAGACTCCTTATCAGGCCGGAACAAGCTTAAGCAACAGTTGCCTGTCGGGTTAAATCAAAACAGTATGTATCATCAAGACATAAACGCATGTTTGGCCGGAGATGCCAAACAACTTTTGAACAGTAAAATACAATGAGAGAGGTGAAGGACAAGGAAGAACACACATATGGTTTAGGAATGCTAATCCTACTCCAAGCACTGCTGGCATACTTCCCTACGCCGAAAACCCATACAACCCTCGGGCAGCGCTTCTTTTAAAGACAGGTCTGCACTGAATAAAACCAAAGCATCAAAAAGGAGTAAATCAAGTTAATACGTTTTTCTGTGCAAGAAGTACGCTTTAGTAGTGTCAAACAACATTTAAGTTTGTCTGAGCATTATAAGTTCATAAATTATGAGAAAGTCCCACCCTCAGATTCTTGGCAGTAAGCACCTCAAAGAGCCATAGTTCTCTCCACACTTCCCACACTTCACACTGTCAGGGCTGTGCAAGAGCAGCACAAAATGTCAGCCATTGTCAAGTGGGAGTATAGACAAACAAATGTTAGTGTTTTACAAACTGATCAGACCCACTGCATTCAAATCACTGGAGCCACATAGCCGAGTGCTCTCCTCAATCAGGATCCAGGGAAATCAGGAAGTCTCTGTTTCATTTTAGGACCTGTTTTAACAGTGGTGGTGTACTAAGCTTATAGTAAAAAGACTTTGTTACAGTGCGAATAAACATTTACTTTTTCAATAGTAATTCCAGTATTATATCAAGAGGCATGCTTCTATAGCTATACAAGTTCTCTAGATTTTTAAATAGGGCTCATGTTAGTGTTATGCTAAGCAATGATAAAGATAAAGACAGCAGCTGGCAGTGGAAACAACAAAGGAGCATTAATTGTTCAACTAAAAGTAATTCTTCTGAATGAATGATTTCCCTTTTAACATTACAGCATCTATTTAATAATCTGGAACATTTTTCTTGGCACCCAAAGTAAGCAACCCGAGGAGAAAGACATAACTGAAATGGAAAGAGGGGAGGGTGTATAAATGCACAATGGTCTAATTAAATTTAACATTATAAAATACAAAATAAAGATGTAGGGTAAAATTGGACAGCATGCTGTGAATGTGCATGAATACTGAAAAAAACAACAACAGCTATTTCAAAAGATATGAGAAGTATTTCCTTATAAAAAATGAGTCTCACATGAAGACACCTTTTCACGGATTATAAATTTAATCACGGCTCTCGCTGGCCCCTGCAGCTGCTTCCTAGAGACTGGTTATGTCATCAGACTTTGGCCAGTGCCCAGCTCCTCCATCGTCTTCAGAGAGGCAGCCCTCCAGGCCTCCTGAGACTACAGCTGATCCTCTGCAGCTGGGCAGCCCCTCCACTCACACACCAGGGGCACGGGCACCACAGAGCGCCCTGGGGTTGGGGGGCTGAGCTGGAGCTACCACATGGTTAAAGAGCGGTGGGCGGCACACGATCAAGAAAAGAGATTTGCACCCTTTCAGCTCGTCTTTAGCTCTTCACGCTTCACTGACCTCAGTAATAGATAAGCACACCCTGCAGCTCTGCATAATGACTAAATCAACTAAACTGTACCTCACCTCAATGTGGTGACTTCCTCTGAACTCTCTATCTTTGTCTAGAACAGGTGCCGTGGGCAATTGAACAAGAGTAATTTGCAAATATTGAATATATCCATCACAATAAATCCACATCACAATAGATTGTTGATCCGAAACTTGGCTTTGAACAGTTTTCTAAGAATGCACTAAAACAAAGAGTAACTAATGGGAGAAAACGCAAATTTTATTTTGATTATGTATTTTTTTGTTTGCCTTTAAATAGGACATTTTTACATCAGGCAGTACCGTTCATAAATGCCACAAATCTGGTGCCATTGTGTGCCCTGGTCCTGCCCTAGACGTTGGCTGCAGTATATTTTTAGTGACATAATTGCTTTGTATGGTGAGATTCCTCTCAGTCCACTGAATGTGCACATGTGTGTGAGGCACCTGTGACCCCAACGGCAGAGGAGCACACCTGAACAGCACCTGGCCACAGCCTGCTTTCCCAGAGGACACAGCATTAGCACATGACACCTGCTCCAGTAAAAACACACTGGGGATGGCAAGCAGCGCCGGGTGGGATTTGACACTTTATGAAAAGCCTGTTTAGGAAAATTTGCAAGTGAAATCTAAAAAGATGATGTCTATATATAGTCTTTTTTTTTTTTTTGTTTTTTTTTTTTTTTGTATGTGACAACAATAATAATTTTTTATATTGAATTTAGTTGCACTATGCACATTTAAACACATTTACAACAAATAAAAGTAGGGCATTTAAAAAAAAAACAACAACTGCAAACAACTGAAAAACAAACAAAAAACTTTTTTTTTTCTCCATTATGTTTACACTTACTGTTGCTGTGTATATGCTACATTTATTTCAAAAATATATTTTGATTGTTTTTTTCATCCAAAAAGTGTAAAGGCAAGTGTATGAAAAAAGGGGTCAAACCTCTTGAGAATGGAATCACCAATAGCTGTTCTGGAAGTGGTGCACAATAGCATTGACACAGCATTGAAGCATGTAAGACATGCCCTGTCAGATTCATTATAGTCACATGGAGGTACAGATGAGCTGATGCAACACGCATGTGTCTGAGTGTGTGTTATGATAGTATTAAGCTGATTACTTTTAATAGGAACCTAATGCTTCATGAGTAATGGCTGTAAATGTACATGGAGGTAACATCAACTCAGCAGTTTATTATTAGTCATATAGTTCTTTAAGGAAGAACCAAGAAAAAACAAGGTAGTGTGGTTCATACAAACTTATAAGGCGCTGTGTGATACAGAGTAGGAAACTTGACTTTGAACAGCTGGATGGCAACTCATCCAAAGTGTACATTTGTGTAAAGTAAATATTTTCAGTATAGTAATGGGAAATATGTTAATTACTTAAGGTCTAAGGTTATATCCCAAATCAGAGCACTTTTACACTCCATAAAAACAACCTCGGTCCATTAAGTAAATAATGACAAAGTCAAACATTAAGTAGCCTACACACACTGAGATTCAATCACTACACAATGTAATGATAAGAGAGAGCACAGTGCAGCTTTTTCAGCTGTACCTCAGAGCTTGGGGTAATTGCCCAGATTGCTAGAAATCAACCTCCCCCACTGACTTTCTCTCATCTAGCTGACACAACCAGAAAAAACTCAGCAGGTAATGAGATCTAACCATCCCTTGTCGAGGCATGAACTGTTCACTATCATCAAGGCTAAACAAGGAAAGAATTAAACCTATTTTCAGAAAAAAGGATCTCATACATTACAGAATCATCTCTGATGAGTCCAGTAGTCTCACACAGGCCATCTATCTGTGACGATATCACATGTATGTATGTTTTACATTCATCACTGTTGTATTGTCAGTAAAACTATTACAAGTGTAATAACTTGTGCATCTCTCTTAATTTTTTGCATTTGCACATAAAATCTGGGTTCTCTTTTAACCACAAACAGCTTACCACAGTGAGCGTTAAAATGTACAAGATACAAAATACAACCACAACTAACTACATCATAGTCGTAGCCATAATCATTGAAGGTTCCCATGCCGGGAAAGGGTGTGTTTGTCTGCAGTAAAATCTAACAACACAATCATGTGCCTCCCACCTCTGTGGCATGCACTGGGTGACGTGTATAGTAGTAAGAAGATTGTGGACCAAGAGGGACAACCTTGGACACAAGAGAGCCAATCAGATCAGCCCCAAATACACACACACACGCACACACAAAGTGGATTGTCCTTTGGGGGGCAGTGAGCTGTCATGTTTTCCTGGCATTCAGCAACACCATTTTTCATTTGTAGGTCCATAGACATCAGGACTCTCTTGAGAAAAGGATATGACCTATGTATGCGTTCAGCGGAAGTGGTCTAATCTGTTTGTGTTCTTACACCAGTTTAAAAATGCACTGTTTATTTTACAAGCAAAGACAATGCAAATCTTTACTACTTTTCAACTAACATTTAAACACTGATACCAGGTTAATACAGAAGATTATAACACTGACTTTAACAGGAAAAGTACTCACAAATAGTAAACAAAAGTAAACACATAAAGACTCCTTGCCATTAAGGTTATGAACTGGGAACTTCCCAAAAGGAACAGTACTTTGAATAAGAGGCAGGAAGAGCACTGAATGTGGATAAATCTGAACATCCAACTAAGGATGTTGGTAAGGTCATTCTCCGGAACTAGACCTGCACTTAATATTCAAATACGTCATCGAATCACTTTGGCTTACCCAGCATCTTTTGTGTTAGAGGACATTGGAAAGAAAGATCTTACGGGTGGGATGAGTATGTTTCTGAAAATACGCAGGTGCTTGCTGTAACAAAAGCACTCAGCAACATTTTGTTCTTCTTAAACATGATATATGAGATCACACAGTTGTATAGGCTAAACTCCGCTTTTATTTTCGGACCACGCACAAAGTCAATATACTATATACTTAGTATATTGAGACATGTGGGCACTCAAGAGAAAATTGTGTTTCTAGTATCTAGTATCACTGCATATCAACCCACCTCATGGTAATTATTACATCATGTCTAAGTTAACTAGAGAAAAAGGTTAACTTAACTTAAAAAACTAAGAAAAAACATAAATTAATAAATCAAACAATAAACTACTCTTTTGAATATAACTTTTTACCAAATTCTGGTTTCAGTATATATAAGTAATTACAAAAAAGTAATAAAACAATATAAAAATTGTATATATCTTGTGTCAGATTTACTACTTTCTACCTTTTTAGTACAAGTTGCTATAAGCTGTCTGAAAATCCAGGGGACAGCTTCTCTCTATGACAGAAAGCTGTAGTGATGGCCGTGAATTCTCGCCCCGAGCAGGGTCATCGCGGGAGGAGGAGGGGGAATGGGGAGGGGTAGTAGGAATATATGGAGACAGTAGGAGACAGCGCTCCCAGATGCATATGCCTTAACCCCAGTAGACTATTTTTCCCTGACTGTCTTCCCAGCACCAAAGGACATGTGTGGGGTGAGCTGGTGTGAATCACTTACCCATTATGCTGGAGCTCATAAAAGGTGTTGGGGACAATCCTTCATGGGGCACTAATCGACTGTCACTCAAATGATCGCCGTAATGAGTGCTGTCAGTGAAACCCTGGGGGAAGAGATCAGAATATTAAGCACATTACTGGACAACTCCTAATTGAGTGCTTTGGTATACTGATAATTACTACAGAGGAAAGCACCACTGGGCGGCTTTGTCAAAAAAACTGGTCCAATGTACTAAGAAGACTTAACAAAAAAATTAAGATGTCCATAAAGCAAACATATAACACAATAATGACTGTAAATATGATCATACAAATGTTATTTTTATATTTTACTCAATTATCATGTTTAAAGTTATTTATCAATATGCATGTATAATTTCAAATCTGCGTTGTTTTTTTTTTTTATATTTATCTACATTTTGAGCATATTGTTTCCTGCATTGTAACAAATAGGTCAGATTTCTCTTATAGATCATCATCTCAATTGAATGTCTAATACTGTGATCACAAGAGTTGATCTATGTAAAAAAAAAATTTAATTAATGCCAACTAGATTGTATGTTTTGTTCACACACAAAGATGAAAGACAGCAGTACACAGACAGAAGCAATGGAAGTTTCAGAAACAGAGGAGGATGCCCACATCATTTCCAGTTACCTGCAGCTTAAAAAATTGCCTTTTCTCCTGCAGCTTACCAGGGCCCTTTTATGACGGTTATCAGCTGGAGGGGCTTAGGTCTAAATAACGGTCACAGTATGGTTTTGGAAAACTCAGGGTCCCGTGTAATAAAAGATACTCTGTTACTGTGCTAATCCCAAGCCCTGTGAAAATCCCCCTGTGCTCCAGTAAAATACATTTTCGTAAACTACATTAACGTTCACCAGTGGGACGAAACAGCAAAGGGGCTCATGTATAGCTACTGACTGATGTCCTATGCATTCAGTTTGATGTGAAAAGTAAACCTTTCTCTATTATCTATCTTTTCTGTTTGTTTGAGTAATTTCAAAGGCAGTGTTGTGCTGCATTGAGGAAAACCTGAGAGGTTCACTATTGTGTCTCTGCCAGACCGCGCACACTGTTAATCACACTATGAGCAGAGTCAATAACAACAGTAGTCAACAGGGAAAACCAATGCATCTTTTTAGACCACTGTCTTTTAATTATTATTTATTATTTATTTATCATTTTATCTTATTTCATATCAAAATAAGGTAAGATAAGTAATGAGTAATAATGTAGTACTTGTAATGATTATTTTATATTAGTGATAGTTTTCTCTTTAAATTTGACTTCAGGGAACCAATGTGGTACTCTGTCTTGGTTGTAAAAGTATCAATGGAAACAGCTTCCAGCATTTAAACTGGCCTACATCTGTGTGGGATCCTAACACACAGTGTCACTGGGCCACAGGGCTGAAGAGCACTAGTGGCTAAATAAGTGACAGCTAACACAGGCAGCATGTGGCCAAGAGCACATGCCTCATCCTCCATCAGTCGACAGACTGTTTAAAGCCAGCATTTCCTTCATGTACTCGTCCCAGGTGAACCAGTGACTGCGTGTGTTAGCCTGGGACATGATGATTTGACCATGATGGATGCACTTGAGGTCGAGAATCAAGTTGGGGCAAGGCGCTAGGGAAGTGGGGGTGTGCCTGTCAGACCACCAGCCTACAGCTACAGCTGCCCAGGATACAGACTCTGGCTGAGAGCCAAGGTCAGCGCGACGGGCTTGGGACTCTTCACAGCCCACTGATCACAAACTTACAGCTCACCGGCTCAAACAAGCTCAGGGAGGGCTCCAGTCTCTTTGTAGCTGACAAGAGCTAGTGCTTAAGCACTGATGTACTACTGTTCCTAGTTGTCAGGCAGTAGATGTACAAATAAATTGTGATCATACATGCTGTATTTGAATTGTGTCCAGAAAAATCCAGGTTTCATATATGAAGCTGAAAATTAAACTAATCAAAATTTCTATGTATGTAATTGAACACTCCACTAATATAATCTATATAACATAAATATTCGAAGAAACATGTTTCTAAACTGCCCGTGTTCTCCCTGCCTGGGTGTAAGGGACTGTACAAATCAGTCGGCGTGTGCAGCTGTGTCTGAGTGGCATGTGCGCGTATGTGTGCACGCCTTATGGAGGTGCAAACAGCTGTCTGCTGGCTGATGCTGTGCCTTGCAATGTCAGAAACATTCATTTATATGCACCTGGAGCAAAGATATCTCAAGCGTCTCTGTCTTATAATTCAAATCAAGCTGCCTGTGTTACCATAGCCTGTAGATGTTCATTCGGGAAGGGCACCAAGAAATAAACAAGGTAATGCGGCCCGAGTGGCTCTGACATTTAACTGAATTCTAATGGAAAGTGACAGGAGAGTGACATTAAATGAAATTCATACAGGGCATCGAGAACAACCAACGTGTGAGGCGCAAACAAACAGGCAGTGCTGTTCACACTTGCTCACGCTCACAGTGAAATGATCCCAGCTAAACAAACAACTGAGTTTAAACAGGCACTCGCAGACCTGCGCCAAAATCAGTGCATTTTACAAAGGGAAGTTGTTATGATTGATTGCAGTCATAAATTATAATGTAATGTTATATGCTTCATCATTCATGCAAAAGGTTGGAACAGTAACAAACTAAAACAGTATAATAAAATAATACAATGTATAGGTGGATATAATATTAATACAATATATTTATACAGAAAAATGTTCTATATCTTTTTTTAAATAATGTATGTTATCACTTTTTTTTTGCTGTTGCTTCAGTTTTGACAAGGTAGCTCTTAAAGTAGTTATGAGACCGCCTGAGTGCAGTTTGCATTTTATTGTCCAAGAACCAGGAAGTGTGCTCTGTCGTACTTATAAAGTCATAGCAGAGAATATAAGGACTGCAGAAAAGATGGATAGGAATGGTGCTGTAAGTGCTAGCAAAGAGGATTTACTAGCCATGCTAACTGCTTTTGGAAAAAGCAACTGGGGTGTATTTTTTGAGGATTTTTTGTAATTTAAATTTTACTTTATTTGGTAATTACTTTCATCGCCCAGTAATGCAGTTATTAACGCAATTACTTTAGGGGAGAAGTAACGGGAAATTCTACCTAATTCCTTTCTTATAGGATCTTGCCAACAGTTAATATAATGCTTCTCCAAGATAAATCCCGTTAAGAATTGGATGGGAGGCTAGCTTTTTCACTCCACTTTTCAGGCCATAGTTATATCAAAAGATGTATTGTTGTCCATTCCAGTTCAGTGGATGTCAGTGATCACTGCTGTTGTAGTTACTGGTGTTTTATACAACACGAAGGTTGTGTTATTAAACCAATTCCTGTTTATAATAGGGAAGGATTTAAACCTTTGGATGGATCCTATGATGGACAGATCATCCACTAGGTTAGGCAGCGTTGTTGTAGGTCACTGTTTTTACATTATTTTGTGAAAATATTAATAAATATATTCATAAATGAAACTTAGAGAATAAAATAATACTGATACTGGGATGTGTTAGGCAAGTGAGAAATAAGTTTAGACTGCTGGAAAATGTCTTAAGACAGTAAAAATCTGGTGCAGCACCAGGCAGTGTGATAATCACAAAAAATCAACAGTGCTTTCGGCCTCAGAATAGTGGCTCTATTAGAGGATAGAGTGCATGACTGATTAACAGGTGAATCTAAAACACAGTGCTTTGATGATATGAGTGTTAAATGATATGTTGTGGAGCAGAAAGGCCATTCACTGGCGTTAAGTTGAGGGTCGTCTTACCCGGGAGGAGTCATACGAGGGACTGGACTCGCCACCTGGGGCCCAGGACGCTTGGTTGGCTCGTTCTTCCAGACCTGTCAAAAAAAGACACGCACAACTCACTCAGTCTGGAGCGCCTCTTAAAGCATGCCCACCCTCTCCCATACAAATAAATGGCATTATATTTACAAAAAAGCTGCTGCTTAGTTACAAACTTGACATTGAAACAATCAAGACATCCCCAGAGGATTATGAATGTACATGCTAACATGGGAGGAGGAAGAAGATAGTGCTTTCCTTTCCAGAAGTTGACCCCGGGCTTTAACAACACATTCAAATATACAACAATGCCAGATACACCTTCATCTATCCTGTATCTGTATGGATATCTTTGATTTCATTTTTAAAAAAGTTTTGGATTTTTCTATTTTTAACTGCGCTATCCATATCTTGTTCATTGTTGTTGAGATAGCTTCGAACAATAAACAACATTTCCATGATCTGGCAATGATTTATTACAAACAGCTGAGGAACAAAAATGTATAAAACTAATTCTCCCTCTATTTCTCAAAAGTCAAAGTGAAATACAAAAACCAATAACCTTAACCCAACAACAGAGACAGACCATCTGGCATATGCAATTTTCTCAATCGAATTTATCCCATACAGTGTATAAAATGTTTGATGCTTCAATTCTTCAAGTTATAGTCATAGCCACTAAGCAAACAAAATTGCATGGAGGGTAAAGCATTAACATGTCCCAAGTTATTGATTGTACCACTTCTGATCTAATTCAAGAAAAGCAATACCTATTCTACAATTTAAATTACATAAAAGTAACAGATTTATAATACACAACTGTTGTTTAAAACATAGAGTAACTACAGTTACACAATGTTTCATTTTAAAGTGATAACACATTTCTTTAGCTTGTAAAGTTGCTTTAAGTGAATGGAAAAGTCATGAGACTATACATTGTTAATTTCTTACAAGGTAAAATTATGTTGTGAAACCTTTGATCAAACTGTACTCATAAGCCTAAAGTCAGTTACATACAAAAATCATGTAACTTTGCTTTACTGAAATGTTTAGATTGTTGTTTGTTAGTATAAGCTGCTTGTTGCTCAAATGTTAGTTTAGCCAACACTATATGAGACCACTACACAGCAAATGTAACAATAGTGAGACTGTTTATTCTATGGGCCAGTGGCTGTCATCTCGTCTGATTACCATCTCCTATCGGGGCTCAAGGGCCCTCTCTCTTCTTCGAGCGCAGGCAGCAACACAACAAGATTACTCACTGACACAGAGCTAAACAAAACACACAAATGGACTGGCTCTAACGCACGGCTAATGAAAAAAGAACAAAGCTTCTCTGTGGTAATACTGTATTCCAACACATATTGTTTATAAGCAATTCAAAGCAAAAGCTAATCTAACTATGTGAATCTGCATTAAATGATTAGGATAAAGATAATGGTATAATGCTATTCTTACCAAGCACTCAAGTGTTAATAAAAATATTCAAAATAGCATCACAGAATATTATGAGCTTTTGATTTTGTTGTATAAAAATTTTATTTAAATATAGTAACATTCTGAATGAAATATTTACAGTGTCCTCACATTTGGCTTGATTAGGTCAAGGTTAATGTAACAGAACCCACTGGACATACAAGCAACAATTATGGGGGAATAATTGTATTATAATGGTATTAAGAGCAGGTTTGTCAATAAGAAATAAACGGCTAACACACTTGAGCTTCACCGATGTTTTTCAGAAAGAAGTATACAATCACATGGTTAAAAAAAAAAAAAAGAAAAAGGAGGGATGAAGATTTTTTTCTGTTATGACATTGGAATAATTTTTGTATCAAAATTTGCATGTGCTCTCAAAATGTTTTGTAAAAATTTAACAAAATACTATGTTCTGTCTGGTTTATGCCTACATTTGTTAAGTTTGGATGTCGCTGACAAGCTTCACTCCAGATAGAACAAAACAAAACACTACATGGCACTAAATGAAAATCCTCTATTTAGCAGTGCTCATTCAGTGGCGGCTTCACTGAAGAGTCAATGGCCTCATCAAACCTGCATCATCAACACAGCTGGAGAGAAGCAGTGATGAATCTCGGTCAGAGGCACTTTGGCTATTTTTTCCCATCCCTCTTCCTCTGGCACACATCTGAAGGGTCTTGCCAGTCCCACTCCGGCTCAATTATCGAGCTGTGCCCAGCTGAGATGCAATAATCCAAACTCTCATTCCCGGCAATTTCCACACTTGTGTCTGCACAGTCACTTGCCTTATGTTCACTATCACTTATGGAGGTGCCTCTTCCCCACCTCGAAGATTAGAGACACAGGACCACATGCAGCATGACGAGTCGGGGGATTAGGAGACACACTTCTGTGCTTGACTCAATAATGGGTTTACTCCTAGATCATTTTGTTCTGATACTGTATTATAAAAATTATTTAACCACAATAATAGTATGTGTCTAATTTGGGTTTACAGGACAGGACATCGAAAATCATCATCAGTTGCAAAAGTATGTAAAGATGATGAATCAAAAAATAACTGCATTCAGTTTGTGAATGAAAAGCTATATTAAACTATTCAAAAGAATTCATTTGCACATCTGTTTTTCAAATCTTTTTTAGAACGATTAGTTCATTTGAGTGGATATTTTGGTATGTTGAGGCTCATTCCACAGTGCTGTAGGCAATAGCTAAACATTTCAAAAAGGCTTCTGTGAGTCTCTCTCTATTAGGTGTTGGCGATGCCATTTACATGTTGCACATCAGGTGTGTGCCGGCGTGTGCTGTGCCACCAACCTGGTTGTGTGCAGGTTGGTGGCACTATCACTGCATATTCTACAATGGAATGCTTTATTTTTAGCATAATTTGTGGCTGTAAGAGTTCTTGGATAACTGCTCTATACAGCTGTGGAGAGGAGTAAGCTCAACTAGTCTTTTATAAGTATTTGCCAACCTCTGTGTCTTAAGGCACAGGGGAGCGGGGGGGTGTTTTTTTGTTTGTTTGTTTCTTTGTGAAGCATATGTTTTAAGTCTACATGTGTTTTATGTTATAATATTGTGCCCCAATATCATTACCCCATATGAACCAAGGCCCGGTGATCATGAGCCAGGACATCAGAGTTAGCAGGACGCTCCCAGTGATAGCAGTGAAAGTAATATGTAATGAGAGATATGTTAACCACACATAAAACTGAAGCTCCACCAATTAGGATCTCCATCCCAACTCCTTTGTGTCCTCCCATCACAAGATGGTTCAATAGAAGAGCAAAATAGCATGTCACTTCCCTACCTCACAGTGATCATTTTGATCTGTTAAGTTTGGTGACCAAATGGTTCCACACTTTTTTTTTCCAGTCTAGAATCTGTGCCATCTTTCATCGACTGCAGAAACAATCTGGTCCAATCACATTCATAACCAGGGTTAAATAACTAATTGTAACAAATGAAAAATGTAAAACAATACAATAAAAAAAATAAATAAATAAACATGGATCACATCTGTGCCCCAGATTGAACTTCATGGTTCACTGACAGTGGAGCATTTACGTTGGCTTTGTTAGTCACATGTGAATATTTTGTTAACTCTAAGTCAGAAAAAGACACATTAATTACATGGTGAGTTCTCTATGAAAATGTTAAGATGCCCAATTATATGGAAGGACTATGGGGAGACAGACCAATAGAGGAAGGATATGCTTTTATTATTGAGCAAATGCAACAGTTACAAAAATACTCTCACATGCAATTGCACATTTTAGACATGAAAACTAAAACATTAAAAACTGCACCATCAAAAGTGGAAAATTATGTAGATGACCTTCTGCCTAATAATCAGTCCTGTACTTGATTAATGAGGCTTATTGGGTCTGGGTCTGCAGCGGTTACACATTAGTGATGATCAATAACAAACCTCAAGCCAAGGCAAACAAAAAGTTTTTATTGCTATTCCAAGTCATTTAATGCACACAGCACTAATGTATATTAAAAACAGCATATAGGCTCCACACTAGATTTCAGACTGAATTCTGCACTGAAAGCTCAAAATACATTAAGTAGGAGTAAGATCTCTTCTAACATTGAATCTCAAGTCTAATGTGGCTTCAGTCTTGTTGTTCAGCTTCTACTCAGAGTCTTTGGTTTCACAGCCAACTAAAGACAACAGTGCTTTGTGAATGAACACAAAACATGCTTTCATAAAACCAACATAATGCTTGATTGTTGACTTACTCCAGCAGCGCACCAGACAAAAGAAGTTTTGCGTTAATATCCATTTATAGCTATAGGAAGTGATCCCAACACAGACAGCATAAACACAACAAAACCAACATCAAAACATACATGTAAATATGGTCTAAAGTTCAGTCAAATGCAAAAAAAAACAAAAAACAAAAAAACACCAAAAACACCAATAGCAAAGACGCAGTGAAACAAGCCCAAACAAACAGCTACACAAAGAACTTGGTCGTCAGCCAAACCTAAAACATTAATTAGAAAAAATGACTACACTGTGTTTCGAGAAATCTCACTATAGAACACCTATACTGCTTTAACAGACAATAGGCCTAAATGAAACATCTGTAATTGCCAAGAATGTAGTTATAACCTTTTTGAATGATTGTTTGACCTGAAGACCCTCATTAAACAACTGTTTTAACTGACATTTTGACAGATAAGGGAATGTTCTGTCCATTCCCTTCATTGCTATAGTGGTAACTGGATCAATACAAGGTGTCAATTTACAGACACAACTCCTGCACCAAGTCATTACTAGAGCTCTGCATTACAATCCAAGATGAACACACAGGTTTTGAGAGCCAGGTGTGAAAGACTTCCCACAAAGAGATGGGAAAGAATCATGTAACTCTCTACATAAGCAACTTTAAATGTGTAAGTGTGTTTTAATAGATCGACGAAACCAAATTAAAGGACCTGTACGTTTTTAGACATGGGACAACAAGTTCCTACCTGATGTACTGAACTGGCTGCTTCCCAGTGTTGTAGGCCTGTTTTTCCCTCCATTTACAGGTGGCGAGAACATCTGTAATCGTAAGTAAATATGTAAGTTAATAACCAAAACCTTTTAAGAGCACAAAACGGTTTGCATTCAAGTTTTGATTTAAATTATAGCTTACAGAATAGACTAAACGACACCTTACTACCCCATGTTCCAACACTGACAGGATGTGAACAGGGTGTTTTTAATGGTGTGCTCATAAATTGATAATGGTAGGCCAAATGGCAAAAATAAAATATAAAAGCAATAATAACTAAAGCAATAAGATAATTAATATATAATAATAGAATTAAATTTAAAAAATCTTTTGGAGGAAGTTAATAACAGACATAATTATTACAACACTTTATAATGCATCATAATGTCTGTATCTTATTACGTGCCCTATAATATCATTTGCACTGGAAGAATACTTTGGTGAGTTCATTAATTGCCCCTTTACCCCATCACTACAGAGAAGTGTGAAGAGCGCCCTACCGCACTGAAGTCCAGCAGGTCACTTAACTCCTTGTCTGTTCCGAGAGCGGCAATCCGCTGCTGAGGATTCATTGTGTCCGTCTAGAAACCTGAAAAACACCGCTATTCGGTCACAAATGAACTGGTCCATTCCGCGTGTGCTACAAGATACGACTGTCATGAGCATTTGTTATGAATGAAGAACGCACGATAATCAGTAAAGTATACTTGGCATTGGTGTTTTATGTTTTAGGTGACAGCACTTCTGCATGACATTTAAATAAACTGTACATACATGTCTTGTTTTCTTTTTTATTTATGCGCTAATTGCGTCGATTAATCAGCAGATAAGACGTGTTATAGAGAGAGCCGCATCAGCGCGTATTGCGGTAACAATGTCCTCATGAGCAGCACTGACTGTATCTCTAGTAACACATGTTTGTAAGTCTCTTAAGAAGGTGTTGTTAACCAGCATAATGTCAATGATTTGAGTGTCAAATCTTGTCAGAATAAAGATGATGGGGTCCCTTTTAGCGGGGTTAGCATCTAGCACTAGCCGCAGTTCTGTTTCTTTTCAGGCTTAAAAGGCAGACTGCAGCCTTTCGTAGCGGAGATACGGACATGCCGTGCAAAATCGACTGCAAGCGATACAATAGAAAACTGCACATTATATTAATAAAACAAAACACAAAAATGCAGCACAAACAAAAACTGATCGACAATTTATAGAGTCCAGTGATGGATCCCCCAACTCCTAACTTCTTTCACTGGTCTGAAAGCTTTTTGCAAACTCCCACAGATTTTTTACCTTAGTCCGACACACAAAATCCAACTAGGGTGATCTGATGATGCTTCTCTTTCTTGAATAAAGCTCAATTCAGGAAAATGTGGATTTAAGTGGTAATATCAAGGAAATTATCCTCTATATATCAATAACGAGTTCCCCTTAGGCAGACATTTTTGGTTTGCGAAAGCCTCAGCACCACGATGACAGTGGTTATTGTATCCCTCCGCTGAGACGGTGACATGAAAGTCCCACACGCAGACTGGGCTGTGCAGACTGGGATGTGCGGAGACTGTGCACAGCGGGATGCTGCGGGACTCAGCCTACAGTGCGTGCACGCGTGCGCACGGACTGTCCGAGGCACCGCCGTGACCACTACACCTGCTGCACGTGTTATCAGGAGTGAGCGCATCAGCGGTTTGGAGAGCAAAGATAAAATGCATTTCTCAAGGCCATAAAGAACTACGTATCTTTAGGCAGATAACAACCTGTATATGTAGCTACAGGCAGTAAAGGCAAGATAACTTAATTACTGGCGCAGATCTGGTGGCATGGTGCTTAACAGTCCAGAACAAAAACATGTTTTTTTTATTATTATTATTCGAGGATCAATCTGATCTGGTCTGACTTTATGACTTAAAAAATAAATCCTGAATCCTGCATAATACCATAGTAAATCATTCTATGCTATAGTGCAATGCATATTGCATAATTGGCATTTATTAAACCACTAAAAATGTATTATGTAAACAAATCAGGCTCCCGGAGGCTACGTCCACAGGTGTGTTTAAGTCACCATCATCTGTCACAACTTAACACATCGGCTACAGCATAGACGTATTTAGACTTTAATAAGATATTAAATCGTACATCCAACAGGGAACGCAGGCAGGTCGCTTACTGTTGTTGGCGATAAAAATAAACAAAGCGATAGACATCACAGTGGATACATGCAGCGCAATAAGCTTCTGAAGGAACTACTTTTTCCTCCGCGCTGTTCAAAGCCAACCTATACATTGAACCCTTGGACCAGACTACTAGACTATATGAATGGAAATAAATTTGTCTCTATAATAGTCAAAAAAAAAAAAAAAAAAAAAAGAAGAAAAAAATAAAAATAAATAAAAAATTGTCCATTATGGCCTAAGTTTCTTCTTCTTCTTCTTCTTCTTCTTCTTCTTCTTCTTCTTCTTATTTTTATTATTATTATTATTATTATTATTATTATTATTATTATTTGTAGTAGTAGTAGTAGTAGTAGTAGTAGTAGTATTAGTAGTAGTAGTAGTAGGTAGTTACATTACAATGAATTAAATCAGGTCAGTTTCGCATATATATTCTTAAACTCCCCAAATGTGATGAAAATATTCAGCCTAATCTAAATTTTAATTGACAGATTTTTCTCGTGTTGGAGACGCGTTTGCTGCGGCACATCTGTTAGTTTTGTTAAATCCAGACTGCCACCTGTTGGACAAACACACGTCACGGCGAACAGATGCACAATAGGGGACAAAAAACTATAGGCTTTAGGGGTTATTGGCGATTAATTGTAAACATTATTTTGATTAGGCCTATGCATAGGGTTGTTACATTCATTGGACATGATCGATGTCCCAGTTCGTAGGCCTATTTTTGTTCTCAAGAGGATTATCCGATCTCTCATTTGGGTTGCCTGCTTCAATGCTGCAATCCAGTTGGTTTAAACCTAAAAGGATCCGAATCCTCACTTTCTAAACCCCAGCCCCTGCTGTAACCAATCATGAAGCAGTGCTATTGCAGCCTCTGCAGCTCAGTGAGGGAATTCTGGAGGTTCTTTCACACGAGGCCTGTGCTGCCCATATTATGAGAATGAGAAAAACATGTATGTGTCCTGTTTGCAGGTTAAGGCATTAGCGACACAGGGATAGTACATTTTGTAGCCTCCCAGGACCTGGCATCCACATTTTGGGTTGTTCAGGCACTTACTAAATACTTTTTGCAAATCATTATTCATTTGTGACTTCATTGTGTTCCATCAAAACGATTAAAACATAAAATGAATGTTTTATATATCATATGTGGACATATAAATAGAAAAATGTAATGAAAATATAATTCTTTGTTTTTGCACTCATCAGGTTCCAGTCAGCCCAAATAACAAAGAGAAATCAATAAAGCATGCCATGCAAGAGTTCGGGTCCTAGGAGGTTAAAACATTAAGAGTGCAGGCTGTACCAATATAAACTGAAACAGTTGAAAAGAGGCATGTCATTAACCAATACGTCCTGATACTGACAATTATTAGCACGATTGGAGAACACAGTCCACTCCTCATCTCCCTTTCTCCTTTGTCTCTAGATCTCCATCTTACTGCCCTTCAATATTTAAATGTGAGTTGGTCATTTCCAACATCCGCTACAGCAGTTTTGACTAAAGGTACCAAGTATGGAATGAACGAATAATACAAAATTACAAGGACTTTGACCGCCTGGAAAAGTACTATTTATGCGATAGTATTATTAGCCTAAAGCAGTAACATCCTTAAGTGTCAACTCTGTTACACATTCAATATCACGATAAAATAATGTATTAGTCTTAAATATTTATTGTGTAGCTTAAACCCTGAAATGAACTATCTATTTCACCATTCCACATATACAGAAATGGATAAACAGTTGTACCAACAGGTTAAACAGTTCATATATATATATATATATTCTGGGAATTATGGGAAGGACATGGGGAAAATAGGAGATCCACTTGAGAACCGAGAGCTGCAGAAGAGACCTGAACAGGCTATATCCAGTTGAACCCCCTAAAATAAAGTTGGTTTAATGTAATGAGCTGTACCTCTGTAACCGTTCCCCTGACTTGGACGTGACTCTTCAAATTAACGCTAGATTACAAGAGCACTTTTAGCACCTATCAACTATTGCTGTTTTAAGGTATTGTGGAAAACACTCCATAGCTCCCGGAAATATGATTCTTCATCAAGAGGAAGTAAACACAAAGCAGATCTCCTGATTGGTCCGTGCAGCCGAGAGCTTTCCGCCTCCGCCAGTACAGAGTAATTTTTCTCTGTCCCAAACCTGAGCTGCTGCTTTTAGCCCTGAGCCTGTTTTGCAAAGCCTGCCCCACTGCACTGTCTCTTAGGAGATTTGAGTAAATCGGTTGGATAATATCAACAATCTGCTGGTTAGTTTAATCGATATCAATTTGCTGCCTCCTGCTTTGGTCCGGTTCCTTCTCCAACATGCTAACACCATAAGCTAATGTTATTTTTGTTTTGGGATAGAAACGCATAAAAAGATTTCATTTGTTATATCGGTGTAATATTGCTATATTGCGCTGCCGAGTTTTACTGCTGTAAGGCACACAGTGCGAGGCCTACAGAGACAATAGAAACGATATGATAGTAATGTTACGCTTAGCTAGCTAGCACTAAACCTATTCTTGCGCAAAAGCTGTGTATGCTAGTTACACACATGGCTAAAAATAGTAACTATGATACAAAGGAATATTTATGCCATTTAAGAATTGTGTTATTTGAGTGTTCTGTGTTCAACATAAAGTCAAACTTTTGTCCATTTAAATGATGATTGCATTTGCTGAAGACGTGTACCTATGATTGTGTGTTATGTTTTGTTATTACAGAGGCGTTTATTTGCTGCGGGTCCATAATGTCTGAGCTTGAAATGGAGTGTGTCGAGGAGGAGCTGGAACCATGGCAGAAGTCCTTCCCACCGATCAATCTGACTGAAGAAGATGATGATGAACCCATATTTGTAGGAGTAGTGTGTATGTATTAATACATACCAACCTCTAGATAAGTATTTCACTTTGGGAGTTCAAAGTTAAAAAATGTTTGTCTTGATTTGACAGCTGAAGACCAAAGGGAGAGAGATTCTAAATCAATGGTCATCCAGTGGAAATCTGAAGAAAAACTAGATATTAGACAGTCCAATCCTCAGACCTGTCCATTGTTGCCTCTCAGTGTGGTAGGAACCCCCGGGAAAACCTCAGTACCTACTATGCCAGCTATTTCACCACAGCCCATTATTGTTAATAACCAGGTAAAAAAAAAATCTATATAATACATATCTTTATCTTTGTATGCATATTGCATCATATATAATGCTATGTGCCATATTTTCTCATGGAATTCTTTTCAATTAATTAAATATATTTTTCAGGGCTTTATAGTAACTCCACAAATTACAAACAACAGTAATTTCATCACCTCTCTTGGGACTCCTGGCACTTCGTTTACATTTGTATCAGGTAATCAATTTTGTCTTTAAAAAACCCCTGAAACAATGGCACTTTTTAGACCATTATTTGTGCTGCTGTAGTAAAGCATTTGCTCACTAACCTGCAGATTGCTGGTTCACTGTGTGTGTTTTAGGTTTTTGTGAGAGTGAAATGACTAAGACAAAGATGCATCATTGCGTGTGTGTGCGTGTGTATGTGCGTGCCTGCGCCCGCGCTCGCGTTTGTGTGCGCGTGTGTGTGCTCAGGCATTAAATTATGGTGACAGAAATCCATATACAGAGTAACCTTTGTTGGGACTCAAAATCAAGTCTTGATAAGGTAAATCTTTCAGTATTAGATCAGTGTTGAAATATGGATGAATTTTGGCCAATGTTAGGCACATGATTAACTATGGGTAAGGTCTTCGACTTGCTGACCAAGGATTCAAACTTGGACTGGTCTAGTTACACCACTCAAGTCTGTATATTGTCAATATGTGTGCCGACATACAGAGTTAGTCCAAACTATAATAAAATAAGAAAACTGTGCCTATGTCTGGGCTGGACATTGAAACTGGTCTCGACTTTAGATTGTAATGACTTCACTCAGACACAAACTCTTTTTGAAATGACTGTATTTCAGTTATTGGACTTGCGCTGGGACACTATAAAACACAAGTCATGTCACAAATAATGACATCACAAGAGCAGTCACATGTAAAATGAAAAATATTATAGGAGCTATAACTTATTTTCTTGACTCTGACTCAACTCACACTTGTCCAAAGTGACTTGAACTTGATTACAACACTGATGGGTAGACATTACTAGTGTTGTGGGGACACCAAAAGGGGTGAGTTTGCATCTTCACAAGGGAGAGCCTGCACCTGTTTGTCTCCATGGAAATTTTGTTCCTTTGTATCTATCTCAATGGAGAATGTTCTGAAATATGGTTTTAACTTTCTATTTCCGTGGAATTGTGCAGGTGATGTGTCACTTCCAAAAAGTTGCTCAGTCTTGTCCAGGAAATAAATGCAAGTTACTGTAAAAGCATAGAAAGCCACTATGTGTGTATGTGTATATAGATATATATTTATATTTATGTATATTTTTTTCAGCCCAACCACAAACATTTCAACAACTTTCCCCAACTTCTTTGATACACGGTGTAGTCCACAGGCCTCAGGTCCAACAAATCCACAACAACATTGTGACACTGTCAAATGTCCAGGGTCCAGCTGTCTACAACAGACCCACTCAGATGCATTTCAAGCAGTCCAACAGATCTTTGGCACTAATAAGTATGTTACTTATTGATAGAGCCATTGTAACCACAAACACTTGAAACCTTTGTTCTTAATAATGTTTTAATTTTAATAAATGTATTCAAAGGATCTCCAAAATCAAGCAATGTTACACAAAATGGGTCGTCTAAACATACGTGCACACACTGCAAAAGTACCTTTTTTGATGAAAATGGACTTAAGAGTCACTTAAGGGTAAGTTAATTATGAAGCTCAAACAACTCATAATCAAGGTTTTCAAGACTATTGTCATAATTTCATTTGTATATTTGATGTGTTTCTGTTTCAGAACTGTAAACCAACAGATACTGAAGAAGGTGTAGCACTTGCACCACAGCAGTTTGGTGATGGTAAGCGCATAATGCTGGTTGGAGAGTTCTACTACGGCAAATTCGAAGGAGATGGCTATACACCGGAGACTGAAAGGACAACCACTTTCAAGTGCCAGAGCTGCTTGAAAGTGCTCAAGAATAACATTAGGTATGTCCTTGAACAATATGGAGTATTATTAATTCTATACTATCTTAGTACTAATATATAGTAGCAACTCATGCCAACTCTTTGGTGTGACAGAAGTGTCATTGTTCAGTATTTATTGATATGAAAACACAAAACACAAAATATTTGTATAGCTCGTCAAACAAATGTGCTTGATGTAGCATGTTGCAACAAAGAAAGTACAGACTACATTTCTTCTAATAAAAATGATAACAGGCACTTTTGCACTCAATGTGCTGTGATAATAATGAGCGGGTTCCTCCAATTTTATTTTATTTTATTTTATTTTATTCACCCGTGAGCTGCCAAGCCTGTTTGTTCTGATTGATTAATCTTCACCCGCATTGGTACTTTGGCCTGGTCCCAGAGTACATGTCTTTGAATAATTTTTGAAAAGAGCATACCCTCTGCTGGCCAGCCAGCTACTGTATATTGAAGATTCAATGTTTCCATTATGTCTGCTGTGTATTACTATATTCTTCATTGCTGCTTATTGGTCCTGCTAGAGTGGTGCCATACATTTTTATGCCTCATTACTTAAAAAATAACAAATAACAACATTTTCTTACATGACAAACAATCAAGGTTTCAGAATTAGCAGTTCAATATTCATCTTAAAAATATTTAGGCTTTTCAACCAAAAGCTGTCATTCAGTAACTCAAAGAACATTCTAGAGCTGAAATTGAAGCATGTGGAGTGCCAATAAAAGCATGTCTTCCTTGGTTCTTCCACTGTTTTCTTCTAAGATAAATGATGGCATCATACCATTTTCTCTCAGGGGCCTAAAGATGAAAAATGACTCCTAGTTTAGGTGGCGTAAGAACTGCTCCTTTGATTAAATAACTTTGCTTCAGAATGTTGCAAAAAAAGCATCTGTAAGCTGCTTTTAATGGGGAAACACATTTGTACTCCAACCACACTCTCTCTGTTGAGGTCATGGTTCATCCACATAAAAATTTCTATTAGGGGAGCTGAGGTAGCACAATGTACAAGCTGAAAAATGGGCCATGCCTCATCAGGGCACCAATGGCAGGTACCTGTGGAGGTGCTTAATGCAACCGCAGGGCACTACATCATTAGACAAAACCAAAATCTATGTGTAATTGCAGATATTATAACAGCCATTATACATGCTTAGAAAGTGAGGTGCAAAAATGAATCCTAATTTATCTTTTAAAGCCTGTTGGGAATTAGCCTGAAATCGCTGCATGTATGTGGTCATGAATATTTAATTGAATTCACTGTTGATGGTAAATAACAGTAATTTAAATTTAAGAGTTTCATCTATTCTCCTTAAAGAATGTAGATGAAGATAATATGTGTTCAACATTGTTTTGTAGTTAACCTTGCCCTATGAAAGGAAAAAAAATGTTTTAATTAATGAGCCCAATTGATGTGTAACCCTTGTATCACAATGACAGCACATTTTTTTATTGCAATTGTGAATTAAACGCAATAAAGGCCTTTTTTGAATTTCTTGGTGTATAGCTAATTAAACAAGTTCATGTTGTATTTTTTTATTTATTTATTTTGCTTGTTTGTAACTAAATTAACAAGACCACTGGGAATTTCAGGTGCCACAGTAGGGAGTGCCACTGGCAAAAACTACTGTTTTGTACTTAGGCATGACACTTTACACACATTGCTTCTGTCAGTCTGCCCCAGGACAGCTACTGTAGTAACTTACTCTGGGTGTCTTGAAAGTTGCTATATAAATCCAATGATTAATTAATTGGTAATTTAATGATCATTTTATATCATTCTTTACTTTACAGGTTATGTCCCATTGTAAACATGCTTCCTCTTATGGGTTAAATTGCAGCTGTGTGTTCATCTCTTGTAGGTTTATGAACCATATGAAGCACCACCTGGAGCTGGAAAAGCAAAACAGTGAAAGCTTTGAAAGCCATACAACCTGTCAGCATTGCTACAGACAGTATTTGACTCCATTCCAGCTGCAGTGCCACATTGAGAGTGCTCACAGCGCAATTGACTCTACAAGTATTAGAACTTAGTTTTTGTAGTTATCCACATAACTTTGAGAAGTCACTGCAATTCCGAATGTTTTTTTTTTTTTTCAGCCAATTGTAAGATTTGTGAGTTGGCCTTTGAGTCGGAACAGGTTCTCCTGGACCACATGAAAAATAACCACAAACCAGGGGAAATGCCTTATGTATGCCAGGTTGGTCTACTCATCATTCTCTGTTGTCATATGTAAAGGTAGTCACTGAAAATGTGTCTTGTCCCACAGGTGTGCAATTTTAGGTCTTCCTTCTTCTCAGATGTGGAAACACATTTCAGAGATGCACATGCAAATACAAAGGACCTTCTCTGTCCCTTTTGTCTCAAAGTTGTTAAAAGCGGCCACATCTATATGCAACACTATATGAGGCATCAGGTATGTAACTTTAAAAAGAAGTTATAAGGATGCAACCAAGGGCACACTTTGTGCTGTTACTATTCCAATTTTTACTCACTTTTTTGCGGTCCCCTTACCATTTAATGATTGCAATTTTAGCAATAGACTTTATTTATAGCAATGTAGTTTTATGGAATTTATACTGAATCATTGTGTGGTTAGTTTTTAGATGCGTAATGCTTTTTTCTTTTGTTAACAGAAAAAAGGAATTTTTCGTTGTGGAAAATGCAGACTCAATTTTCTTTCATTTAAAGAAAAAGTAGAACATCGTACTCAAGTTCACAAGACATTTAGAAAGCCAGAAGCTCTGGAAGGTCTTCCTCCTGGAACAAAGGTATTAAAAAATATAAACAATTAGATTTTATTTATTATACTGTAGGTGCTGTGAAACATCAGTAAAACTATTTAGAGATATAAATATACTTGTTGTCTTGTTTAGGTGACAATTCGAGCATCATTAACTGGAAAACCCTCTCTAATACCCAACTGGCGTACTCCAGTTGGCTTAATTGTTACACCAGAAACATCAAAAACCAACAAATCAGCGAAATCCCTTAATGTTCAGAAGTCACAGTTGGGAAGTTCTGGACCTAGTAAATCAAATGTGTCTCAAAAAAAACAAAAACGTGGAATCTCCAAACATAACTTGGTACTTAAGAATTTCAGGTGGGTCAAAGAGCAATACATTGACTGCACTAATTTCTGTAATTGAAGTGTTATGTAAGTTTGTAGAGAGCTGCTGCTTGACTATTGACATCCCTAAATAATTTTTAGACCCAGTGGAAGACGATACATATGCATTGAATGCAATGGCACTATTTTGGATTTCTTTTCACATTTTCCAATGTTATTACATTGTGGTGCTTGCAAATACAAGACAAATTGTAAGAAGTCTATTGGAAATCACATGATAAGGTAATTTCTACTACTGCTGCGCTATATAACACTGTTTTAACTATTGTTTTAAATTTAGACTGACTATTTTTCCTTTTCTTCAAGATTTCACAGTACAATTAGCAAGAGTCGATTTTCAAAAGAAAATGGAAAACATTCTTCCTCATTTAAGTAAAGCTTTGTTATTATTTACAATGCTATGTTTGTTAAACTACTGTTTGGGGAAATAATACTAGCTACATGTTTTTTTTTATCTTTTATTTACAGATTAACTCTTCTCTGTCTCAAATGTGATCTTATGGATGCATCTGGTGGAAATCGAATGACCAAACATTTAACAAAGAGGCCTAATCACAGATGCAAAGTTATTCAAGACAAAGGTGTTATTTCCCATGTCCATATATATATATATATATATATATATATATATATACATACATATACATATATATAAGTTATGTGTATAAGGATTTCTGTTACTAATATATGATTCTTGTTTGTGTAGATATTAGTGCCAAAGAACAAGAGTAAGTAACACTTTTCCAACCTTCGAATTGTATATTGTACATTTTTACAGGAATTACTGTATTTTCCAGGCTTCCCAATGAAGAAGCTGGAAAGTTGAAATCAACAACTACTGAGATGCCAAAGGACCAGGACGAGACTCTTTCGATCACAAGTGTCACAACTGCTAACACTGGTCAGCTACAACCTTTAAGGAAATCAAACTCAACAGACTGTGAACAGGATAATGGATCTTCAAAAATTATTACTGAAGATTCACAGGAGCCATTGCATCTACAGGCATCCAATGAAGACTCTTTTGAAGTACTTTCAGATTAAAGTCAAACAGTGACAATTTATTAAGTCTATACTCTTAGACACTATAACATGATTGTAACCATATTTCAAAACACAGTATGATAAGGGTTTGCTTTAATTTTATTGTAACTGTTGGCATTATTACATTAATATTCATCACTGCAAATTTTAATCACATTTACAATCTTTGCTAAATATTCAAAATAACTGTCTTTCATTCCTATTTTAATTTACATGTCTTTATTATTCTTTTAAAATATAGATATATATTTTTCATTTTATGTTATCTATTTCAGTAGCAATAGCAATCAATGTTTAATGTTTTTTTTTTTTTAATGGTGCGCAATTTTAAAAAAGAAGCATGGTTGTTGGAAGTGTTGTCTTATTCCAATAAACGATTGAAACGAAAAACCGCTGACTGTCAATAAGTTATTGAAGGCAGCTGAATGTGGGTTGTTTTTGTATCTTTATTGAAATAAATAGGCTATGTGACAGTGGTTTTCCTTTCTCGCCACAATTTGTGTGGGGTTTTAGAGGAGAAAAAAATATAAGTTGTAAATGATACGTTAAAGTGAAGAGACAGGAACTGACGTCATTAAGATCCTGATTTTTTTTTTTTTTTTTTTGGATACTCATTGTTTCCCATAGCAACTCGACGCCTAACATAGACGTGTTGCTTATTACTCGTCTCTTTGAGTGAATAGATTCTTTTGACAAACCAAAAGTTTTCAGTCTGTAGAAGAAATAATTTGGGAAACTGCATAAGGGGATATTATTACGGAAATGGTCAGTGAAATTGTTAGGTTAGCCGGGAATAACTTTTGGCTAACCGTTAACGAATGTTAGCGATAAGTTGCTATGTTTGTCAGAGTTTGTTACCCCTTTCCTTTCTCTTTTTGACTATCTGTGTTTTCAGTATCGCAACGCAGGTTGGTCTTACAACGAGCAGCGGCTTATAAACTTGCAGTTACAAGAACAGCAACTACAAGAGGCGAAAATACGTGTAAGGAAAGACCGCCAACTACAGGCGAGTCTGCGGGACGAGGAGAGCTTTGAGAGGCGAAGGTACATGCGGCAGGTGCAGCAGGAGCACAAGGAAAGACAAATGGAAAGCGCCATTCTAAAGGTAAAGTTAACTTTAGGTTTTGTCAGACGTTTGTGTGATATAGCAGAACAACATAATTAACGAACTTATATTGTAGGCAGAGGAAGAAAGAATAAATAGACAAATCCAGGCACAACAGGAGGAAAGAATTGCAAAAGAGCTTGCACGCATCGGTTATGAAAAGCAAAGAGATGAAAAAATTCGTCAGCATATTAAAGAGAACAGGTATTCCTACTGGACACGCACAGTTTTGTCATGCTTAGTAGTAGCAGCAGTTCTGGTAGTAGTAGTAATTAACAAGTGTTAATGTCCTTTCTCACATTTAGCACGGAGCTCAGGGAACTTGAGTCAAAATTAAGATCTGCGTACTTGAACAAGGAGAGAGCTGCACAAATTGCTGAGCAAGAAGCCATGAGATATGAGACAATGGTAAGCCCCATATTCTGTCAGTTTTATCATTATATTGTTTTTACTTGATATATAGTAAATGGATTTCTTCATATTCTACCTTTCTTAAGCGATCTGAAGCAGAGTTTGCATGTAAGATGAAAAGGGAAGAAGAGCAGGCTAAACTTGAGGAACAAAAACTGCAAACAAGACGGCATGACGAGCTGCTGCATTATCAAAAAGAGTTGGATGAGCAGCTCTTGGAGCGTGAGCACAAGAGACAAGAGGCTTATGAGGAGTTCCTCAAAGAAAAGCTTTTGGTTGACGAGATTATTAGGAAGATTTATGAGGAGGATCAGATGTAAGTGTATGTGTGTGTGTATATACACACACACACACACACAATTGTAATAGCCTACACATGTATGCATGACAGCATTGCCTTTGCTTGCTTATAGCCTACTATCAGTCATTACAGTGCTGGACCAAGGAAAATAATAATAATTAAATAATAATAGCAGAATACACAATAGCTCATCCAACAGAACATCTACATTTTATTGTAATGCTCACTTTCTTTAAAACACAAAAGGATATCAATGCCACCAATCTGATGCTGCTAAAGATTTGCATCTGTTGTCATTTGTAAAATCCAAACGGTCATGAAAAATGTAGAAGTCGCATGTAACCTAAAAGACAAATTTTTAAACAAATTTATAGGGAAAGACAGCTGAAGTTGGAGAAGGTCAAAGCCACTCAACAACACATTGAAGAGTTCAAGAGACAGCAGGCTGAATGGAGACGCATGGAGCAGGAGCAGATGGACGCTGAGAACAGGCGAATTCTGGAGTATGCAAGGCGCCAGCAGCAGAAGGAGGCAAACCAAAAGGCCATGAATAAAGAACGGGAAGAAGCTAAGGAGAAACTTCACAAACTAGTACACAAGTTTTTATGTTCTCAAAAGTTACTCAAATAACAATGTGAACACTTTTTGGAACTTTGATCTGTGATCTTTTTTTAGTTGTCTGAGAAGATAGATGAAGAACGGCAGCAGCGGGAAGACATGGAGCGAATGCGTGAAGAGCTTTACTTAGAGGAACAGGAAGAGGCCAACAGACAAAGAGATATTGTAAGTTTAGTAGATAAATATGAGAAAGGTTTTTTGATTATTCTGATTCTGCTGTAATTGTATCTAACAGGAGGAAATGGAGAAGAAGATCCGTCAGCGGCTGATGATGCAGCAGACTTGTCAGCAGCAAATGGCTTTCAAAGAAATGCAAAGGCAAGCAGAGAGAGAAGAAGAAGAAGCTTTCAGAAAAATTATGCTGGCTAAGTTTGCAGAGGATGACAGAATAGAGCAGATGAACGCCCAAAAACGACGTATGAAGCAGCTGGAACATAAACGTGAGGTGGAGAAACTCATAGAGGAGCGCAGACGGCAGCATGAGGCCGATAAGGTACAACAGAAAGATGCAGACAAATTTTTTACTGATAGCTGTTACACAAAAGTAAGAAGTTCTGTTTTGACTTTTTTAGGAGCTTGCAGCAAAAGTAAAGGCACTTGAGGAAGAGAGGGAGGCATTGCACATGAAAATCATTGAAGAAGAGCGACAAAAACTCCTTAAACGACATGCAAAACAACTACTTGGTTACCTACCTAAGGTATTAACAACTTCATTATTTTAGGTCATTACAATATTTGTAATAATTTGTTATTTCTAGGGCTTGCTTCGTGTTGATGACCTAGAGTATTTAGATGAAGACTTCAGAAAAAACTTTCAAACCCGGCAGGCTGATATCTTTTCTGAAGATGGATGGGAGGATCATGACTAATGCCTTATTGCCACTAGAGGGCACTTAAGGGCTACAGTAAACATAGAAAAGACATTTTCCAGTGTTGCATAGTGTCTTAAAGAAAATATTATATTATTTATAACAAAACAGGTTTATTATTTGTCAACAAAATATTCTTACTGCAATTCAGGGAAACATGATAGATTTAATACAGCAACTTTAACTCTACTCTTTTACTCTGTTAAATACATTATGACTCTCCCCAGTCAAGCGCTTTCATGAATTCTTCTTCCGTGAAGGACAAAAGCTTGGCAGCCTCAAAATGCATCTAATTAGAAGAGAAAATAGGAGATTGTATAAATGGTAACTGGTTTCTAGTTATAGTAGAGAAACTTACCTTCTGTCGTTTGAGAATATCAATTAGTTTGAGTTGTTTTTTGAAGCCCACAATGAGTTCTGCTTTCTGTTTTTTCAAGTTTTTGTTTTCTGCAAGAAGACTTACTTTGCTTTGGTGTTCTTCGACAGTTTTGTCCTATTCAAACAACATAATGTAAGAATAAAATACACAAAGCTATAAAGTCTGTGATTATAATTGATAATTGTTCTGGCATTCACCTTTGTAATTGAGATACATGTTAGATTTTATACAGTTAACTATTTTATGCTTTACTGGTTTCATCCATGTGGATGTACCTGGATTTACTTAAATTTTAAATACATGCAAAAGCATTGTGTTATTTTTTTATTTAGTGGACAGAGCACTCTTTACTGGTCATTCATTCAATACAAATCAAGGTTTTGACTTCTATAAATGCTCAGATTACCTTGTTCATCTGTTTCATCTTGTTGAGTTCGCTCTTAAGTTTTTGTGATTCCTCCATGGCTCTATTGAGGCGAATCTCCACAGTGTTATGAAGAGCTGCAGCCTGTTTGCTGGATCTATTAAGGTTTTCAATTTCCTATAAGCATATAGATGTATTTAGCAGAATATACATGTGTCTTTATTGTGTCTTTCTAAATAGAGTACAAACCTTATTTAACTCTGCTATATGTAATTGAAGTCCTTCACACTTTTTGGCAGATGTCTCGAACAAAATTTTGTGTTTCTCAATTTGTGCCTGCAGGACACTTTCTGACTTCTGTAGCCTAGCCCGGTCCTCCTCAAGCTCTTTCATTTTGGCAGTGAGTCTAATATTTTCATCATCCTTCCAAACAATAACGATTATTTACAGTTTTGTCAACTTAAACACTATTTTTTGTATATGAAGCTGTGTGTACCTTCTTGTAATATTCACTGGTTAGATGATCCATTTCTTCTTCCATAATCCGTAGTTTTGCCTTCAACACTCGTATCTGAGCATCTGAAACACCTACGAACAAAACACAAATAATCATGACATGAAACATACATGTATGGCATGTAGTGACTGTGCAGTTGTGGATGTACCAATGGGAAAAGATACATAAAAAAATCTTTAGTAACAAACTTACCGGGTGCCATTGTATCTGCAGAAAAAGGTATCTCTGCCTTCACACTGTGCTCATCATCCATCTTTTCTTCCATGTTTTGTATTGTCTTTGACAAAAATGTATCAGCTGCTTCTTCCAAATAATTTACAGATGACATCCCTGGGCTTCTAAAATAAAAAAAACTTTAAGAAAAAAATACAGATTTTTTTTATCTTGAGTGAAATTACTTACCTTGTTTTATCTTTGAGTTGTTTTCCAGTATGAATAGATTTCAGAGTGGTCTGTTGCTTAGTTTTCACCTACAGAGAAAGATGCTCAAAAAAGAGGGAAGAAAACAAAAACAAAAACATAGATAACTAAAGCTACCTTAACATGAGGCTTCTGAATACTGTCTTGTAAAGGTGCCATTATTCTGTAACAGAGTAAAGGAAGATACAACGTTACTAAATTATTAGTTTGTTTTACTTTAAAAAGCATTTTGATGCTAGGTTTTTGTTTTGTTTTTTCGCTTTACATGATATCATCATCCTCAAGATCTGTGAGCTGGAGAGTGGACAGGGGCTTTGCCAGAACTTCATTTTTTTCTTTCTAAAAAATAACAAAAGGTTGTCAATTGATATCGGCCTTTCGCCTAAAGTAACAACTGAGATCATAGCAACTCTTACCATAAGAAGCTCAGTCTGTCTGACTAAATCTGCAGTCTTGGCTTCCAGTTCTGCATTTAAAATTCTTTAAGATAATATTGATAGAACAGTGCATTAGAAAACATGGTATGACATTTCTATCTGTGTCTATGTCTTACTTGTAATGCTCTTCCTTTGCAAGCATATCATCGTCGTGTTTGGTGGTTGAGCCAGGGGTAGATCTTGTTTCACATGTCTTTATTTTCTCTGACTTTTTCCCAAATGGTTTCTTGGTGTAATACAAATAATATATATTGTCAAAGTTTGTATTTAGCTAACTGTAATGCTAACTGTATGTATGCCCATGCTCAGTTTAAGTTAGCTAGCTACTTACCACCCACTGCAGACTAACTGTACAATTTATAATTTTGAAAAGTACTTTTAGGTAATGCAAATGTCAAGCTATGTCGAATAAACCAAATTTAAGGACAGACCTGCGAAACAGAAGCTGTAATCTTCTTTCTCTGTGAACTTCTTTCAGCCATAGCAGAACAAAACCAAAGACGCGCGAGTGGTTGCTTAGCAACGGCTAACCATTGAGTTGTATGGGAGCCGGTTTAACGGCTTTGAGAAAACTGACCAAGGGTTTTGGTGGAAATATGGTAAAGAATTTCTTACTGACATAGCAAACAACTTTATCTAGCCTACTTTCGTGATTTTTTTTTTTTCACTGAAGGTTTCCCAAAACCTGCATTTATGATACACTGCCAGAACAGTACTCGGCCATACATCCATTAGTCATAAACATAAACTTACAATACAAATGGGCCAAGTAATAGACAGTCTGAAACAGGGCGCCATGGCGTGTTGTTTTTAATTCTAAGGTGGCTAGTGTGCGCATGCGTGTATTCAGCAGCTACTACACTACACCACAGCCATGCACATGCAGCAAATCTTACACCGTGAGCTACCGACCACACCGGAGCGCACAATGGGCGTTTTTTTAGTAATAGAGTCTGAGCATTAAAACTAATTTAAGATTTTTTTTGCATATATTTGGTGCGTATTTATATTTTATTACATAGAAATTTTCTTGCTTGAACTTGGACTAACTAAGCAATGTTGAAGGTTGACGGGACAACAACAACAGGGCGCATTTCTGTCCCGTTGGCGTCGCAGCGTCCTTCGGCACATGTTTTTTAACCCTGTTCGTCAGTCTCTTGTCCCGTTGCGCTTAGTCCGACTCTGAGGCCCATTGTGATGTCTGAGACCTACGAGACGGACTCTCAGCTGCTGCAGGTGGGGAGGGGGGCGGCTAGTACCCCCAGCATCGTCCCGGGACTGCTTCCAGGGCTGCAGAGCGCCGAAGCCAGTGCTCTGCAAATCAGGATCAAGAACTCCATCTGGTGAGAAATATTCTGCTGATTTTGTCCGTGCTTTTAAGCTTGACCATGGACGTCAAGTGTACAATCTACAAAGTATTTTCAGACAGATGTGCCCTATTATATTATATTATATTATATTTATATTTATATTATATTATATTATATTATATTATATTATATTATATTATATTTATTATATTATATTATTGTATGTTTTTTAGAAGCTAGTTTGTGCATAATTTTCACAGTGCTGTCATCATTATGAGTTATGAATATGAATTATGTGTTTTCTTGTCTAATAGTTCACGATTTTGCACCAAACATAAAGAAAAACCTTGCTTTCTTTTAAAAAAAAGTTTTTTTAATTTGATTTGTTAGAGCAACATTTCACACTGTATATTTCAAGTGAATGCAAGAACATACAATCTACAAATCCAGATAACACCTATAGAATGTAATTTAAAGTAAAACATATCTTACTGTATTGGCATTGGTCTCAGGTGTAGTTCAGTGTACCTTCCAAACCTGCCTCACAAGCAGCTTAATAAAGGCCTACGCAGCCCTTGTCCCCTGGTAACAGTGAATTAAAGTGAACTGTTCTTGCCATGGCTTAGCCTAGAGTCCTCTCCTGATTCCCAGCCACCGTGCTACTGACTATAACCCACCTGCCTTCTGTCTCATAGTCAACAACAGTCTGACCTGTTTGCAGATTAGCAATAAGACCTGAAGATGTTAGTCAAGGATAGGGACTTTATAACTGTTGCAGTGTAATTTTAAATTAGCTCAACCAGTTTATCATAGTTCTGTCCAGTTTGTACACAGTTAATACCAAGTTATAAGCAACATTAACTGTTTTCAAGACAATGTCGTCTCTGTGCCTGCCTCATTTTTTACATATGACAACATGTGTTCTTGATGGTGGTTACATGACCTGAGAGATGCTAGAGGGAGGGTCAGCTCATGCCAAACATTCCCCTGCTTTATAAATAAATACACTTTAGACACAAGCGATCATGTTTCACTCACATACTAATTTGTTCTTTATATTTTGCAGCAAATCTGTTCAGTCCAAAGTGGAAATTATTCTGGTAAGTGCCAAGTTAACACCTTGATGGTGGTTTATGATTATTGATTATTTAACCAAATTGCAAACAGAAAATCTAGATGTTGTCTCTGATTATTCCAAATAAAAATTGCAATTATCATCTGCTTGTGTTTTGTAAGGTTTTATGAGACCAACATGTCCATCTGTGTTGTCTCTGTCAGCGCTTTCTTCAGATCTGTTTCTCTACGGCATACAAAGTGTACGGAGAGACTGTAACATTATTACCGTTTTAGTCTGCATAGTGTGTTCAAGGTGAATTACGTTAAAAGCTGAAATTGTGCGTAGGAAATGACATAGTAACATATAAGCTTTGACAGGCCAAGAACACTGAAAGCATTGCCAAAAAGGCCAAAGATGTCCATTGAATTATTTAAAAGGTTTTTGTATGATTACATTTGAAATGCAGCCAAGGACCTAATTAATTTTCCTGTTCAAAAAATGACAGCAGCTATTAATAAGAATTATGTGTTTTACTCCAGCTCCTCGTGACTGAGAAGCTAAATGCATGTTATCTCTAGGTCTTGCTAACCTATGTCTCCCTAACAACGAAGAAACCAAATTAGAAAAGATCAAGAGAATATGATTTATTCTTAGGAGCAAATTGAAAGGGTGAATATTTATGAATGAAAGCATGTGCTGGCAGTGTGTACATGCATCTGTATAACCCAATGCTGAACTGTCCTCGTTGAAGGGTTAATAGCAGATCACTGGAGTTCACCTTACACACAGCGCCCTGCACATTGAGAGCACGTCTGGCCCGGAGTATCTGTCTGCAGTCACTACGTGCCTTTGGGCGGCCAACAATCCCATAGCTATCGATGCAATATATATCTATCAGTCCATCATGCAGTGTAATGATGTGTATAGTGATCTCAAAGACAAAACTAAATAATTAAAATCTTTCTCTTCAGTATATCTTGGTCTACTCCACATAAAAAACATATTGTCTTGCAATGAGACATCTTCTACTGCCCTGTTTCCCTACAAACTAAAACAACTGTGTAGCCACATTAAGTGCAGCAACTCCTTATTGAAAATAAATGTGGCATCAAAGTGTTCAAACAAAGTTTAATCTATTTCCTTTTGTATTTAAAACTTTATTTAATTCACATTTTAATTTTAGTAAAATAAAAATAAAAATAACTACAGGTGACTGACGTAGATGTTAGAAAGGAATATACTCAACCAATCACCCTAATATGTAGTAGTTTATCATAACTTGATGAGCCCGATAATAACTTTGGCAGTTAAGTCTTTTTGTCGTAGGCCTTGATTTCATCCCATGCCATATGCATTTGTACGTTTTAATTAGAATTTTTTTTGGGCCCTCTTTAACAGCAAGATGTTGAGAAGTTCTCAGATATTGAAAAACTCTACCTCTACCTCAAGCTGCCTTCTGGTCCCTGCAACACCTCAGAGAAATGGTAATTATCTAGCATTAACCCATTCACAAGTTGAGTTGTAATGATTGAAATCTTTATATGACCCTATCTTTTCTCAGTGACCAGGCTACCCTTTCTTCAAGTCGCACACAGCAGACACATGCATTCAACTGGATTCGTAATCATTTGGAGGAGTTTCCGGAGACTTCTCTTCCAAAGCAAGAGGTCTATGACGAGTACAAGTGCGTAATAATAACAGGTGTAAAAGAAATGTGACCAGGCATCTTTTGACCAGCCTCCAGTCTATGCAATACCAATACAAGTTTCCATGCTGTTGTTTTAGACTTTTTTCAGGTCACGTCTTTTAAACCACTGTTTGAAAACCCAGTGGAAACAATGGAAGAAAACAAAAACATGAAAATTTTCCATTAATTAGTCTTATTAAGTAACATTTGATCTAGTGAAAAGTATCTAACCCCTGAGCATATATAGCTAAAGAGGAACACACTAAGTGACATATTTTGTAAAATGCGTCAGTACTACAGTCCCCTTTATGTTTGACTTTCTTCTGTCAGCTGTAATGCCAGTAAAAATAGATGCTGCAGGCTTGGGAATTATAGTACAGCAAGTGTTGGTAATATTAGAATGGAAAATATGAGAGAGCAATTGAAATGCCCCTAATGGCTTATGCAACGACTTAATACTGGAAATAAAACAAAGGGAGCAAAAACTTTTTTAAGGGAAAAAGGTTACTTAAATATTTTGTATTTCTATTTTTGTTTTTAAATTCTGATCTGAATGCGAGTTCGAAATTACTTATTCACATTTTAACAGCTCATAAAAATAATATGACAAATATGACAATAAATGGCTTACAGCAATGTGTGTATTTATGCAATATCACAAATTTGTTTTTGAGTTTTTTACTTTGTATTTAGTTTTTTACTCTTTTAGTAAACAGATTTACATTTACCCGCTATAAATAATGTTTAACACAACAAATCCTAATTTATATCTTTTTGCATTTATTTTTTCAGGAGTTTCTGTGACAACCTCAATTACCACCCTTTGAGTGCTGCAGACTTTGGGAAAATGATGAAAAATGTCTTTCCAAATATGAAAGCTCGTCGACTGGGTATGAGAGGAAAATCAAAATATCCTTCAGTCAAATTTACTGGAATGAACTGTAATAGTCAGCCTGTGTCTCTGCTCTCTACCATCTGCTGTTGCAGCTCATAAGCTGCTCTCTAAATATAGATGTGAAATGAAATAAAGTCCTCTCTACTTTGGACGCAGTATCATGGAGCCTCAGAGGGGACTCAATGTGACTTTGACCTCTGTTTGTAGTTTTCTAGCACAGTGTAAAACTGTAAAATACAGTATGTGTAACTACAAAAAAATTACAAAAGTTGTTAACTGTCAATACATTGTACAAACAGAACTTTGTCATCAATATTTACCCTTGACAGAAGTTTACATATTGCTACAGTGGTCTAAGGAAGAGACCGGTTGTTCATGTCCCATCTTTACCAAGTCTAGATTTAAATAAACCTGGAGAAGGGGTGAGAATTTGACTTTTTAATTATTATGTTCATTTTTTTTTTTTTAATTAATCATTTTTTGTTTGTTTCCAATTCTGTTTCATACTACAGTGTGACATACTTGACTCCTCCGCACAAATGAGTGGCATAAAAGAAGAAATGCGCTTTGCTGCTTGTGATCTTGTTTGTGAATGGGCCCAAAAAGTGTTAAAACGTCAGTTTGATGCAGTGGAAGACTTGGCTCGTTTTCTTGTCAGCAGTCACTACATAAGCAACAAGTCTTTGGCAGCCCTTACGATAATGACTGAAACTGCAACAGGTAAGGCAGCTGGTCAATATAGATGAGACTAAAGGACTAACAGTGTCATCTGCTGGTAGTCACATATTACTCCATGATCTAATTCCTCCACACCTCTTGTCAACAGAGAGGAGGACTCCACAGTCTATGTCAGCTTTCGTTCCGGCTGCAGACATGAACACGTTTCAATCTCAAGTTACAACACTGTCGCCCCCTTCTGTTGATGCAAAGCAGCAACTACAAAGGAAGATCCAGAGAAAGCAACAAGAACTGAAACTGCACTCACCAACTCCGGGAGAAGACCCAAACCAACAAGAGACCATTCTGTGTAATGATCCTACCACTCCACCTCAGCCACCCGTAGGCATAATGGTAGCAACTGTTCCAAGCCCCATTATGGTGAGAAAACCAAACAGTAGCCCAGTATTTATACTACATACAAAATCTCTGTCAGATCTGTCAGACTTTGATTTATTAATGAATCTTTTCTTTTTATCTGCTAGACTCAAACATGCAGACCATTAATATCCCCAAGCCCAGCTGCTTCAATGGAGAGCAAAGTTCTTCCACTTAATTTCCACATGGTAAACCAGTCAATTTCAAAGCAGAGTCTCAAATCCTCCCAAAATGTTGTCTTCAGTTCAGCAGGGTCAGGACGGCAGCGATATCCACAAATTCTTCCAAAACCACTGTCTACATCTGCGATTGCCCTACGATCACCTTCAACAATGATTCTTGCACACAGCCCAATGAAAACTGTGATGACGACCTGTCACGTTAGTCCTGTTAGTTTAGTCAAAATGACATCAATATCTCTGGCACCTAACAGTCATACTGCCACCACCTGCCTCACCAATGCTACTCTCAGGCCAGCATCGGCAGATATCAGCAGCCCTGCAGAGGAATGCAGACCTATTCAAAAAACTATGAGAAGTGCTTCCACTGTGCCCATTCTGGCACCTGTGACAATGCAACAACAGGCGGTTGCAGACAGCAATAACATAGATGTTGAAATGGAAGTTGAGGCTATTCATGAAAGCAGCCAAAGGCGTTTTGCTTATCCATGTCGAGAGGCTAAACAGCGGGCTGCCAGTGTACCTATACCACAAACAAAGAAGCTTTTTGGAGTGGATGAAATGGCATTCAGTAACTGCCATGAGAAGCCTTCTTTAAGCACTGTCACTGTGGCAAACCTCACCAAAAGTAAAAATAATCCTGATCTTGCAACATTTTCTCCTCACAACACAAGCCCTTCTTCTTCAATGAAAATCAGCCTTACACAGTCACCTGGAGGAAGCAGGAATATATCATTCATAAAAGGAAATGTTACGTCAACAAAGAACATAAGGAAACGACCAGGCTTCAGCCCAGACAGCTGTAAAATATCTCCAAGTAAACGGTTCTTTGTGCCAAAGCAGATGCTGGAGGGGTCTACTGATCCTGAAAGTGGTATAAGGGCTACGCTGACTAACAGTCATGAAAGCCCCACTCGCCCAGAAAGCGCTCCAGCAAGCCGGGAAGTTGAGATCAAAATGAATTCCAATATGACTTCCCAGAGTTACACCCATGCTTCCTCTTTAAGAAGCAATAGCTTTTACTCTTTAGCTAACACAGAGAGTTCAATGCAAAGAAAAAATACCCTTGTTATGGATGGTATTACTTCACCCAATCATGTATTACTACAGCAACATCAAATACATAATGTCAGCAAGCCTGCAAGCAACATTTCGGTTTCAAATTCAAACGAGAGTATTGATGGTTCTCAAACAATCTATCCTTTGCAAACACACTCTGCCACTGAAAATGTGCACTTTTTCAACCAAGATATTTCAACAAATTCTGCTACCGTGCAACCAGATATTGACTATTTTTCCTTTGATGATGATGTTACGCAGGATAGTATTGTGGAGGAGTTGGTGCAGATGGAGGAGCAGATGAAACTTAACCTCAAAGACTTTGGAAACTGCCATTCTCTACAGTGCCAACAACCTGGAATCCAAGAGAACATGACTGCCACTTATCAGAACATGAATCCATGTTACCCAAACACAAATAATCATTGCAATCCCATTCAAACTCCAACACCCACACCGACACCCACTCCCACGACAGAAATGATTGGAGGAGCCCAAGTCCTAACTGGGGATAGTCCCTGTTCACGCATGGCCTCAACAACACCTGTGGATAGTGCCCTTGGAAGCAGCCGTCACACCCCTGTGGGAACTCCACTCTCAAACTGCAGCAGTACTGTCCCACCTAGTCCAGTCGAATGCAGGAACCCTTTTGCATTTACTCCTATCAACTCCAGCAACACTGCTTTTCATGATAACATCAATGTTACAAGCAGCCCAGTAAAGCCTATGCAGAGGCCAATGGCTACACATCCAGACAAGACTAGACTGGAGTGGATGAATAATAGCTACAACAACAGCAGCAGTAGTGTAACCAAGTCAAATAGTGGAATGGGTATTGTACCTAGCTATCAAGGATTGATAGACAACCACTTTCAAAAACCTCATGCTTTTGCTGTTCCACACGCAAGGCACCAGGAAAACACCTTTGGCCGTTTGACCCCCATCTCTCCAGTGCAGCAGCAAGTAGCAAGCATGGCAAATATGAGCAAACAGGAGGGCTTCGCTGTGCCTGCTCCTCTAGATAATAAAGCCAATGCCCACTCAACGTCTTTTCGATGTAGGAGTGTAAGCCCTGCTGTACATCAAAGAAATGTAAGTGTCAGTATTGGAAGTAGTGCCATTTCGAACACCCCACGTTCAGTCCTGTCTCCCTTTAACTCACCTATAACACCGGAGATATTTAATTTATTTTCCAACAATCAGTCAAACATTGCAGTCAGTTGCATGGCACAAAGAAGTCGTTCTGTGCCACTCAATGTCATGATGCAAACTCAGGAAATGCCACCACAAGGCCAGCCATCCAGCACCAAACACCTGGGCACTGTGCTTCTGAACAAGCTGGAGAGGTCTCATGATGACACTATGCGAGGTCTTGGAATGAATAATTTACCATCCAGCTACAGTGCCTGCATGAACCTCAGCCAGATACTTGAATCTGACCCAAACATTTCCTGCAGTGATCACCACCTCTTGTCCTCGAACTCCTCCCAGAACACAGTTAATGAGCCAACTATTTTTGACAGCATTAAAAGCAATTTACAGTTAACAAGGGCTCAGTCTCAGCAGCAGATACCAGCAACAGCAATGCAGGACAATTTCAGATGCACTGTCCCAGATCTGGTTCCACAAAACCGCCTTAGTGCCAGCAGTGCTGAGCAGAACTTAAACACAGGAGCAAACTTCCCCCATGAACTTAGAATGACATCGGATCTCTCCAGCAGCATCAACGACCTTAACACGCTAGATACAAACCTTCTGTTTGACCCAGATCATCAACAAGGGCAGTATCTAAGTGAAACTCCAGAGGAGCTGGTCCATACCTCAGTGTATCAGCAGATCACCAGTGACTCAACTCACTCTGGTGGACTGGAGTGGTTTGAGAGTAAAGACCATTCAGCTGTTGGTTTGATGGGTTGAGTGTATTTAGGCGTAATCATGTTTTATTCATTATTGTTTATAATTGTTCATTATTTATATTATAAGCTTGAATTTGTGAATTTGTGTCAGTCTGTATAAAATGCTGGTCATTTTATCAATGTAGATGTTGTAAAGCTATGCATTTAAACCAACAGTATAGTTTTTTTTTTTTTTTTTTTTTAATGGCCAGTAGGTAAAAATTAAAACTGAGAACAGCATTTAGATCAACCCCTGTGTTGGATATCTGCACTTTTAAAACCCTGTAAGTGAAATTTTGAAGTTTCTTATGCAATGAATTCTGTACAAGTTTATATCCCAAATCTAAAATGCATCAGATTTAGGCAACTAATGTGTTCTAAATGCAGCATTTGTCAATAGTAAAATACCCTGTCCTGCCTGACAATCCTTTTTGCCCCTTTTAAAATGCAATCTGCACTGTTAATTTAGACCAAAATAATAATATAATAATCATGTTAATATTTAACTATATGTGAACCCTGTGAACCAAAGAATAATGTACAAATGTGCATTGCACGGTCATTGCCAAATACTGTTGGAATTGGAATGATACAGTTAATCAATCATATGATTTTTACTTTTAAATTTAAGTGTAGAATCACTTTCATTGATTTGTACTCTGTTCTATTGAAAGCCATTTGACATGTTGGCTTTAGTGTTATACTACCTTTATTACATAAACTTTAATTTGTTTCAGGCCAAGCCTACTGCTTTTACAGTAGGTCAATAGAGCCTATTTCTACAGTCAAAAATATATTTATTTTTATTAACAATAAACAACATTTACAGTTACAATTGAGACTGTATTAAAGTGGCCATTAAGGTATTAAATAATATTTGAGTAAGGTAGCATAATGGCCAGATGGTTTCTGGTGTTTATGCAAACAGTTTATGCAGTGAATAAGCCAGTATCTTCCCAATTACTGTATTCTGTATTTCCTTACAAACTGTGTGAAATGTTATGTTTAGCACTACAACATGGGCTAAGCCTACTGTTATCTCATTTGTAGCCAATAGTTTTTTGTTGCTATGATCTGTAAAGACTTAATTGAGGGTCTTGGTTTTATGTGTTTCTAAAACAAATAAACTTTTTTTTTTTATTATTTAAAGTAAGTTTGTAAGATTTGGATTTTAAATTCCATAAACATGACCTAGGCTTACTGTGCCCTTGTGCCTACTCAGATATGTGGTAGGCAAATCAAATACAACTTTTACTGATAACAATCGTAATCCTGACTTATTCTTAATCACACACAAAAAAGCCAAGTTGTTTAGTCATAACTTGGTCTTTTAAAACGATTATCCATTCAGAAAGCAGAATGAGCCTCGTACCAGAATATTAGTTCCCAGTTTCTATAACAGAACTATAATGGTTTCTAACGATGCCCTTTGGTAGATATCTTCTGTCCATGTCCAACCAGGAAGTAATTATAAAATTAATCACCAAAGTTGTCAGACTTCAGAAAACAAAGTAAAACTTTTAATATAATCGTAATTTTTTAATGAAACAATTGGTCAAACCTGCCATATGTACTTAAGGTTAAAAGGTCGATGGTCTTGCTCTTCTTATTTATCTTATACCTGTGTAATAAACCTTATTTTGTACAGCCAGGCAGAGAGTGAAATATACAGGAACAGGAGGTGGAGGAAGTAGGAAGCCAAGCCATAGCAGGAGGAGGAGAACTAAGAGGATGGTTAGAGAAGAGGCGGTCACTGCCCGCCACTATCAGCGTAAACAACGCAAACGAAGGATACAAGCAGCTTAGTAAACTACAAGTCAGTCGCTTTCTGCAAACAAACTTCTTCACCTAGCCCAAAGGGAAGGAGACCAGCCGGGGTATTATGGCTACCCTTTCTCCGCAGATCCGAGGACTTCCTGCAGATGAGGTAAAGTATCGGCTGTGAACGCTAGATTTGTCAGTATACTCATGTGATCACGACGTTAGCAACAAGCGACTAGTTGAGCTAACCACACCAAAACTTGGCAAAAACTGTCGGTTTGCTATCGCCTTACATTGGATAAAATGTTTTGTTGCGTCTCCAAAGACTCACGCTTGAGCTAAATGATTATTGTCCTTAACTCTGTAGCTTTCGTCTGTAGTTAGATAAAGCCCACTTTGAGAAACGGAGAGCTACAGGTTTGCTCGATGGTAACGCCTTTGCCAGCAGCTGGTTCTCACATAATTGCGCAATTCATTAAAAGCTAATGATTGAACGATATAGTCCACACAATACTGTGAAAAGTCTACCGACCGTCATGTGACATTACATGCGTCATAACAACACTGATTCAGAAATTACTAATTTGTAACAGTAAAACTGTGATAATAACTGCTATGTTATTTCAGGATGACACCAGAATCCTAAAAGTCAAAGTCATAGCTGGAATTGGCTTGGCAAAAAAAGATATACTGGGAGCCAGGTATGATATTCAATATGCAGATTTCTTCAACACATAAATAAGTATGCATTAGCACAATACTGTCGTTTTTTTTTTTTTATTTATTTATTTATTTTTATCTTCAACATTTTTTATTACTAAACTTGTTGTTCTAATGCTATTGTCAATCCAAGAATTAGAAGAAGTATTTAAAAGGCTACTAAATTAGTCCTCCTTTTTTTTACTTTAAGTTTAAAAGTTTTCTGAAGTGTAACTCTGATCTGACCAGCTATCATAGTGCATCACAAATGTTTATTACTATATTTGTAACTGATGTGCCCTGTGAAGCACTATATTATATAATAGATAATGTGAGTGAATGTGATATGATATCCATTATACATTCAAACTAATTCAGATACTCAGATGAATAATGTCACATGTGCATGAAGGCAATGACTAAAGAATGACATAATACAAATAAATTAGAACATGACATAGATGTTACTGTACTTTTTATTTAATATCTCTTGAACTCTTTTACAGTGATCCCTACACAAGATTGTCTCTGTATGATCCAGTAAATGGGGAAATAACAAGTCTTCAAACTAAAACAATTAAAAAGGTGAATAAAACACAATCCACTGAATTATTACATTTCATTATTTTGCTTACATATATTTTTTCTCAAAGACCCTAGATCCAAAATGGCATGAAGAATTCTTTTTCAGAGTAAGTCAATAAAGTTCAAACTTTTTTTGTTTAGTTTTACATGACCCTAGTATCAGTTTGTCAACTTCACTTTGCTGTATTTTTATACAGGTTGATCCCAATAAGCATCGCCTTCTACTGGAAGTGTTTGATGAGAATCGTCTGGTAGGTTTTATTATACAACTTGGCTTTTAATGTTATGGCTTTAAATCCTTCCAACTTACAATAATAAATTATTTTAGATTGAATAATGCTACCACTTTTTTAAGATACTGTAAAAAACACTTTTGTTTTCTCATGCTGACAGAGAAAGCATTGAACTTGCCCATTTTGTTTCATGTGGATAGGCCCAGTAATTATAGCGATATTACCCATAAATCAGGTCAACAAATCTGCAATCTGAACAGCAAATTCTGACTTACAGCTCAATTTCTAGAATGGCATAACAGAACCTATTTGGTTAAGAGAGGCCAGTTGAGTTCATTAGTAGCCAGTATACTGGTGATGTTGTAGATAAGGCTTGAATATTACATGTACAGGTACTTGTCATTTCACTTCTTACAGTATTAACATGAATTTGACTAAACAGCAATTGCTGCCTTTGTGAGGGTTTTAATTCAATGCTTTACTTTCAATTGTACAAAAACAAGATAAGTGTTATATAGTATTAAATTTATATACACTACTCTCCATTGCTTTTTTAATCATTATCAACATTTGATGAATATAATCCCACCATATATTAGTACTTCCGGGAACAACCAAACTCTTGTTGAATTCAGTGCTTGCCATGTTTACAGTGAAATTTACATCATCGTCATTACAAGGTTAATGGCATGCCTACCCTTATTTTGCCATGGCATGTACAATATTATTGGTAAACTGAGAACAGTAGTATGTAAAGCTGTAAATGTGGGTAAATCTGGCTTTAGACTGATACATGGTTATGTGCTGACCAAAGAGCACAGTGTGTGAGTTTGCATTGTGAAACAGTTGCATGTGGTTACAGTTAGCTCCAAGGTCTAGGCCTGTTAACGTGATAGCATGGAGCTAATCAGTTAAAGAGTTACTCTACACAACTGAGAATTGTTTGGTAGCATTAGACCTGTAGTATCTGTTGTTCTGCTGACCTATTTCTTGTTAGACGGGTAGATCTTAGGTCGACCTGTAAACCTGTGATGCCCTCACACAATAAAAAATATGCATTATATTACTGATGAGTGAGCTTTTGACAACTCATTGTGACAGATGTGTACATAGTAACACCCTGTGTAGCAATTTATTTTTAGTGCTTTATTTTTGTGATATTTCTTTGCATGATTTGGTTTGGTCACTAAATTACTATTATGCTACAAATGCTTCTGGAATATGAAATTATGTCACACTTAACAGTCACATGGTTAAACAAATGGGTGTGACAGCTCAGAACTGCCGTGTCATGCCTCAGGTACACAAGAGGTGTGTACTCTGAGTAATGTATTTCCTAGTAAGACATTAATGCTTGCTAGCTAATGTTGGCTGTCCGGGTGTCTTTTATTTCAACTATCGGTCAATGAAAATAAAATTATAATTTTTACTCAGAAATAGGCAGGTCTAGCTTCTAAGGCTGCCTTTGATAAATGCCGTGTCAACATTTATGGAGTGGCAATCAGAGCAGGACAAACTGTTACAGGAGGTGTCATATAACTGGTGTCATGTCACTGGAGTTGCCATACTGTTTTTTTCTTCTTATATTTTTGTTGATGTCCATAATTTTGCTAATAATTTAAATACTTTTTAGACTCTTAGATTTGAACTATGGCTGGAGTACTCTTCACTCTTATTTCCTGTAATCTAATAGTATGTAAAAATATGTTTTATGGAGGGACAGAGGAGTAGAAACATAAGAAGCAGAGCTGCAGCTGCAGGAAGTTGTCATGAGCACACTTTAGCGTTGGTCTTAGAGGCTGTTTAGAGGGTAACCATCTTGTTTTTTGTTTATGTAGTCAGTAAACAGGAGCCCTCTTGGTTAAGACATCTGCCTGACAGGACCAGCTGACTTGGCTATCTGAACCCTTAAGAAGTTGCTCAACAGTAAAGTCTTTGTTCACTCGTATTATTTAACATTGGTGATATTTTAACATTGACACGGTCTTAGAGTCGACCAGAGAGACTGCTAGAGCTTCAGGGGTCGTATGTTTGGGTCATGCGTCCAAACAGAATCACTGACCTTCTCTGACTAAAAGCTGAGATCAGCCTGGACAGGAATGTAGGTTGTCACCAGAGCTATTTTGGCAATGTAGAGCCAGTAATGATTGTGATCACAGCAGTGAGCACGGAGCAGTTGCTTTGCCGTCCGTTTTCCTTCAAGCAGGTTTATCATGAATAACCCACCGTGTCTAGAGGGATTAGAGAGTTAAACGAATGGCACGTCAGCTCCGCTTGCATTTTGCGTCAAGGAGAAGTAACACGGACCCTCTGTCAGAGAGCCTCCGCAGTCATGGTGAAGAGACTGGCGTCAGTGTGTCAACTCACAGCCCAGCGGAGAGCCTGGCGCACACTTCTGTCCACCTAAAGGTGACTCCTCTGTCACCAGAAAATGGGATTTTACAACAGCATTCTGCTCTCTTTATACCCAGGATTAATGCTGGAGCATGTAGTAAAAAGAGTGTTGTACAGATCGCTCTGCAGCCATGTGGAAAGCCCAGTGGGGATGTGGATGGCAGTACAGAAGAAGGTGAAGGAGGAGCAGGCGCAGGCTCTGACAAAGGCTCATGCAGCAGTATGGCCAGTGACCCTGGGTACTGTAGCAGTAACAGCATCTTTGAACCAGAATCTCCAGAAAAGCAGAGGATCACTCAGGAGCACTGCATACTGCGCTGTAAGTCCAGAGTACCCTTGAGACGCTGTTCCTCTTTGGTTATCTTTCCAAAAAGCCCATGCAGTACTCCGCCAGCTTCTCCTGACAGCCCAGTCACTGTAGGGCCAAATGAAATCTCAGGAGATGAAAATACCAGTTGTGATGGACTAAGTTCAGTAAGTGGTCACCTTCCCCCAAGGGGGAGCTGTTCAACATGTAAGGCTGCTAGAAACATTGTACAGTTTAATAAAATGGAGGAATGTAATAAAGTAATTGAACAATCTTGTGCACTGGACCGATCAAATCGTCATTCGAGCTGCGTTCGACTGCATTTTGCCCATCAGAAACCTGTTTTACCTGCAAAAGGAGCTACTTTTCAACTAGAACATCCTGAGGCTTTTTATAGATCCCACCCTCAGGAGGATCCGGATGCTTACAAAAAACTGAAAACAAGCACATCTGCATGTATATTTTCAAATAAACCACCAAATAAGAGGAAGAGCACCTCAGAAAAGGGCCAACCCCACACTCGTCGTGCTATACAAAGGAGCTTCTCTCTGGAGGTGCCATACTCCAATACTGGAATTTCTTGTCACGTTTCAAACCCAAAGCTCTCCAGTTCCTATTCTCCGCATGTGCACATCCATTTGTCTCCTTTTTGCCCAAATAAGATGCCTCATGGCATTAATCCACACCTTTTCACAAATCCAAACAAAAACACAGAGGTTAGTATTTTTGTTAACTAATTTCTGTAAATGTTTTTTTCTATTCAATTGCATGAAGTGTTGTTTGTTGATTCATATAATCTTTGTTTCTTCCTGTAGTTTTAATTGCAGTGACTGGCTTGGATACTTGCTTTGCTTTACAGTGGCAGCCTTTTGGACATTGGTCTTACTCTTAACAGTTATAGCAAGCATTCATTTTGTTTGTGTACAGTGACCTTTTCAGACTTTGTTGTGCAGAAATTAATGAATTATTTGCCTTACTTGACACAGCAAATATAGGACTGTATCAGTAACTGAAAGGTTTGCTGTTGCTCTGTTTTGTGTTGGAAATCCCATGAGGAGAAACATTCAGTGGTTTTCAGTTTCACTTGTTTTCAATGGCATACGTTTTCTCACAAAAAATTTCAGTGATTCCTCTATCTAAATACTTACAGTGACATTAAGAAACAATACTAACTATGGCTGCCACTAACAAATGATATGTTTTAATTTTTCAGTTAAGATGAAAATGTTCATTTTGTCCTCAGTGAAGCTAGAGTGATCCTGCTTGAAAACATCTTAGTCCTATTTACCTATATAATCTACTTTCTGTGGGTTATCTTGATTCAGTTGCTGTTCTGTCATAACAACTCTTCTCTCAACACATGCCATGTTTTATGTCTGTGTGTAGTCCAGATTACAATTTTCCCATTACTATATTACTTGACAATAATTTAAAAGAGCAGTTAGTTGTGATTATTTCTATTAGTTGTTTCAACTCTACTTCTACACTTTTAAAAGTAATTTATTATACTGTTAACGGTATGAGTAATTGCCTTAAGTATTTAGCTGAGCTATATTTAGTGGTGGGAAAAGCAGTGCCACTTGCTGATATAAATAAGTGACTCTGAAATATTCCCCCTGACTCCAGATAGTCTGGTGGTCTGAAGCACTGCCCAGTCCTGTGGATTCAAATTTAACATGATACTAGAGCAGAGCACTGTCATGCCAGCCATCTGTGGAGATGGGGTCATGTAGGCAGGAAGAGTGTGAGCCATTTCCAGTAAAAGGATGGTGTGTCCCGTTCCCTTTGGGTCCCCCACTAGCTTCTGTTTGTGCAGTATCAATTATCGCACCCCACCACCTTAATGCACATTTAGCAGGTTGTCAAGTTAGAAGTTCACCAGTAATTAGCAAGTGCTTTTAAATAAGCACATTTTATTCTAATTCTTACTACTTTTAATTCTGTCAGTTCTTGGGTGTGTGTATTTTTTATTTAAAATGGAAATGCCTTTAATTATAAATGCAACTAATGCATCTCTAAATGTATTGGGTGTTTAAATACTCTGCTATAATGGGCGTAATTTCTATTTGTAAAAATGCAGATTGAGTTTTATTACCATTTTACTGTGCTACAATAGTTTAGAGACTATTATTTTTACTGCCATTTTGAGTCAGTTTTTGTACAACTATTTATGAATAAATCAAACCCTGCCTTATGTACTCTAGTTATTTAGCGGTATCTCTATTATGGCATCCTGTGATAGTTAATAGTCTTTATTTAATTAAGCTGTATTGATTGATATTGTCTTTTAATGATATTACATTCATTTTTAAAGAATAACAATAATGTGTCAGTAATTTTGTGTACTATTTATGTTTTTATAAGATCAGTCTACTACTGTTGTTATAATATATGTTATAATATGTTTGACTGCTGATGTGGAAACTGTGCATTTGAAACAGAGACATTTTAAATCTTTCATATCTTTTTGTTCTATTGGGTAGAATAACAAGCAAAAATCTAGGTTCCATACACTTATGGCACAGTTTGGTAAATAACTGTGAATACATAGGGAAAGGTCTACCTTGTACTTTGATATTCGTGCTACATATTAACTATTATAGTGTGCTTTTTATTTGTTTTGAGAGGTCTTGTGCTTATATCTGTGCATCTCTTTCTTCTCAGACACGAGATGACTTTTTAGGACAGGTGGATGTGCCTCTAAATCAGATTCCGGTAAGTTTTTTTGTTTCACTTAACTACACTTGTGTGAGAACTAGTATGTGTGACTTGGAATGTTGATGTATGTTGCTGTGCAACTTCTTAACCTTAGTTTGACCCATCCTTCACATAAATACAAACGCCCACATTTGGTTTCGTTTTGGAAACACACTTGATCATGTTTATCTTTTCTTCTGAGTTCTGTTTTATTATAAACACAACTACCCTGATTTGTCCTCATGCTACACTCTGACCATTATTACAGTTTGCTTACACTGTTAGTGAAAATAAACTTTATTTTCTGACTTTTGTTTTTTCTCTCAGACAGAAAATCCTAATTCAGAAAGACCATACACATTCAAGGATTTTCTGCTTCACCCCAGAAGGTCAGCTCAATTTCATACTTATTTGACAATTATTCATTTTACATTTCAGTGTCATTCATTTGGGACAATATTGGATCTTAAATGCATGTTGATTGATTTATATTTTAATATTATCATCTAGTCACAAGTCAAGGGTCAAGGGTCACCTCCGGCTAAAAATGACATATCTTCCTAAAAACCCAGATCAAAGCCAGGACCCTGCTGATCAAACTGAAGATGTGGATGTAAGCCTAAACACATTACAGTATATCTAATCACTTCTACACAATAAATGATTGCGATGTATGATACAATGTATATATTGTTATGCAGCAGCCTGGTTGGGAGTTTCTTGAGTCCCAGGACATGTCAGGTCCTAGACAAAGCCAGATTCTTCCTGCGCTGCCCCCTGGCTGGGAGGAACGACAGGACAACCTTGGAAGAACCTATTATGTGAACCATGAAACTAGGACTACACAGTGGCAGCGACCGTCAGTGCAGTAAGTTTAACAGGTTACCATCTTCATTTCTTACAAGCATTCTTAATTTATTCATTCTGCATTAAAGGGAAAATGGTGTGGAGTTACAGAGACAAAGCAATAACGTGGAAGCAGAGCATGCGTTTAACACACGGAGACAGATTTCAGATCCTGACGACCAAAATACGCAAGAGTCACCAGAGGTAAGTTACCCCAGACTTTCCAAAAGTGTTCTAATTCTACAAACAAAGTAGTTTGGTACTTACTGCTCTACTGTAAAACTTTCAAGGAATTGATTAGTGGGACATGCACATGTTAATTTTGGTCACTACGCTGGAGACTATGCTGGAGGCTCTAGACTCTTCCAAATATAGTCATTTAAACTTTTAAAGCACCAGTTGCATGTTGTAGCTTTTCAACAGATTCAAACAGGTCTCAGTGGATGTTCAATCCGATACGTCGGCTTGAAAGTGACTGGGATTGCACTAGGAGGAAATCCAGCACCTTCTAAGAGAAACACTCAAGACATGATTGACCAGACTAATTATATGATATTTCACTCGCAGTTTCACACCCATTTTATGCCTCATCCTACTACAGTATGATTGAAATTCCCATGCTGCTGAGCATTTTTCATGTCGTTTCTTCCTTTGTCCTAAAAAATACCACAGTTTGCGCTTGGTTTCTCTCTGTCTTTCAGAGCTGGGAGGTCATACCTGAGGATGAGTCCACCTCATATCAAAACAATATCCAGGTCTCATCACTTCGACCTCAGTCGCCGGTCGAGATTCATTCAGTTTGTAATGATATGAGCAACATTCACTTTTCAGGGTCAGCAGCTGCTGAACAGCACAGCTCTTGTCAGGTAATTTCTTATCCATATAATAATTGATCAGAATCACGATCATTTTCATTGCTATTATGTGAAAAAGTATCACAGTGCCTGCAATTTGCTTTGGCAAAATGGATGCTTCTTCATACAAGCAATGTTTTAATAATGGATGCATTATATTTACAAAACACTGTAGATACTTAAACCAAAAAAAAGGTTTACAAACCTAAAAAATAACTGTAAAATGTTGCATAATATTAAAAATTATGGATTATTCTTTGGTGAAGTTTGTTGTTCTTAATTATGTTTTTCTCCTTTTAGAATCACACAAGTAACTCTCGTCATTCCAGTCAAAGAGGCAATGCCCGGACCTCAACAGGGGAGGAGCATCCTGTTAACACTGCGGTATGTATTTCAGTGAAGAAATTACTTGTTTAGCCCTTTTTGTATGACTTAATGGAATTACATGTGACCTTAGAGATCATGCACTGTAATTAATAATTTTTATTTTCCTGTACTTCTATTAAGGGTCATATTCTTCATATTTGTATACTTTTATTTATTTTACACAATAGCCTCTTCCAATATCAACTGGGTTACCTGCGGGCTGGGAGGAGAAGCGGGACAACAAAGGACGACGTTACTATGTGAACCACCTCAGCAGAACCACCACGTGGACTCGCCCAGTTGTTCAGGTAAAAATGTTACATTTCTCAGTCAAGAAAAGGCAAAATGGATAAATCTGTTGAAGCCCATTATTTTATTGTCTTTTTGTTTTCTGGACATCTTTTTTTCAGAGAGCTCCTGAAGCCTCGTCACCACAGAGGACCGCAGGTTTACCTCAAAACCCCGGAACATCACAGGCGCCAGTGTCAGTAGAGGAGTCCCCTCAACCAGCCATAGGCCCGGAGCCCACTCAGGAGTCAGGATCATTGCCTGCGGGTTGGGAGGTTCGCAGTGCTCCCAATGGGAGACCCTTTTTCATCGACCATAACACAAAGACAACTACCTGGGTAACAATATTTAAGAATGTCATGAGTAACTCATCCAGCATTTTCTGTGACACATATCCTCTTTGCATTCTTGTGAACAGGAAGACCCGCGACTCAGAGTTCCTGTCCAGATGAGGAGGAGGGTCTCACTTGACCCTTCAGATCTCGGCCCTCTACCGGTAAGATCTTCCAGATCAGTAATGATTGTATAGTCAGACATCTCATGAAGTAGCAAACCAGTTAGCTCTTGCCTATAATAAAGAATAGCGCTATCTGTTGGCTGTCTGCCAGAACTGCATATAATAAGAATCAGCGGCTCAAAGCCCTTGCTCATAACACTCTGGCTTTAAAAGACTGTTGTCAAGAAATCATTACCAGTTCAGTTGTTTTATTATAAATGCATTTTGACAATAATCTGAAAGTAATAATCTTATAGTGTATTGGAAACTGTAATGTTGTATACAAATGTTTTATTTATTCTTGGTGGCAGCCTGGTTGGGAGGAAAGAGTTCATTCTGATGGGCGCATATTCTACATAGATCATAGTAAGTATAATGATTTTTCAGTAAAATATATTTTAATTGCTAAAAGGGCATTGCCTCAATTTTTTATCTTTTTACAGACACCAGAACCACACAATGGGAGGATCCCAGATTGCAGAATTCAGCCATAACTGGACCAGTGAGTTGATGTTTATACTCCTTTATAAACAAAACATGCCAAAATGTCATCTTTAAATTGAGATGTTTGTTTTTCTCATTGTTTCGTGCTTTTTGTTTTAGGCAGTGCCATATTCCAGAGACTACAAACAGAAGTATGATTATTTCAGAAAGAAACTAAAGAAGCCAGTGAGTATTTATCTTGTATCATAATTTCTTAACTGTACAAAAGTAACATTAAGTGTTCATTAATGTTCATTTTATTCCATAGGCTGACATCCCAAACCGTTTTGAGATGAAGCTCCGACGAGCTGCGGTGCTGGAAGATTCCTACCGGCGAATCCTGTCTGTGAAGCGGCCAGAGCTGCTGAAGGCACGTCTGTGGGTGGAGTTTGAGGGAGAGAAAGGTCTGGACTATGGGGGCGTGGCCAGAGAATGGTTCTTCCTTATGTCCAGAGAAATGTTCAATCCATACTATGGACTTTTTGAATATTCTGCCACGTGAGTAGAAACTATCAAATATGAATACCAATGTCTGTTTCATTTATTTATAGTCATATTTTGTACAGAAATAGCTTCTGAAACTATTGTTAATGTAATTTCATTTTAGGGACAACTACACTCTGCAGATCAATCCAAACTCAGGTTTATGCAATGAAGACCATCTCACGTACTTCAAGTTTATTGGTCGCGTTGCAGGCATGGCTGTATTTCATGGCAAGCTTCTTGATGGTGAGTTGTTGCTTTTGAGGTTTTAATGAGCAAATTGCTGAGTTCACAACATTTTATAGAACAATAATATTAAATACAGATGGGGGGCAGATAAAAGTATATTTTTAAAATTGATTTTTTTTTCTTGGAATACAGCAAGGGCTCAGGTCTAGTCAGAAATACAAATGATCAGGTTCAACATTTGTGAATTCACTATTTGGATATTTTGTGGCAAAATACGTATGTGTAATCAATAGAGGAAATTGGGTCTTGCCCTCCATCTGGAATTATAACATCATGACAATCTAGAATTTGAAAACTGCCTATATAATATAGTTGTATATAGTTATATATAGTTTTTATTCATTTTTTGTTTTATTTTGTAAAGCTTTCTTCATTCGACCTTTTTATAAAATGATGCTTCAGAAATCAATTAATCTTCAAGATATGGAGTCTGTTGTAAGTACTTCAATGCATAAAACCTTTTATATGGTTCATTACATTATAGGAACTGATGGGCAGTATGTGTCACTTTTTAGGACAGTGAATATTTTAACTCACTGATGTGGATTTTGGAGAATGACCCCACAGACTTGGACTTGAGGTTCACTGTTGATGAAGAGCTCTTTGGACAGGTTTGTTCAGTTCACCCTTTTTTATAAGTGGTAACTTTCAGTTAATATGTTGCATACTTCACATTTAGACTCATCAGCACGAACTAAAGCCTGGTGGTGCCGATATTGTGGTGACCAATGAAAACAAGAAAGAATACATCCAGTAAGTGACATACCGTATCTTATAACTGTAATAATTATAATATAAAAGATTGAGTAATTAATTTATTATAAAAGATTGTTAAAATATATACTCTATTTTTTTTTTTTTTTTTTTGGCAGTTTGGTGATACAGTGGAGGTTTGTAAACAGAGTACAAAAACAGATGACTGCTTTCAAAGAGGTAAACTGATGATTTTTTAAAGATTTAATTTATATAATATACATATATTATATAAATAAATATCTCTACGTTGTGTTTTCTTATATATTTCAGGGCTTCTTTGAGTTGATTCCACAGGATGTTATTAAGATTTTTGATGAGAATGAGCTGGAGGTTTGTCTCTGTTAATCTGTTTACCGTAAACTTAGTATAACTTAGTTTAAAAGGTGCACTTCATAACTGCATGCACTTTTCTGCTGTTGGAGTGCACCTGCTTGTCTTCATGGAAATTTCCTTGCATGGAATGTTCCAGAGGATAGCATTAAACTGCTCTGTCTCGACTCTTGCATTACTTAATGTACAGGTGATTTTATATCACAAAAAATACCTTTAAAAAGATGCATTCTTAATGTGAGAAGGGTTACCTTTCCACAGATTTCACCTGTAACTTGCCTGGCTTGGAGGTGTCACATACCTCCATGGCGATAGTTACATTTCATGTAATCCTGTGTTACATTAAGCATAAAAAATTAATTTTGCCATGGAAACAAGGGGATGATTGGTGATGGAGCCCCCAGCAAAAAGTTACATAGTGCCCATTTAATACTTTTAAGATAAACCTTTTTCTTTTCACTTTCACAGCTTCTCATGTGTGGATTAGGAGATGTGGATGTGAATGACTGGAAAGAAAACACAAAGTACAAGAATGGTTACTGCTCCAACCACGTGGTGATCCAGTGGTTCTGGAAAGTAAGATGCTTAGATGAAACTCATGTTTCTCAAGTTTTCATTCATAAATTATCTTTGCATTTTTATTGCAGACAGTGTTGCTGATGGATGCCGAGAAGCGAATCAGACTATTACAGTTTGTCACGGGCACCTCCAGAGTCCCCATGAACGGATTTGCTGAACTTTATGGTTAGTTTTTTATTTGTTTAGGATGTACAAGATAAACTGAACTGTTTCTTTGTTGTTTTATTGTCAAAGCAAGTGAGACTCAACTTAATTTTGTTTGTTTTTTTAGGCTCTAATGGACCACAGCTTTTCACCATAGAGCAGTGGGGAACACGTGAAAAATTACCACGGGCCCACACATGGTAGGCCCTTAATGTTGTTCGCAAACTGTCCAGATTTTAACTATGTCTCAGCATTGATTTCCTGTCACTACATAAAAAGTACAATCTAAATTAAAAGTCAAATTTAACGTTTCTTAAAGATATGGTGTGTAGTATGTGCTCCGCTCTCGAACTGAACCTGGTTTGGGTTTCGAGTGCCTAAACCTGCATATAGAGGACACATCAATTTTTCTTATTCTCAGTGTATGGGCTGGCCATGTCTCATGTGAAAGCTCAGAGCCTCCATGCTTCATTCACTGAGCTGCAGAGGCAGCACTAGTACTGGATAATGTTTGAAGGTGCCAGGTTTTAGGTAGTGACTATTCATACTGTCTAGATGTGCAGTGGAGAAGTGTGGAACCTACAAATTGCTCAGGAAAAAAAATCAAACAATCACTGCATACTTAGAGATATAAGAGATGCTGTATTATATAGTATTTAGTATATAGTATTTCATTAACAAAAAAACAAAAAAAAACATTGAATGCGGCTTGTACTGTCCTGTAACATAAACCTGTCATTTCTCTTTTTTTCTCTTAGCTTTAATCGTCTGGACCTGCCTCCTTATGAGTCTTTTGAAGAACTGAGAGAGAAACTGAACATTGCCATTGAAAATGCCCAAGGCTTTGATGGCGTGGATTAGGATGCCTGTGTATATGCATCAGTGTGACAGATGAAGGACTGGCCCTCATACTCGTTGGTCAACAATTATGAAGTTTACAAGTAAACCCTCCTTAAACTTCACTGTTATTTTCACATATTTGATTGATTAATTGATGGTTACATTGTGTAAAAGATTTAATCATGTTAATTCATAGGTTTATATACTTGTTATCTTATATAAATAAGATAAGCATTTACTGTTAGATTGTAAACTTTGGTACCCAAGACATGTTAGTCTGGGCTGATCTCATTCCATTGCATTAAACGGCTGAAGCAGGGAATTTCTGTATTTGTAGCGGAAAATCAACATCACTAACCACTAGGACCAGTAGTAGACTGTGGACTTGTTAATATAATTACAAAATGCAGTGTTATATGTGCTCACTGTCTATGCAGTACTGTATATATTTTCATATGAGTGAATGTGACTTGATTTATGTACATATTTGTACAATCAATGTTTTCTTAAAACCACTATTAAGCTGTTTATGACCCTCACAAATGTGCCAACTGAAACATAGTTTTAATCATATAAGCATTTACATTGCCTTATCCTCAACCCTTAAAGGACTCTTCACAAGGCTCTTTTTATGTTTTTATGTCATTTTCTCATTGTAAAATTGTACAGCTTATATTATGGTTCAGAAAAAAATATTTAGTTATCTATAAGAAAGAAACTCAAGTTAGGAGAGTAGTCATAATGATTATAATAGTAAAACATGTTTACACTGCCTGTAATGTTTACTGGACAATTACATGGACTTGTGTCTTGTCTCAGCGAACACACTTTTATACTTTTTATAAAGTGACTTTATATTATCAAAGTCTTACTCTTACTCTTACTGTATCTTGTGAGTCTGTCAGCACACTGCTTTTATCACTATTTAAGAATATCTTTAACTTCTTAAATGTTTACAGAGTACTAAACATGGTATACGCTCTGCTCTTAATATAAAAGCTGTTTAAATGTGCACCTCTGGGGCCTTTTTTGTAATGTACTGAACTTTGTTGTATCATAGACTAATCATTTTTATTACATTTTTAAGTCACTGTACATTAAATATTTTTATTGTGAAGTACACAATCAAATGTAAAACCGTAAGTGCATTACCACTAAATGTTTTGCAGGTAATTAATTATATACCAGTTTGAAGCAGACTGCATTGTATTTTGGCTGATAAAATCGAGCCACACAGAAAAAAATAAATGTTTTAAAATCTAACTTGTCAATCAGTTTTTAAGCAATAGTAATAATAGTACACTACAGCAAGCCACTCAGCCACTGTGGTAATACTGTCTTATGTCCAGTAGAGGGAGACGCAGTACATATGCAACACAATGAACAACCTATTTGAGAGAAGGGAAACAAGATTTTTTTTTTCTAGGTTGCGAGATTGTAAATGAACTTGTTTTTTGAAAATCAGAACATTGTTTTTTTGTGTGTTTTTTGAACGCTTCCTATGATGTAACTGGGACTATGGTCTGTATTTCTGTGCTGACCAGGCCTCCCCCATTGTGGCACTAAAACATCCCCCTTTCCTCAAGGGTTGGCTGAAAGGTCAAGCCCATTCAGGCCGGCCTTTTGGACATTGCTGGGGTCAGTGGGGATGGGCCCATGTGTGGATCGACCAGTGAACCAGGGGTACGCAGATTTCCCTTTTGCCACAGTCCTACCAGCATTCATAACCTGATAATGACTTCTCCCACATTGATCTGGCCGCAGAGCTGACCCCAGCCCACAGTAGGCTGACCATCGCTCCACCCACAAAGAGCACCATATTGGCAGGTGCGAAACTGAATTCTTGATTAATCAAACACCCAGGGGAGGGACTGGGTGGCCATGAATGTGGTCAGCCACACACTTTCTAACGTTATATAATACCACAATAATTTAGACGTCACTATACTCTGAAGATACTTCCCAATTAGCCCTATGACGAAAGGAGTTTCTAAATCCTAAAGTGCTAAGAGATATAAATTTAAAGTAACTGAATGGTTATTTCAAAACAGTAGTTGAGAGATTATAGAAGACATCTAGTATGCCAGGATATACGGGCCAGTAATTACAGCATTTTCACTATAATTGGTGTTATTGCTTATATTTGTCCTTTATTAGACTGGACGTACTGGTTTGGTCATGGTTTCATCCCCTAAACTAGGACAAGAGTATTAAGTCTGTATAATATTTCTGGAAATTTAGGTCAAAGAGAGTCTAGTGTATAATACATAGACTGTATAAACAGTCTATGGTATAATAGTGTAAAATGTAATGAATTACCTCGTATTAACTTTGGAAAAACATACTTTAGGTTACTTTGTGCATCCATAATGAAGCTTCCTAAGAGCCAGTAAACTGATATGAAGCTAATATTGCTGAGATGTATTTATTCCTGCTAGAAATATCTTACAATACAGTTGTATCCTATTGAAATGTAAGTGTAATATTCCTTTTAACTTGTCTGTACTATGATTGGCTGCTGATCACAAATGGGATCTGGCCCACCTTCTGAATAGGGCAGAGCTGTGTGCAGGATGTTCCACGAAGGGGGTCGGTTTCTTCCCACATTGAGAGGTGGATCAATATCAACATTGACACAACAGCTGTCCAGCTCTGACCAAAGCCTTTCTGTAATTGCTGGACCCACTTTTAAAAGACAAGGGCTGAACTCATTTCTATTAGCATTTTTGCCAATATTGGCCATTTGGTGTGGGGGATCTGCTCACATCAATACCGCACCAATCACATTGATAAAGACAAGTCAAAGGTTTCTGTTGGATAGATTCATAAAGTCAACAATAAATAAATACATTAAATATACATACCTAAATGTGTTAATGTTCTCAATAATATTAATTGTTGATCACAATTTATGTATTTGAACTTTTGTTTTTTGGTGTTATATTCAAGGTATGTTCTGGTTCTGTTCTAATTGTATTCTAAGAATAGTTTACACTTCAACTGGTGAAAGTGACATAAAGAAATTGATTTCTTTGTGCTCATTTTACCCAGCACTAACAGAACCACTCAGAATTTCACAGTAAGAATGCATGTTGTTAGTAACAAGAACACTTGTGTGTGAAAAATGCACAAGAGATATAATGCCTGCAGGAAAAGCAATATAATCGACATGCAGACGCAGGTGGTGAACCCTCCACCAGAAAAGTCAGCCATAGAATGTAGCCTATTGAATCAGTGATGGCACCTTAGGTACTGGTTTTGAGGAAACATTTAGGCTAGGTTAGATTTACAGATTTACCCATAGTAGCAACACTTGCAGGCCGCTATTCCATAAGATCATTAGTAATGAGGCTGTTTGTAATTGATACCATATTTGCCTTAAGACCATAAACAGGCAAGGCGGTGTTTTGTTGTTGGTGGCCTAGAGGCCAGTGACTGCTAGGTGGCGCTACAGCTTCATGGCCTGCTGACAGGCGTGATTAATTGAATGTGTCCGTCCTAGTGAGAGACAGGAGCGGGCTGGAGCCAGGGCACCTCTGCACCTCCGAGCCGAGCTGCAGCTCAGTGTCCGCACGGTCCCTCAGGAGAAAGGAGCTATGAGAGAGTAGCGAGTATGCAACGACAATTCAAGTAAATGGCGCCCCTTAAAAGGATTTTAAATCAGCGTTTGGTGTTTTACATCCTCATTCTTCCAATCTCAGGTGAGACATTTAATTAATTAATCAGTTATTGTGTAGTTAACTTAGGCTAGTTACATAGCCAAGACTAGAGTGACCAGAGTGAGCCGACGTGGTCATGTCGAGGAGCGATGTCCAGTGGCTACTGTGAGAACTTCAATAACTTTAACTTTTCATTTTGTGATGTCTTTTAAAACTAGTGTGGGTAATTCTAACTTGCTAACCGAACTAATGAGGGATCCAACTGCATTTCACTTAAGTTTGTAGTTTGTAATTCACTTTATTACACCAATAGCTCACAGAGATGTTTTATTTAGCCTACCAAATGCATAATGTAAAGAACAAGTGGGCCTCTGAATGCCAGAGTATTTAAAACTACACACAGCCACAACTAATTCACACTTTTTACGCTGGGGTGACTAAACGTCACTATGAATTGTATTTTGGGCTGTTTATACATGGTGTATTCTTCTAAGAATGACAATAGTGTTTGGGTTAATTCGGTCTACATCCAGTAAGGAAAAAGTTAATCACTGATAAACAGAATTATAATGCATTTCTCTGGTTTGACCTGTGGTTAGCATTAGTGTGCTTTGCATTCATATATTTCTATATTTTCTTTTTTTTCTACAGGCATTTTATGCTTTAGTGAATTATTTTTTGTCAAAGAACCCCAAGATGTTACAGTAATGCGTAAAGAGTCAGTCATTTTGGACTGTCAAGTGCGTGGCGAGGCCCCCATTGACTTTCAATGGCTCAAGAATGGACTAAAACTGGTGGAGAGTGAGAGGTTGTACCTGCTTTCCAATGGCTCCCTGTTTATTTCGGAGGTGGAGATCAGACGAGGAGACAAATCAGATGAAGGCTTTTACCAGTGCCTCGCTCAGAATAAATATGGAGCAATCCTGAGCCAGAAAGCCCGTGTTACAATCGCAAGTGAGTATGATGATTACCTGATCGTTTTGAGTGTCACCTTAGAAGCCTGTAAGACTACACTGTTTAGAAAGAAAACCTGCCCATTGGTGTGCAAATGAGAAGAGTGAAAGGTTGGTGCAACCCAGGACAGTATTTCTGTTGAAGGATGGCCCTCATTCACTGGCAACTCTTTCATGTTATTGGTCACCAGATGAATTGTTCTTCACTATGCTTTATTTTCCTGTGGTCCATGTGTTCAGGTATTTCAATAGACAGAAAAGCTGTGCATCCAGGGATAGAGTACGAAAGTTGATCAAATATGACTATTTCCCACTTGTTAATGATTTACGAGAAATGTTCCACATTTGACCAACACATTGTCTGTTTAGCTTTCTTTGTGATTGTTTACTGTTAAACATGGACTGACGACTACTATACAAACATTGCCAGAAGTTTTATGAGGTCAGAAAGTCAGAACAGTTTGGACTTATCTGGGTGATTCATAAAAGTAAATATAGACATTACATTGCCCGTAAATCCTCTATATTCCACTTAGTGCACCCTTAATTTTAAGAGGCGATAAATGCAGGCTCCAAGTTTTACTAGTTTTAAACTGTCACTTAGGGCAGCTTCAGGGTCTTACTGGGAGCTCATAAAGTTTGCACAGACCTGAGAAATACGGAGTGGAGGACGCAGTGGTATCAGAGGAGCATGTGGGAGTGTACATACACAAAGGCACGTATGCTTACAAATGTGATGTGCATTTTCCTGGTACCATGACCCAGCCCCGAGGTCTAAATGCCCAAACTTTATTGCAGGTCTTGCCAGGTCAGTTGGAGCTGTGGGGGCTTCACACAATTGTTTTCTGCCTCACTACTCCTACCACAAACCTGAATGGGCTTTCCCTCTGAATGTTTTGTCCTCCATGTCCCCTGGACAGACAAAAAGAGCTTTGGGGGGAAGTTGTCCACTGATCAATCAAGGTTTAATGTGTGGACCCTGCTACATATATTTAGTTGTATATTTAAGAGGCTGCTTCACATTTATATTAAACAAGTACATGCCTAAGACTTTCACTAATCTTTGGGTTACCTTGAAGAACGGCTAAAATATCGCTGCACAGTTAGGGCAGTTAATTTTGTCAGGGCGGTTGATTTTGTCTAGAAATTGCATTTCTCCTTTGCCTTTGTGAAGCAAAGTTGATCAGATTGTTGTAGGTTGTGCTAGAAGTAAATATTTAGGTCTACTGTATTGTGCCCAAACTGCCTTTTGAAAAACTTGTTGCTGTTTTTTCTTAGTGATGATCCTAGGAGCTAATGTTTGTGTAAGACTGGTGTAGTGGAGGGTAACCTTAAACATTTGGTTGCTGAGGCACAAAAGACAGAAAGATTTGGCCTGGCTGAATAGGAATGTGATACATGAGCTGCATCATGTGACATTTGTCAATAGACTTCTGATTGATGACGATCTCAATGGAGAGATGCCTCCTAAAGTTGACTCCCTCTTTTGCCTCCTACATTGAGTGAATGCAGCCCATAGCACGGGGCAGACCACTGCAACACATGTGGCCTAGTGAAGGAGAACATCTCAGTGCAAGCTGACACTTATTTATGCTCAATCTGTGAAAACCAAAAATAACCAAAAATTTTAGAGCAAGAGCTAGAGCAAAATTAAGATGGGATACTAACTAAAACTAAACTAGACTAAATTTGGGATTATAGCAGTTCAAAGGAGCAACTAAAATGACTAAAGCTAAACTAAAATTAGCTTTCAACTAAACCCCAGGTTTTGAGTGGCTGTCTCATATACACCACTAGAAGAAGATTGCTGTGTACCACCAGTACCCATTACAGATTACAGATACAGCATATATGTATTGTACTTTGGGCTAAGTCATGTATTATGTGATTTGGTGGTTTGAACTCGGTCACCCCAAAATTATTTAAGTAAACCTATCTGAACTGTGGAGGAAACGTCACTCCTGAACTCCTGAAGCAACTCCAGACCTGAATCTTGTTTTTCTCCTCTGCTGGACACGAAAGGTTACCATGGGGACCTGAGCAGCAGGCCTAGGGGTCAAAGGTTGTATTAAATAGTTCAATAGATGCACAAGATCTAGCAGAGCAAATTTAATCCATCTCAAATATTTTAAAATGTATTTTCTGTTGCAGAGGTAGTTTTTGAGAAATTGTCCCTTTTGTTGTATTTTGCCTCAGAGTCCTCAGATAAAGCTATACTATCTTACCATATGATCTTCCAAAAGAACAACTATCAGGTCTTTTTATGTAACACACTGTTCTTGGGAGATAGAACAACAATGCAGCCACTGTTTGGGCCGAGTAAACCGCCTCAGATGAATGGTAGTAGAAGTTTGCAGAGGAGATAAGGCGCTGGAGGAGGGGTGGATTCCTGCTCCCAACTTTGCTCCCCCAACAACAGGACTCGTCTTAAGAGGTCACGCTGCCCATGGGAATGAGCCTTTGTTTAGCCAGGCCTATGGTCATTTGACTGTCTTGCACCCCGCTCTGAGAGGGAGCACATCTGCCAGGGGTCTTTTGATTGATAGGGGGTCTTTTTAGTGACATATTGTTTTGTTTTTTAAGTTATCAATACCCCACCATTGTTCTTTGGCATTTAAGGCTAGAACTATTGTCACTTCAAAATAGTATTAATCCTAAAATTAATTAGAGTCATCCAAAGAAAATATAAAAGAACAGAAAAAAGAAAATATTACTCTTTATTATAAATGGCTAATTCTGACTACTGTTTTTGACTTATTGCTTGTTAATCTTGTGAGAAAGCAATATTTTGATATAGAATAGATTTAGGTTTTGTGCAGTCACTTTAGTTATGGTGATTAAGAAGGATCTTTTCATTGCCCTCCTGATGCTTAAGGCTATCAATTTAGCATGCTGACTCCAGGATGAGAAAGAAATGATCAATTTTAATGTTTCCCCTAAAAGATTGGATTCTGGGGGTGGGGTTAGGTTAAAAGTCACTTGGGGAGGAACATCTCTTAGTGACTGCATAGTTTAACAACTCAGTGGTTTCTCTCTGTTACAGCATGAATGACAAAAAAAACTTCATCTGAAGGTTGAAGATCTGTTTAAAATATTGTAGTAAAGTATTGTTTTATGACCAACAGCTGAGGTGTACTTTAACCTCACACAAACTCATAGAAGAATTGGTTCCTGAATTAAGTCTTTGGTCGGCATTTGTAAAGCACCCTGTCCTCACAGCTCAGGATGCACTTAAAAGGGATTTTCACTGTAACTTTCAGGTAGTAGCAATGGCCCATGTTTAAGTGGTGCCACAAAACGATGATAAAGGGGGGCAGGCAAAACTGAGAGGGGTCTGTTAGGATTTGTGTGTCCAGAGGTGAGAGGTTACGTGCAGGGAAATGCAGATGTCCAAGCTGTTTTGAATACTTGTGAGGAAAAGATTGAGGCATTTGTGTGTGTTTTTGTTTGTGTGAGTGGACCAAAAATCATATCTCCATGAAGTATATCCTTCAATATTAGATCAATAACATGATTTAAAGTTAACATATGAATTAATTTAGATTAATGTTAGGTAAGCAGTAATTATAAAGTATGGCAAGTATTAAACCTAACAACAGTGAGTGTGAAGTAAACAGCAACCAGCAACTACAAAGTGGCACGAAGCATTATACAATATAATTAAAATGAATCTTATATATTTACTTAAATTATTTTAGCAGACATTAGATGACTGTAGGTAAATAGTGCCACTCTGTGCTCACTGGCTTTGGCCCAACCCAAGCAGTTATAGATTTTCCACGCTGTGTTTGTAGTTTGTCAATAATCAATGATTATCTTGTTGTTTGTCAATCCCACATCATTGGACTGAATGGAAAGCCAAAGTATAGAAGTAGAGGATCAGTGAACTCATCACTCATGCCCTGTGGACATATCACTTTGATGTAAAGGGCTGTTAATGTGGTGAGTGGGGTAATCCTCCCTCACTCAACCATGAGAAAGACCAAAACACAGTCTCCTAATTTGATTAACTGGTTGAAATGGTCATTCTTGCAAAAGGTATGTTCTATAAAACTGTATTTACACTTAGACTTTTGTTGTACAACAGTACAAATCTGTAGTTTTTATGTTGCTTTTGCCTTCCTGGCTGTCCCTGGTTGTCATTCCCTTAGCTCCCCTGCAGTTTCACACCACTTCCCACTGCCACCCCATACATATCAAAGTATGTAGATTTTATGTAAACATTTTCAAATGGCCATGATATTGTTCTGTTTGCCATACTGTTGAGGGAAATATACGAAAAAAGCAAGTTAAAATACTCATTCTGAACAGTGCTGATAAAACAGAGGAATGTTTTAAGCTCTCCTGTTTTTGATGAACACTTAACTTAACGTCCTCCTCCCCTCTTAGCTCTGTTTCCTTTTTGTTTAGTGTTGATGGCACCAAAAGCCTTGGATATGACCAGAGAGGTTAAAGAGCAACTGAGTGTGTTTGCTCATCCATTACTCAAGAGCTGATCCAGAAAGAAGCTTAGTGACTAGGATGGGACAGAGAGACTTGTAAATGTTATGCTTTGATTATTCTTAAAATAATGCCTCATTATATTTCATGTTTGTAAATAATGTTGTCAAGTTAGGTCAAAATGTTGTTTGGAAATCTTCTAAACAGCTTTACAATTGATTTCCTCTAACATATGACGGACCATAAGCTCCTGCAGCTTTTGAACTCAGAAGGGGGTGGTACTGCAGTAGATGACCTCAGTGACTCCTAGGATTTTATGGCCCATGAGAAACTATTGTCAAAAAGAACATGGAAAATACTGAAACTACCTGAATGAGCTGACATCCAGGTTTGACGATCCTCTTTTAAAGGACTTTTTGTAAACTAATTGGGCTTCATTTGCTGCTGCTCAGCTGGTCACTGACTTGGGCTCAGTTTCAGGGAAACCCAATCCTGCAGGATGTTGCTGCTCCAGTCATCACCTCCAGCAGCACTCAGCAGCTCTGTGACTTTAGGCCACTACATCTGTGTAGGGACCTCCAATAGATTTGTGTTGGATGGTATTAGTTTGGCTGGTGTACTCTCCTACAATAAATAAATAGAGTTGTAAATCATATTATTTTCTTATTCTACCCTGTTGAATTCAGTCTTACTTTTCCACTTAGTTTTCATTGGTCATCAGGTTGTAATCTCTTGCCTCTTTGTGCTTCCGGAGGTATCTCTGCTTTTGCAATCCAGCCCACCTCCATAGTGGTCACTGAAGGCTCAGTGGCTCGATTTTCCTGTAAAATCAGTGCACACCCTCCTCCCATCATCACGTGGGAGCTTAATCGCGTAACATTACCCCTGACTACTGAGAGGTAAGCCCTGTGGTTAATTGTCAGTTGTACATTAACTTAAACATTTAATTTGATTATATTTAAACACTATTTATACTGTCATCACAGAATCACAGTGCTGCCGAGTGGTGTGTTGCAAATTTATGGTGTAAAACAAACAGATGCTGGAAACTATCGCTGTATTGCCACAAACATTGCCAGCCGCCGCCGAAGTGGTGAAGCAACCCTCACTGTTACTCCAGGTTGGTAAAATATATTTTCATAAACCATTCAGTTCCTTTTGAACCAAAACAGTTTCTTAGATAAAGCTTTGCTGTTGTTGTGCAACTGTAGCCCCAAGCCCCCAGGTCCCCCAGAGGCCACGCATTATTACCGGGCCACAGAATGTCTCGGTGGCGTTGCATCAGAATGCTATTCTCGAGTGCATGGCCACGGGCAACCCACGACCCATCATTTCATGGAGCCGAGCAGACAGCAAATCTATTGATGTTTATAACACAAAAGTGCTGGGAAATGGCAACCTCATCATCTCTGATATCAAGCCTCAACACGAAGGGGTCTATCTGTGCAGAGCCACCACCCCTGGCACCCGAAACCATACCATTGCTTCGGCTAATGTCACTGTACTCGGTAAAGAAATACATTTTAACATTTAATATACCACAGAAGAATGCTTTTTTATTACGGTATTATATTTATATACATTTTTTATTTCATAGCTCCACCATCCCTGGTTGAATGGCCAGAGAGTCTAACCCGTCCACGTGCCGGTACAGCTCGCTTTGTATGCCAAGCTGAGGGGATCCCAACTCCTCAAATCACTTGGTTCAAGAACGGCAACAAAGTCCATTCTAACGGCCGCATCAAGATGTACAACAGGTACCATGCCAATAATATGCAAACACAGTGTTTTAACCACTGAAAATAACCCAATTACTGCTGTCTCTACGGCTGCCGTTTCTACGACTACTGTCTGTATTGAGTAGAGAGACACTGAATAATTTATTTGTGTAAATGGGAGTTTTGTTGTTTTGCCAGTAGTTTATTGTGACTACCTATTTAACTGATTGTGTGCATAATTACTGTGATTCTAAGTGGTGGTTTTTAGATATATTTTCTATGGTTTCTCTGTAGCAAACTGGTGATCAACCAAATCATCCCAGAAGATGATGCTATTTATCAGTGTCAAGTGGAGAATGATCTGGGCTCTGTTTTGTCTATGGCACGTCTCATTGTGGTGATGTCGGAGGACCGCCCGAGCGCACCACGCAATATCAGAGCTGACACTGTGTCCAGCTCTGCCATCCTGCTCGCCTGGGAGAAACCTCTGTTCAACTCTGACAAAGTTATCGCCTATTCTGTGCATTATATGAAGGCTGAAGGTAAACTGTGACAAAATCTGTTTTTACATAGGTTTTAATTAAAGTGCTTATTAGTTATGGCACATAGAAGACAGGAGAGAATATGGATTTTGACATTATTCTGTAAAGCGCAGCCCAATAATGCGAAACTTAAAATGTCTCTGTAAAAGAACCAACACTATTATACCACACAGCTAACTTCCTGTAATACTTTAAGCAGCAACAAATACAACACTCAAGAACTGTTGCCTGGCAGCAAAAATGCCATTCAGCTTTTTTTTCTGGTAACTTTAGCTTTTGACAACCAGAGCAACGTCCATACAAAGCAGCATTAAAAAGTCTTCTCCAGTCAGGAAGTGCCCCTAATTATAATCCCACTGACTTGTATTTGTGAATTGAGTACAAGAGAGCACCTGCTGGATTGTGGAGAAATTCCTCTAAACTAATTCCTAAATAAGAGCCATTTAGTGAAAGTATCTGGACTTGATTTTGTGTTTAAGGACACAACTTCTTTATCCCTTTCTCTGAGAACCACTCTTCACTGACATGGAAAAAGTAGAGTTCTGTGGCATTTGCTGTGAATGTATTCACTAATTAGCCCTCATAAAGAATTGTCCCAAAGCTTGCAAGGAAGGGGGTGGAGAATGGTGTGAATTTATAATTTACTGTTATTTTGGTTTAGTGTCTGTGTGTTTGAGGCATTGAATGTTTGTTTTAATATACGATGTACAGATTGTGGCTGTTGTGATCCAGAATCAAACAAACATTTACTATTTAAAATCCATATCAAATTCATTGCGCTGTATTCCTGTATTCCTATATTCTAGAATAATTGTATGTATCTTTGTTTTTATTTGTGAAGGGTTAAACAATGAGGAATATCAAGTAGTCATTGGAAATGATACAACTCGATACATTATTGATGACCTGGAGCCAGCTCGTAACTACACTTTCTACGTGGTGGCCTACATGCCGATGGGAGCCAGCCGCATGTCAGACCACGTGTTCCAGCACACACTTGAGGATGGTGAGAGTCACAATGACAAATCCTGCTCTGCATTTAACCTTAAATTTAGAGTATGTGTTGTTGTTGTAACATTTTCTGTAAGTGAATAATTTGACATGTAATAATCATGAGAAGCAACAATCAGCTTTATGTTAACCTGTTTACTATCCAAACCCAAATCCACTTAATTTATAAAACACATTTTAGAAATACACAGTTTCCAAAGTGTTGCACAGAGACAGAGTAACAATAAAAAGTAAAAGAAAAATTTAATTTTCAATTAAGCATCTCTTAAATCAGAATTGACTTGAAGAATAAAGCTGGTGAAATTATATAAGGCTGGTTCTGCACAGTGGAGGACTGACAGTCCTTGTGTTCTTGGATAAGAAATTAAACTTTTAACCATTTGCATTACTCTGATTGACTTGAAGAACAATCAGTGTAAAAGTCTCAACATGTGGAAACCCCTGTTGAAAAAAACAACTGATTAACAAAACATTTTTAAGAAATATGTGTTGATTATTACAGTTCCCCTGCGAGCCCCTGAGCTCAGCTTGACCAGCAACAGCCCCTCAGACATCCAGGTGTCATGGCAGCCACTCCCCGACAAACTGAGTCGAGGACAAATCTTGGCCTACCGCTTGTCGTACCGCACCAGTGCTGAGAATGCAGTTACACAGATGGAGTTTCCGGGACAGAAAACTCAGCATCTCCTGGAAAACCTACAGCCGGACACCATATACCTCCTGAGGCTTGCTGCGGCCACCAGTGTGGGGTGGGGTGAGCCCTCAGCGTGGACCTCTCACCGCACGCCAAAGGCATCCAGCACTCAGGGTATGACAAGCCTTTTTCATAACCTTTGGGCAGCCATTGGATTCAAAAAGCTTAATTCAAATTAATATATAACGGAATGAAAGGTTTTCTGGATAATCTTGTTAGGACGTTGTGTTTGCTCCTCTCTGACCTATGCCCTCCACTTTCAGAAACACTGGAAGCGCTTCAGTCATGGGCCATAAAGTGTACTAAAGGCAGCTTAGCACTACTTCTAAAGGCTGTGGGGGATGGGAGCATTAATTTTTACAATCCACAAATATTGTTTTGTTTTTCCACTTTCAATGTTGTATTGCTTAACTTAAAATGTGGGGCAGGATTGGTGCCTCCTGCTGTGTGAGAGTGTCAAACAGCTGCTATTTTCACTTTTAAAGAAAGGGACTTGCCACCGATGAGACTGTCCTACTTTAAATGTGCCTCAATCACAGTATCGGATATTGTGTGTTCTTTATACAGTTCCTCGATCTCCTGAGCTACATTTGGAGTCCCTTAACTGCACCACTATAGTCGCCCGATGGCAGCTGGTGCAGAGAAACGCAGTCAGTGTCCAGGGCTACAGACTGTTTCACCATGAGGAGAGCCAGCCTGAGAGTGCTCCAATACAGCTCCGTGCCTCTGTCAAATCCCACACTATCAGTGGTCTTGGTAAGCCCATCAACACCTACTCCTCCTAAATCTGATATATTTATCTCATTGTAGAAGGGAAGTTGATAATACAAACACTGTTCTCATTTTAATACTTTTTATTTGTACTTTTTCAAAGTTTAACAGACATACATAACAGTACACAACAATCTCTGGGGTTCTAAAAAAATAGCACACTATGCATTGGAGTGATCTTATGTAAATAATCCATTCTGACTATTACTTCTCAAATTTAGCAAGTTTCATTTTCAAATAATAGGTCATTTTTTTTACATCACATACATTTATCCATCCATTGTTTAAATTTTAAATGGTCACACTTCAACAAATTCCTTGTTATAACTTTCTGGTTAGTCATATGCATCACTTTAAACAAACAGATGTCCTCAATTCGAATATTCTTGTCAAGCAATAAGTACATCATTACAAAGTCTGTTCCTAAAATAATGGTTTATTCAAGTGTATCTTGTGTTGACAATTTTATATTTTTTAACAATACTATCACATTTTTATTTTATTATTATATTATTATATTAATTGTTACAAGGTCACAAATGCCCAAACCAAAACTAAGTTTACTTAAATATACTTATACTTATACTATACTATACACCAGTTTTTGGGGCTTGGTTAAAACACACATCATACTCCTCCCACCCCTGTGCGGTATATTCTGTTGAGTTTCTTTTCAGCAGCTGACCAGAGCTGCTATTGGCTTATCGTGGCCTTTGGGTCAGATTCATTTTGGCTTTCTTTCTTTGTGAGAGAAGAAGGGTCTCGGGCCAGTGTAGTGGACAACTGACCATCTGTGGCCAGAGGGGTCAACCAGGTGGCCAGCAGCTGACTTGTAAATCACCATGAAGTTGTTAGAAAGAAATGAACAGTGAGGAGGCACTGTAAATTACAAAAAGTGTGAAGTTTACTGTCACTTACTTTTTATTTAAAGCTGTATTAATATATGATTACTTTAATATAGACAAATCAGATGAAAAAAAGACATCATAGAAATAGATAATTATTTTATGTAGATACTGATTAAAATGACACAGCTTTAGCTTTATATTCCAATAAAATAAAAGACATACAGATGTTTTGTAATGTTCTGTTTAAATAAAAATTAGCTGTTTTGTGAAGAATATTCATTAAGTGTTTTATGATAGCGTGGCTGAAGGAGCATTGACTTCAAAGGCTCCATTGTGTTGGGCTTAGAAAGGCACAAAGCTGGTTTATTGCCCTATGCCTAAAGGAAATGCATCCTGTCAGTAACTGCTGTTTCAACAATGTTGGTCTCAGGCACTGATTAACCAGCATTTTACCTTTGTGAAAAAAAATCATTTTTTTCTTTCAGGAAAGAAACATTTTGTTAAAAGTTTGTATTTATTAATTTCTATTTCATTTACCTTTATTGCGTATGTTTGTGTCTGGTCAACAACTAAAGTGTATACAGTAGTTGCTTATCTATGGACTACATACAGTGTTCATTATGTGAACAGGTCATCTTCACATAATGTAATTAACTCAGTGCTTGTAGTGGGCTGTTCTGTGTGCACAGCCTCTGCGTTGACGATAGCATTGATTTCAGGTGTACAGTAGGGACAGCTGATTCAGCTAAGGCCGCTGCAGAAGGACATGTTCACAGCTTGAATAATGGTCGCAGTTCAAAGGATTAAAAGCAAATCATGAGACACAGGAATGTATGCTGGGTTTCGCTTATGAGAAGAAGTGTCAGCGCCACATGAACCTGTTGGCACCAGACTTCACTCTGTGCATATGTAGATTTATCTCATGGCGTCAGGCTTGTCCTGTCCCACATGCTTTCTCTTAATTTCACTGTAGGAAGGGTGCTCTGTCTGAGATCTCATGGGCCTTAGTTCACCACTTTGAAAAGACATTTTCTTCTTATTTACTGTGTGGGTATGTGCCTTTGTGTTGATTTGTGGCAGCCTGAGCAAAAGGGGAGAAGCAGAGATGATAGATGTGAGTGTGAGGGTTCATTTTGGGAGCTGACATTTATGGCCCCTGTTCAAGCCTGGCTTGCTGCGGCCTGGGGGGCCTTATAGGGCAGAACAAAACTTCAGAGGCCAACAGGATCTGCGTTTTCGCTCTAAAAAGGTGACCACAAATGGTTGAAATATGTCCTTTAATGCAAAGAGAATAATTTATGAGTGTGGACCCGTGGGAGTTTGGCTCAGTGGATAATGTCCAGGAATGGCATAACAGGACAGGATATTGCTTTCCAAGAACTACTGTGTTATGCTGTATGTACTTACCGAATGCTCACTTTGAAGTTGATTGATTTTACAGAAGAACTTACAGTTAATGTCTATGTGTATTAAGTGTAGTAAATGTATATAATACTTTTTCATGATTTTCTAATTATTACTTAATTTGGTAGAGTAATACTGGTGTTAAATATTAATATGAAGAAAATAGTGCAATACTAAGTACTAAAACATATTGGTGACTTAGGAGTTATTCCACCCATATGCAAAGTTACATGAAAATGTGTGTAAACATTTTCATTATTAATTAGTAAAATAATGGTGTTGTCATACATATTTATTCATCAGATAGTGATTATGATATTGGCAAGAAAAAAGTATAATTATTAATGACACTGTAATGAAATGGGTAGTCCTATGTAAAATGTCAACAGACTATAGCGTCCAGCAGAAGCCTGTGCTGTATTGTCAAAATAATTATAAAACTATCTCTGTTCCGATAAGTTCCATCAGGGAACCTATTGTCAAAAGTTCCCTGATGGAGTCAAAAAAGTGTTTTTGACTTTGGTGTTTCTCGTTTTTTCCACTAACTTCTAACGATGGACCCTCCCCCTCACAGAGACCCTCCTTTTGCAGGATTTAGCTTGCCCAGATTCCATGTCAAAGGTCATGGCCCAGATGTCAAAGCCTCTTCTCTCCCTGAGCTCCTCTCTCGCATAATTAAGACAGTTCATTGTATTGTGACCTGGGTAGAGGTTCAAACTACATCCCTGTCCCTTTTAGAGTGGACACTAAAAAAGTATGCATAATTATACAAACTTGGCATACTCATTCATTGCTCTCTACAAAGATGATGCAGTACAAAGTGAAAAGTTAGCTGAAGAATTGTATCAAGCCTTTCTCATTTCGGTATGCTTCATATACTTAGTATTCTGTGCATTTTGTTTATACCAGTGAATCATTGAGGCAGGTCCTTAGGCAAAAGGAAGTGCATCTCGTATTGCACATGATGACCTCAGATTCTTTCAGAGTTTTATCTCGGCTTGACCCTATGGCCCTGGGCTGGCTCCAGTGAAACCCGTCAGAGCTGTATGGGGGTTCAAGTAGCTCTGCTCCACCCTTAAAAAAATGTCCACCCACCCGGGACACACATTCATCCCCTGTGGTCTAACTCCTCTTTTAAGCCCCCAAATATTTTTCAGTGGCACTATGAACATGTGTTTTGTGCTCAGAGAAATAATAAAAATAAACTGTTTAATATGCGATATGCCCAACAAAAGTCTAAGGTCACAAAGTTTCTAACTCTGACAAAAGTTTGTCACTTTATATGCATTTTTTATGTATATAGTTATCAATGAAAACATTTTACAGAAGAAAGTATTGTACAGCTGCTCAATTAACTGCAATTAAATTGAAATCATATTTGAATTATTTATTTATAATTATTATTAGTTTTTTCATTGACATTTCTCTTGTCTATTTCTATTTTCATATTCATTTTAAAATTTGAATCCCGATATCAAAACTTAAATTGCAAATTTCTCTGACAATACAATAATAAAACATACACATAATGCCACAGTGTAGGGTCATGGAACTTATTATTTAGTTTAATCATTACACTTAGCATAAGTAAATGAGGTGGGGTTTGGTCAAGCGACTATTGTGGTGCACAGGTCTCCAGGGTCAGTGTGGCCTGTGATTCCCTGTTGACCATCCGCTGTGTTGTCCTCAGGGATTTTGTCCCTGGTTTTAACCCCTCAGTTCAGATCTGAATAGGAGTGTCCACTGGCCTGCTGACCACAGACCAGCCGGCCAGAGCAGGGCTGGAGAAAGGCCTTTAGGATTTGTGCTGAAAAGGTTGACATTGATGGATATAGGAGCTCCCTGTTCTGATTGGTTTAGGCACTGACCAAAGGACTGACCATACTGAGCATCTGTTCCTTTGCTGCGCCAAAACAAGAGACCCCTAGTGACCTCACACCCACTGAGATCAAGTCCTTTTCTAAACTTTATAATCTTTATTTTTTCAGTAAATAATTTTTGTTTTCATGTTTCTTTTGCAGACCCAAGGAAGAAGTACCATGTAAAACTTCTAGCCTATAACTTTGTTGGAGATGGTTACCAGGCTGACCAGACCATTAGTACTCCGAGCTGTGTCTGTGAGTATCTCTTTAATGAACACATCATTATCACATGTGGAGACTAAACCTGTACACATACTCAACTGAAATGCTCCCTCCTTCCAATACTAGAGCACTGTGCTGTGAGTTTCACTGTACTGTATGTTTGATAAATTTTTTTGTTCCAGCTGTTCGAGATCGCCTGGTGCCCCCTCCGCCCCCGCCTCACAATATTTACGCCAAAACCAACAGCTCGACAGCCGTGTTTCTGCACTGGGGTCGTCCTGCCTTCACCTCCCACCATCCAGTCAACTACACTATCCGCTGCAACCCCGTGGGCCTGCAAAATGCCTCTCTGGTGCTCTACCTTCAAACGTGAGCCCAAACATTTTATCTTCATTATTGGTATTCAGAAGAGCATAGATTGACTCAACAAATTTGAAGTTGTTCTCAAGCTGGAAATGCTAGGCTTATTTCAAACCACACAAAAATCATCACAAATCTTAATCTGCATTTTTTAATTTCATCTATACCAGATATTTGTATTTGTAAACTCATATTTCCACTGTCTTTCCTCTGCAGGGGCGAGCAGAATCTTGTGGTGAAAGATCTTGAGCCAAACACCAGATATGAATTTGCAATCCGTCTTCATATCGACCAGTTGTCCAGCCCCTGGAGTCCTGTAGTTTATCAAAGCACTTTGCCTGAAGGTAAGAGAGAGATCATTAAATGAGATATTTAGATATTTATGTAATAATATAGATGGTTTCTCAGTTTAATTTTTTATCCTTCCCTATACAGCTCCAACAAAGCCGCCGTCTAATGTTAAAGTGAATCTGATTGAGGAGGACACTGCTTTGGTCTCTTGGAAAAGTCCAGATGAGCCAAATATGTCTGTGACGCGGTACACCATCCTCTTTGCCTCTAAAAAGGAATGGCTTGCTGGCCAGTGGCAGGTCCTGCAAAGAGAGGGTAAGGACAGCGCTTTTGGTTTTGTGTAAAACCAATTAGAGCATCTTAATGATGACTCTGCTAACTACGGACAATTGACTAGCTAAACTGATTCAGAAAAACAGTTCATAAGAAATACATGCTACCCTACATGCTAATCCTGTTCTTGTCTAACAGTGGGTAAAATAATTAAGAAAATAAAATAGAAAGATAGATAGCTAGAAAGATTCATAGAAAAAGTTGTAAAACTATTGGGATGTGAGAGTGTTTTATAAGCAGGAAACACAAAGCAGACTTTGAATGCCATTGGTGCAGGGGTCAAATGTGAACCTGTTGTAAAAACAGTTTCTGAAAGCACAAACTGTGTGGTAGTGTGTAGTAGTGTGCTGTGAACCATGCTTTCCACATTAGTGCTTTTTGTGCTCACCAGCACTTATATCTCATTAACTAGATGAACAAAAGTTTCCACAAAATGCTACAAATAATTACTACGAACTTACTTATTAATTTAGAAAATAATGTATGCTTATGTGTAATATTCAGTTATTCTCTAAATCACAGGTGTCAAACATAAGGCCTGGGGGCCAGATCCGGCCCTCCAAGACCTTTAATGTGGCCCTTGGGTGATTTTCTACTAAAATATTTTAATTATATTTTCTATTAAAATATTGGTAATTTTCTGCGGGGCTGAGCATAGCAGCGTCTCCAGTTTCTCTGTGCGTGGCCTTTCCCACCAGAGCAGCACAAATGAAGACTTGTCTCTTTCCAAACGCTCTTAAAGGACGATCATTTTGATTGTTGACCGTGACACCCTCATCAGAAAAATGTCCAACATGAGAAAAGTGGAGCTGAGTGCAGAATTTTCCAAGAAAAATTGACTTATTCCTGTTTGCATACAAGTTATTGTTAAAACATTGTGTTGAAATTGAATTTTTCTTCAAGTTTCAGGTTGTTCATGATATTATAATATTATAATAAGAAAGAGTTCATCAATTAAAAAATATTTCTGTAATAGATTTGCATTTCCCTGCACAAATATTTGAACTTATTGTTATTTTTGGGGTTTATATGACATGAGTTTTCTGATCCGGCCCCTTTGGGATCAAAGTAGGTTGGATACGGCCCCCGGACCAAAATGAGTTTGACACCACTGCTCTAAATGTTGTTGGGTATCATTTCCATTTGAGTCATATAAAAATAGTGTAATAAAAGACAATGCAAATTTATTTGTACAGCACTATTCCTACAAAGTAATTCAAACTGTAAAACATATACATTTGCTGAGCCCCGTCTGTTATTCTTAAATAAATCTTATTTCATGCACAGGGAGCATCACTATGGCGCTCCTGGAGAACCTGAAGCCTGGTCAGGTGTATTTGGTCAAAGTTTCTGCCTCCAACAACATGGGTGATGGGCCATACTCTCCAGCTGTGGAACTGACTGCTTTATCCTCCGCACAAAACCCACGTCTCTCACACGACTCCACAAGTCAGTGATGCCACAAAAGGCAATAAAGTTTTTGTAAAATATGAAGTATATGCTCAAGTTTCGTTTGCTTTGCAGTGTTTTCCGATGGTTTCTACCACTTGGACCAGAAGTCTATGACTGGAATCACCATTGGAGTCTGCATTGCACTCATTTGTATCATTATCTGTGTTTTCGTCCTGGTCTGCCGCGGAAATAACAGGTATTAAATACTTTTTCAGTTTGAACCAAGTTTAAAGGAGACATTTTATGCAGAGCCGACTTTTAAACATGCTATAATGGTTTTCTCTCATCATAAGCCTGAAATCTGTATTTGGAATGATTCATGCATGTTTGAGTAATCTTGCAATTGAGGCTTCAGTGCTTAAATTTAGTTTTCATCTACCTCTTATTCCCACTCACTACCAAAAAGCAGTTGATTCCCAAAAATAAAAATACATTGCTGCTAATATGTCTTCCTTAAATATAAACTATGACCTCTAAAAAATGAATAAATTTTTGTCTGAACAGAAAATTTTCAGCAGTGAAGCAGTATGGACCAGCACATGCCCCCCCCTCATCAGCGGCAGTCCGACGTGGGTCAGAGGAACAGGTTGAAAATGGAGATGTGACTGTGCCCATGATGAACCACTTCATTGATGCCAAGGTATTTTCACAAAAATGATGCATATCTTAAATTATGTGTGAAATATAGTTTTCAATATATGTTTTGGTTTATAGGGTGGAACAAACCTCATGATAAATGCACTTGGTCCTGTTCAGGCCAGCACTGAAAAGAAAAGTGATTGGTTTTCTTTCAACAAGAGAGATAAAACAAGCAGCAAATCTCCACAGGTGTGTCAAAAATGTTAAAGATAATTTAAAATATATATCAAGTTGTAACACAAATTGTATCTGCCTGTAGAGCAACAGACACCAGTCCTTGCAGTACCAGCCTGGCACCACAGTTCTGACTTATGATGAAGAGCTGTCCATGTCTCGAGACCAGCCAGTATCTTTGGAGGCTTTACTTGGACATCGCACGGACACTGAAGGCTCATCCGGTAGTGAGGGCAGCCACGGGACAGGAGACTCCGGGCGCTACTCTCATGACGAGACAGAGCTCACCAACCTGTCATCTGGTCCAGGGAGTCGGCCGCCATCTTTAACTGACGAAGACAGTGGAGACAACGGCTTGAATCAAAACTCGAGTGAACTGAAGGAGGCTACAAGGACTGACATGGAGGCTATTGACGTGCGCTGAGAATGGCCACAAAAACAGCTCTGCACTTCCCCCCCCCCCGAATGTGTGGTAATGTATGAATGGGAGTAAAACAGTGCAGTGGCAGCAGTTGAATATTCAGGAAATAGAAATAGCGGCTATGCTTACCAAACAAGCTGATACTATCTGAATTCTGGAGTTATCCGATTATTGAAATGTCATAAACAGTTACATCGGATGTGAGTAATCTGATTTCTCTCTGATTGCTCACACCTCTCTGATTGACAAGAACCACCTAATGTGGCAAGAATAAGAATAAAAGAGAAAAGATTAAAAAATGTTTAAATTGAAGGAATGATTTTAAATTTCTTTCAACTCTATGTCTTTCAAATACAACACACAAAATCAAACTAAATTATTTGCTTATCAGATTATTCTAGTTATCTGATTTATACAGGTCGTGTAAATCCAATCCAATCTGAAAATAATTTGCCAGGTTATACAAATCTATAAGTACAATGAGGTCTGCTTGCTGCAACTGCACTGTTAGCCTCAGTATGAATGTGTCATGTGGATGTGAGAAAAGGGTCCAAATTACCTTATGACAAGGAGGTCAATAGTTATACAAGACTCTCTTTTTCAATGTCTTTTCAATAGTTTGTTTTATATTTTATTTGTGGAAAAAATCTCACCCATCATGAATGTCTAAAACAATGTCAAGAATGGAAACATGCTTGACTTTATTTAAAAGAGTTTATCACTGGAGCAAAAGGGAAGAGTAGGCCCTTTTTTGCTGATTTTCTACCTGTGTTTACCTCAGGGTAGACTTCTACTGTATTTAATTACTACTTTTACCTACGTTATGTGAGTAGCTGCTTTGCTTACTTCACATTTGATACTTCCTGATTACCTTTTCTTACTTTGTTTCTTGTTTGTTGGATGGTAAGGGCACAGCAGTGTACACTCCACTGTTGTGTTGACTGAAGAATTTAGGACACAACTCCAAATTTCTCTCCTAAAATGGAGTTAATGAGCCAGTATTAGTCCTTTTCCGTTATTAAGTAATGGAAAACAAGTGAATGTCTGCCTGTTTGTCAATGTGCATCTGCCCTTGCTGTTTTATACTACCTCTTTAAAGAATTTATTTTATTGACTTTTTGTTTTCCTAAACTCAGGGAACAAGGTTTAGTACAATTTGAAAAGCTGTGTAAGATGTTACATGGTGATTTGACAGGGTATTTATGTACTAAACCGCTGTAGTAATTGCCTATATATGTGAATGTATCTGGACTGAGTGAGCCAGTTGCTCAGATGATTGTGATGCCCTCCATCGCAATTACTCCTCAGGTTCTAAATGGTTTGTGTAAAAACAAGCCCATCTTCCTTTTTATTCAGAAGTAATACACACCAGAAGTGCTTGAAACGGTCTGTCGCTTTATAATTGGCCTTAATGCACAAAGCACTCTCAGCTCCCAAAACCAAAGCTAATCTTTCTGAGGGTGAACTTTGTGTAAAGATGCAACACAAAGAATGTAGGAGCATTAAATGGAGGTGTGAATCAGTTGTGTGGAGAAGTGAAGAAAAACAGAATACAATAAACCTTTTACAGCATAAAACTATATTTTTGTTAGAAAGTTTGTGCCACCCAGTACATGTGTAGTTACAGTAGTTTTGTTTCGCTGTAGAGTAGATAAAGATTAGCACTTGTCTGCCGAATAGTTTAGCATTGTAAGCCAATGTGCATCGGTGACTGCCTGATAAGTTGTTTGCTTTTTGAGTTTTATTTTAGATTCTTGTCTAATCCCTGGCAGAAGGTTACTGAGCTATGTGAAATATTTCTTTCAGACCAAAGATAAAGGCTGCCTTGAGGTGCCTTGCACATTAGTGGCCTTACCCGTGATCAGATGAGCGAGAGTTGCGGGGTGACTCTAAATAAGTGCCCATGAAATGTAAGGGCACTTTATGAAGATGGAGTGACAATTAATAATCAGTATTATGCACCAAACTAAATCAGTCTATCAGTTCCCTCCACGCTGTTGCACACAATAGGTGAATTTTATATTGAGTAAGACAATTTATTATGCAGTTACCTGCGTTGCAACGGTGCAGTGATGTGTATGAAACACTAGACCAGAAAGTACAATATCTTAAATATAGAGATAAATTTAAATCCACTCAACCAAATATGTTAATATGTTCACACAAATGCCTTGAACACAGTGAAAATGCAGTATTACCTTTATTTCCAGTGTTAATCACATTGGTGGCTACAGTGTTTTCACATTGCTGTATTTAATCAGAGGGTTCTGGAGAGGATTCAATCAGGTGACACAATCAGTTTAACTTTCTTTTGAAAAGCAAACAGAGGAAACCAAAGATTATTTTATAGGGTCACCGTTGCATATTGGCATGAGATGTGTAATCATGCCTGGAAGCAATGATAAAATGCAATGTATTGTACAAAATGAAAGCAGGATTTGAAATGGTACTTAGTTTATGTAGATCCTTTACACACATTTTATTGTTTTGTTATTTTCTCACATTTTGTTTCAGAAATAATGGAAAGTTGATTTTATACGTTTGTCTTTTTCCAGTATTCCTGTATTTATTCCAGTGGCTTTGAAGGCACCATTCAGAATCTAAAATCATTTATTGATTGGATTGTCTGTACAAATTGTTTGAATTCATTTCAGCTGTCACCTGATTTTCAACTGGGTCTTCTAGCAGTCTAGTTAGTCCACAGTAATCTTGTCCATTTCTGTGAGAACAATGAAAAATGACCTGGGATTTGCTCAAGTTCTCTTTCATCTTTTAAATTGTGCTTTTATTTGTTTTTGTAAGCATGTAATTTAAAGGGGAACATTAGGAGGCCTCATCTGTCTTTGGCTTGTGCAGTTGTGTTGAGTGCTGAAGGTAATTAAGTTAAACTCAGGGAGACCCACAGCCTCAATGGAGGAGCAGGCTTCTTAAAAATGAATGTATTTTGTAATTATTTACCCTGTTTATGCTTTTTATTTGACATTTTGCATTTAGGTCCAACAATGTTTAGGAGATTTTAGACAAATGAAAGTATGATTCTCAATTTTAAATAAAAATATGGAATACATTTGTCAAATTGCGTTTTCTTTCTATATCTACAGTTTTAGCATGGAGAGTATGTAAACTATACGCCCATAGGTGTCATGTGGCAACGCTGACATCTAGCGGCAACTGATTTAACTTTAATGAAGTCAACTCACCAAATTAATGCCATACGGTCAACGCACAAAAAGCTCCACGTTTAAACAAACAGCCTCAAACTGCAACATACAGACCCCATGCATCAGAGCGGAAAAAGTGCTTTACAGGTGAGCTAGTAATTCTTAAGCAAATGAACTCTTGAAATGAGTAAGACAAGCAGTCTTTTTTTAATGTCGACCATTTTTTTGGCCTAAATAAAAACCTGGGCGGTCTGCCTTGTCACGCTTCCTTGTTTATGTTTTTTCAGAGAGGTTTCTACAGGGTTTCGCCACCCTTGCAAAACCTGTCTGACTGTCGCAATGCCTCATGGGTAATGACGTTTTTTAGGCGATGGGCACTACTTTGAAGGTTTGCACGTAAACTACAATACCCACGTGTCCACTCGAGGAGGGCTGCGGCATCGTTAACGGACTATTGGCATACTTCATAATTATGTTGGCGCTTGCGAACAGCTGTCCTGACTAACGCTGTTCCGTCATTATTTTATTTCAACTTTTTATCAAGTGGTCGTGCATAAGGTCGTATTTACAGCACTGGGAAACTGGAAAACAAACGGAGGGATCCCGCGGTAAGCTGTGGTGGTCAACTTACATCACATCAGTGTTTAGTTATTTTAATATATCGCTAAAGAGCTTGTTATGTGACAATGATTGTGAAAATACCCTAGCAATGTCGCTGTCCGTGTGTCAAAGTGAAGGTCGATGGTTCTGCCCGTTTTGTTGTCCTCGTTTCTTTGTGTTATTGTTATGATCTATCACCACTTGGGGGCACTGTCATTCAAAATAAATGCTCAACTGTTTTCTATATAATCTATAGGCCTACAGTCTCTGGAGCAAACGCAGTGTAAAATAATAATTGTAAAGCAGATCTTCAACAGAACAGATGAGCTAAGAATTAGACATGGCTTGTCATATGTGTCATATATGTGTATCAAATATTTTAACACAATTAAAGCATCAGTCAAGTGTCATGTTTAACCACCATCTAACCACCCTGAAACATTTGTCTCTTCTCTGTAGACAATTGATCAACATGTCAGGAAGTGATACAGAGTCATCCTGTGGATGGACCTTCATCAGTAATGAGGTAATGTGTGTTTATGCTGTTATGTTTATCCTTGCTTACAGCAATGGTCCCTAAATAATGTTTGTTTTCAGGGTTCAGATATTGAGACTTTAGGAACTGAGGCAGTAGAGGATGTAGAGCCTGCACCAGTGAACTCTGACCTGCAAAAAGTCACTTTGCTTGATTGTAAGTGATGTTAAAAGTGAAATGAATAAAATGTTATATCTATTAGAAATCAGCCACATACAAAGGTTAGTTCTAGCCTGATATATGATTATACTTCAAGATGACCATGCTGAAGTGAAAGAAGATTCACTTGATGTCACTATGCTTGATTCAGCAGAGGTACAACACCTTAAACATAAAATGCAGGATATTTAGCCTGTTCTTACTAACAAGGTTTTGTAACTTCTTAGACTGGAGTAAAGGCTGCCAGCAGTGAGCATGTGTCTCTGTTGTCATCAAGTGATCACTCAGACATTTTGACACTTGGAGACTTAAAAGAAGATGAGCCGGTCACCACAGAGGCCTCTGAAGAGCTGTATCTTGGGATGTCCTGCAGCAGCCAATACACCTTCACCTCAGCACAAAAAGGTGAAGCATTAGAAATTAGACATAGACAACAGTCACACCAAATTGTATAAAAGACAAGCCTAAAGGACTCAAGCATCTGAGCAAACAAGTTTGACAATGTCGTGCTCCAAATGAATTGATGTGTCATGAACATGTCCTGATGGGATTGTTGTTTGCATTTGGAACTGTAGTGTGTCAGATTTGTAATCAAAGTATATTGTTGGTGGGTGGTAAACGTTAAATATACATATGTTGTCAGAGGCATGTTTTTCTCTTGTGAGAGTCACACAGTCTAAGGTTTACATTTTGTGACATATTTTCTAATATACCATCATATGTTTTGCTACGCTCATTGATTAAGCAGGTTTGATGATGATACGGTGGGAACTCCCTCAGACCATTCTAAACTTAGGCCATCACTTGAAGGCTCCACTCCATGGAAGTCGCTTTCCAGGTCTAAAGACTGCATCTACTGCAATGCTATGTTGTCTCACGTTTGCATTGCTCTTATACAAATATTCTAATATGTGGCATGAACATGCATGCACTAGTTTAAGTGAAGATATATTTAAAATGAATTGATGAAACCACAAAAATTGTGACTCTCAAACAGGCCTCATCAGAACTAAACTAGGTTTAAAGAAAAAATTTTTCAACCAGGATAAGCACCAACTTTAAAACAGGGACAAACTTATGTACCACAGTTTGAGAACCACTACACTATAATACTCACATTCTGAGCATGGAGTTTGGTGTGGTTTCTTATCAATTAGTATCTGGGTGTTGAATGTTTGACAGCACTATTTGAAACTCAGCAGCACCTTTTAGTAACCTTTTTTCTGTGAAGTTTTTCCAGTGCAGCCGCTGGTTGTGCCTCACTCGAGCAGCAGTGAGGAGGAGCCTGACCCGAGCTCTGAGGCTGTAGTCCGAAGACGTCGCGTGAGAAGAAATACTCCGAACACCATGACAGGAACAGACTGGGACAAGGGGACTGAATCTGACTCAAATGAGAGAGAAGAGAGACCCCAAGAGCAGGGCAGAGCCGAGGGAGATGAACCCATACGAGAAGCACAAACCAAAGGCAGCAGCATGCTCACTACATGCATCTTACTGGCTCTCATTATAGCTATCAGTACAGGCTTTGGACACCTCTATAGTAAGAAAACACTCATTTTATCTACATAATGATCACTTATCATTCCTTATTAGGCTTTGATAACTGGTAATGGTAATGATATTTTTGATGTGAAACACAGGTACTAATCAGATCCAGAAAAGACAATTTGTGGATGAAATTAAACTGAATCAGCTGGATGGATTGAGAGACCTTATTTTTCACACTGGAGAGCAGGTCAGTGGCAGCAAACCACATTTCTATCCTAAACATTTTGATTGACTATAAATACTGTACTGTTATTCTACAGAAAGGTGATCTGAGCCTAAAGGACCTGGATATTCAAAAGGCAATTTCAGTGCTTTCAGAAACTATTGATAAGATAAAAAAAGAAAATGAAGACCTCAGCATAAAACATGCACTAATACAAGTAAGTAAATGTAACAGGGAATGTAAAGGGCATTGGAGGTGGTAGTAGTGCCTGTAATTTTAGTTTATGCAGACAGAACCAAACATTTAAACAACTGTGTAAGCTGTTTGAATAATTCAGAAAAAATAGACCTGTAAATTACTTGCTTCTCTGTAATCATAGTCATAATACAACAATACACCATTTTCTCAGATACTTACAGTTTATATGCACTGAGTGGTTTATCTGATCTAACATGCTAATACATCATTTGGATTTGGATAAAGATTTGCCTTGGGCTCCTCTCTTTTTTATATGGCCCACTAATAGTAAACTCTGCATGTTAATAGTGAATTGAAACGTAAACACATGTACTACTTTGTTTTCAACCAGGTTCAGAGGCATGAGCTGGAGGTGCTGCTGAAGGCAAAAGCTGAGGAGAAGAACCAAATTGAATCCCAGCACCAGAGTCTGCTGAAAGAGAACCACAATCTGAAACACTCGCTGGAAAAGGAGGAAAGGTCACTGTTTGCTTTACAGGGGGAACTGAAAACTCTACACCTGGCAATGAAAGACCTCGAAGCCATGAGAGCAGGAGCAGACTCGCTGCTGTCTGAAAACCAAAGGCTAAAGGCTGAACTGGAGGAGGAGAAGGAGGTGATCCGCAGCTTTAGTGCAAAAAGGGAGGATTTGATGATTGAAGCACAGACATTGAGAAAGAAGCTGGACAAAGAGCGCAAGGTGGCTGATGAGTTGAGAGGAGAAATTAACAAACTTAGACAACAGATCAATGGAGCAGAGAAAGCAAAGGACCTGCAGTCTCACCTGATGGAGCTGGAGAAGCGTTTGAGCTTTGAGCAGCAACGTTCTGACCTGTGGGAGCGTTTATACCTGGAAACTAAAGAGGAGAGAGCTAAAGGGGACTCTGAGCCTAAAAGGAAATCAAAATCCAAGCAGGGCATGGCAGGAAAAGTAAAAGAAACATTCGATGCTGTGAAAAACTCCACTAAAGAGTTTGTTCATCACCACAAAGAGCAGATCAAGAAGGCAAAAGAGGCAGTTAAAGAGAATCTCAGGAAGTTTTCTGATTCTGTAAAATCCACCTTTAGGAACTTTAAAGATTCAGCATCTACCATCTTTAACAAAGCACGAGGGTTTTACGACAAGAGACACAAACATAGAAATGCAGATGAGACATGGCAGCACAGATCGGGTAAACCACATAAGAAACAGTTCAAATTAAATTTTGACTTCTTTCAGAGCAATCACTTTTCTAGAAATTCTGGCAATAAAGTTCACGAGAAGTTTAAGCCCCAAAGTTGCTCTGAGGTGTTCGACTGTGCTTATCAGGAGTTCATGAGTCTCTTTAACAAAGCCGCTGAGCCCATACGAGCAGATGAGTTCTACCAGCTACTGCAGAGCTACCTTCAGAAAGAGGTCGACCATTTCCCCTACTGGATAGAGCTTGAGAGGTTCATAAATAGCTTCTTTCACAATGGTTTATTTATACATGACCAAATGCTGTTCACTGACTTTGTTAATGATGTTGAAGACTATCTCACTGATTTGTACAAGCACCAAGGTTTAAATGAAGACTTTTTTGAAGATCTTGATGATTATATCTACAAGCACTTCTTTGGCGAGACATACTCCAAAAATTCTAGACCAAGGTAGGGTTTAAAAGACCTTCTTGGTACTTGTGTCTTTGTCTAACTTATCTTCTTACACTTCCTCTACAGCGGACCAAAGGAGGATTTGCGTGAAAAGCATCGCCGTAAGCAAGATAGGTCGAGACATAGCAATGAACGCAAATGGAGTAGATCAGAGCAAAACAGAGACAGACACATGGCGGATGTCAAAATAGAACTGGGACCAATGCCTTTCGATCCTAAATATTGATTCTATCTGCACTCATCTTGATATTTACACTTTGATTTTCAATTTGAATTTACTGACTGCTGTCTGAGCAATTATCTCGTTGTTACCGTTTTTTAAATTTAATTTTATTGACAATAGGAAGGTGTTTCTCATCAGACGAGCTTTCTAATGATACAGGATCGATTTGTGATCATGTAGGGTTCAAGTGTAAAAACTTATCAAGTTAACAGAATCAAGAAAAAAAATTCAAGATCATAGTTTATGGTGTTGTTTTCCTATATCTGTAATCTACATTATAACTTTCTACCACTGCTTTCAGTAACTTGATCTGGGACAATAATTCAAGTGCTTTAATGTAATTGAAAATAACTGATTTCAGTAAAACAAAAAAAAAGTTTAAATATTTATTAATACCATGTTCATCAGTGCCTTTCATAAATAAAGATGTTTCTTCCGACTCTTCCTTCTGGAAAATGAGTATGAAAGATTTCTGCTGTCCTCACAAAGTTACTTCCTTGCAAAAATCCAGATATGTCCTATAAAAATAATGTGAGCATTAAGTTGGCACATTCAGTAATTTTATTTACTGATCAGACTTACCTTTTCCAAAACATCAAACATAACTAGGTGACTGGGCAGAGATGACTTGTATGGAAAAGAAGCTTTAAGCCACTGAAGGGGGTCATCATAAAATATGGCAGACTCATCCACATAACTGTCTCCAAGATTTGGTGGGCATTCAAGAAATCTCATACTTATTGGGCAGTGTAGGTGGCTGCCAATATATTACAATAAGGTCAAATTGGTATCACACTGGTACACTGTAAAGCGCATAAAGTGGCTACATTTCTCTTTCGCTTCCTTCTCTTTGATTCCTCGATTATGCAGGAAATGGATGAGGAAGGCCTACCTACAGAGGAGACACAGTGAGGAGAGAGGATATAAACCCCTCACTGAGACCAATAAAGTTTGATTATTTTATCTAATGTCTGCCTCCTGAAGCCTCCCTCATGTTTACTCCTTCCTTCTGCGGTTTTCTTTGGGATATCACTTAATATGACATTTAATTGACAGCTAGAAAATAGAGGATCAAGGAGAGGAATCAAAAAGAAGGAAGCAAGGAAAGAGAAATGAAATGCAGCCAGTGACAGATATTTGGGATGGGTACCTGTAATAAGGAGTGGAGTGGCAGGGCATTAAAAAGAGTACATTGGGTTGTAAATTGTTGCTGCGGCTGACATCACAAAGACTCTGTAAGTGGCCCATAACATCGAGGGTTCCTCTCTGGTGGATCAAACCAGTGTACAGAGCTGGTATTAAGTTAGACACAACCAAGATGGCAGCTACAGTCCGTTGCCATGCTTTTAAATTAGCCAGAGAAATGCCTGTCAATAATATAGTAATATAGTTGTTAGGATGTTTTACAATTGCTGTATTTGTAATGTATTGCTTGAATACACAGGAGCTCACCGCAAAAGATCATACAAAACGGCAGCACAGGGTAGATAAACCTGAATTCCTTATGAGGTAGAAGGCTGTTAAAAAAACAATAATGATGAAGTCCATAAAGGAAATACAGACTTCATATTTAATAGACAGCACTAGAAGGCGTCATACACCATCATACAAACAGCAAACAAGACCAACAAATTTTAAATAGTAAGCTTGATTTTAAAATGTAACTTTTTTTTTTTTTTCAAACCTAAACCTAGACACAAAACTGCTACAAAGAGCAATTAACACTGAACTAGGGAAATAATGGCTTTAAATCAAAACTACTACTTCAGTTTGAGGCTAAGGTCAAATGTGAAACACTAACTTATAGCTCACCTGTAGACCGTTAATGTCCAGATAATGGTGATCAGCAGAATCTTGTAGCGTCTGAAGGCAACAGTACAGCCATGAAGAAACAAGGGAAGATTTGGCCCAATCACAACAGGGAAGCCCTGCGTGAAGTACCAGTGCCACGGATGGGAGCCGTAGAAGTCTGCTACCCCATGGAAGATGTTCAACTTAATAAAATTAAACTGCACAAAGGTCAACTGTGAAGAAGACACAACAATATAACAAATGGTTCTGACTTAGTCAATAAAAAAATATTTTTTCACATTTTGTATGCTATGAACTCTGCTAAATGGTGTACGTTGCGTAAAAAAGGCAAGTTTTCTCCCATTAATCAACACAATGGACTTACATACATACATACATACATACATTTATTAACACATGGGTTGTATCCGTTAATGTGTAACAGATTCACATTAACTATTTCAACTGATGGCAAAGTTGTGTGTAATAGTGTGCAAATTTTTAAATACTTGACCATGTTTTACCTTGCCGTAGAATATACAGTCAATCGTGGTAGAGATTGTAATTGCCAGGACCCTAAAAGTACATAGTAATAAAATGAAATTCACAATGGTAAATTCTGAGAGATACAAACAAGAACACTGACCCTATGAGAGCATATTGGTGGATTATAAGTTTCAGTTTGTTCTCTTCTTGCCAGAAATGGTAGATTATCAATGGAAACCAGACAATCAACGCAGTTGGACGCACAAGTACAGCTAAGGCTACAAGTGTAAGATATTTCCAGCTGTCAAAATAACAGATACTTCAAAAATGGGTTTAGAGTGTAAAAAATGTCAACATCAAAGATGGCAGGACCTGTTCTGAGATCTGGATCCAGGCAGAGGAAAGTAACACAAGGCTAAAACAGTGAGTGTTGTCTCCATGCTATTGGTCAAGGTTCTGGTGCAGCAATACCAAGTAAACCAGGAGGTAAGGTGGCAAAGAAACTGAGGAGATATAAAACATATTTAACTAAAACATAATTCAAAAGCATGGTTCAAAGTAAGTGATTAGATTACCGTCCATTTTGCAGTATCACTATTTTCCAAGTTTCTTATGAAAAAGAAAAAAATCACATCTGCAAATGCTGCCAGAAGAGATTGAAGGATTCGTGGGAGCCATTTCTGTGAATCATGAGAATTATACTATATATAAAGTAAACCATATAAAAACATAGACGCAAAAATGAACTGCAGCTACTTACAAGCAATTGGACGGCGTCATAGTTCAAATAATATAATATTTTATAAACAAACGCAAACAGGAGAGGATAGGAATATCCTCTAATGCCCTCTTTCCATTCCCAGGTCAAGTATCCATAGGTGTCAGTATTAAGGAAACCACAGATGGAAAATAACCCTGCACTATGGCCTAGTTACCCATTACCAATTACCTGGAGCTTATTGCATTCAGTTGAGTAAAGCTAATTGTTTCAATTTGTAACACAGCATTTGCTGAGCAAACATTCATTCATTATGATTTACATATTATGATATGATATGTAAAATACAGCAGGAAGGATATTTGAAGACCATATGATGTGAAACCTCTAGTGACTGCCAGTACTCATCTGGAACAAAGCTGGTTTGAACCAGGAAGCAGTTGACAAGTCTGAAAGCCACCACAAACAGGACCAACCGGACACCCAGCGCACCTGTGCGTTAAATACAGCACACTATATTATAAATGCAACACTGACCACCACCAAGGTGGTCTTCATGTACACGTTTTTCACTCTCCAGTTGTGCCAAAACGGGACTGACCACAGTTGAGAGGACAAGTGTCATCTTTGGAATAAAGTTGAGATTTTCGTTGTCTTAATTTCACATCTTCTTCCTTGTTCCCTAGCCTTAAACGTGATCGGATGTTCTCCATTGGAAAAATACAGCTTTAAACGTAGCTGCCATTTGCCTCTAGCTGTGTGATGGTAAAATATGTCCACCTGCCACAAGAATAAAATCAGTGCATTCATCTCTGGAACTATGAACCTCACACCCAAACTATTTAGTCTGAAGACCGACAAATCTTACCACTCAGCTTTTATTCGATCCTCTGAAGTATTATCTTGTTATAAACTCTTAAAAACTGTATCAACTTCAAGTTGACCACTGGCGCTGCCGCGTAAAGTTTTCCACAACCCTTTAACTTCCGCTGTCCCCTTCAAATTAAATGCTCAATGAAGCCTTTGCATTCGGTGCTAAAAGAGTAGATAGATAGTTGTATCTAGTTTCGAGTGCTTATTAAGTGACTTTGGGGGTAACTGAGACACGAATGTAAAAATCTGAGAATATTATCCATGAAGCTGATACGTAAATAAAAAGTGTTCCATGTGTTGCACCAGCAGATGGCGTACTACGCTCACCCTCGAGCATTATGCCGTAGAAACAGAGGGGTTTCCGGTCTTCCTCCTCTCGGTTGAAGGAAAATCAAATTCCTCCTGTTGTATAATCGTGTGTGGATTGCTGTAATCCGCTGAGTGAACCCGGCACCGAGGTAAGATTCAAAGAAGTACAGCGCTTCAAAAATCAATCACTGAAATAATGAATAAATAAGTTTATTCTGGCCGTAGGCCGTATAGTTCTTGCGGTCAGAACAGTATGTGTGAAGTCTGCAAGCGATTCAAGAGTGACACTGAAGTGCCGCCGAGGCTTTCAAAATACACCCAATAAACCAAAACAAGATTCCCTTAGAGATCATTATAAGCAACTTCTAAAGCAGGACTAAATCTCGTCTAAATTCAAACAAAAATGCCAATAACATTTACTGTAAATATATTAAATAAAATGTGTAAATGTTTGTTTCAATTAAATAGCTTATTTATTTATTTATGTATTTATTTGTTTAAGCTTTTATAATATATGTCTGAGCCTATAGCAAATTAAGAATATTTTGGAATAACTGTTTTTTGTGTGTGTGTGTGTGTGTGTGTACAGGAGCAAGCTTGAATTTCCTTTGAAGAAGTTATGATTCGACACAGGATAAGACTGCCTCTTACCCAAGTGGCAATGGCCGTTCTAATTGGAATTGCTGGAGGCGTTTATATTTACAAACCATGCTTTGAACCAGTACGAACACGGACTGCAACATCTACAACAAACCAGATGAACCCAGAAGAGCAAAAGAAAGAGAATCAAACAAACTGACACTATGTTATGTTCCAAGAGAGAAAGTATATATATACATATATATACATATATATTTTTTTTTTCTTTAATTACTGATGTACACACATTTTGTTTGGAGTGCATGCATGTTTTGTCATTAGTACATGTTTTAAAGGTGCATTATGGAACTTTTGGGATAAGAATCTGTCACCTGCTTGTCTCCACGGAGATGTTATTACGTTGTCTATAACGTTTCATAGCAGTTACACTCAACAATCTCTTGGCCATGGTAGCAAGCAGGCGACAACCAGGCCAAGTTTCAGGCCTGTGTGGAAAGTTGACCCCCAAAGAGTAAAATTTGTGTTATTTCATAAATGCAAGACATACAGGCAAATCAGTAACATCAAGCAGATGGCAGACCCTCTGCCGGAAAAGTTACATAGAGCATCTTTAGGATCACTTTAGGATCCATGCCAAATTATACTGTGCAGCTGGTGTGACCGTTATACTATTTTAGGGCTCAGTGGGTTTTGTCCATTTGGCTCTATGATGGCAGCCGTCCCATGCTTCCCACAGGGATTAAAATTTATGGACGAAAACAGCACTGAGTCAAGTCTCTGAGAAATCTACACATTCATAGAGCTGTGGCCTGGAGAGACAGCAAACTTATATAGATGGCTATAACTATATTTTAATATGTTATTGATCGATATAGGCAAAAAGTGACATACCCAAAAAATGTATAAATAAAATAATTCAAACGTACCTAAGGGAAACACTATACTTTAAAATGTTCCTTCCATTTACCTGTTTTATGTTAATTTGAAGGTCATGGATGCTTTGTCCATGTATTCTCCACAGTGGCTGATAATCTGAACTCCACGTTAAAGCGAAAGGTTGTTTTTTTTTTTCCTCCATCATCACAGCTAAAGCCGCGAGGGGTGGAGCTGCTGTGCACCCGGAGGAAGGTGTAGGTAGTGCGCACTCAAGTGAGGTCGCTCTCATGTCACTAATGGCCCCGAGGAGACGGAGAAAGTAATTTTCAACTGCAGTTCACAAAGAAAGTAGTGAATAGTTTTACTCAAGAGAAAACACTTCGGAGAATATAAGAAACAGAGGCCGCGGGGCTGGTGAGTATAGGCTTGTTTTAGTACTAACTCTTTTCAGGAAATGTCAGGCGGTACGTGTAGCAACAATTTGAGCGCACCCTGAAGATAAAATTTAAAAGTTTGGCTACATTTTCCTTAATAAATGTACGGATCCCCATCACTGGCTTCATCATTTAGGTGAGGATGTATGCTGTGTTGAAACAATGTTTTTCCTCTTGCTCAGTAGACAATTGACCCTCAGTTTCACAACGCTTCTTTCAACTCAACATGTAGCAACATTGGCAGCCTGTTTCTTGCTCTATAAAGTACCTCTTGTTTTTGGCAAAGTGGAATAGTCCTGATTTTCTATGAGGGAGGTCACTTGATCTTGACAACCGCATGAGGAACAGCTGAGGGTCATTATTTTTTCTGTTTCACTTAATTGATTTTAAGTGTTTGCTTCTCAGTTTGGGAATGAGTTTACCTCTTCTTATTCAGTGCCAGGCCAGCAGACCCTGGTCATAACTAGAGATAAGACCCCATGAGGCCAGACTGTTAGTAAGAGCCAGATAAAATCCAGATATGGTGGAGTGTTTGTGTAGAGCTATTTCTGTTCACCATTAAACTCCATCCTTTTCATCTCGTGCAGCAGCAGCTAAGGTGATGTTTATGTGGTATTAGTAATCCGGATTTTCCAGAGGAACTGACGGCCTCACTTGGACGCTTGCCCAGGGTGGGTCTTCCACTTGACAAATGAGCGCAGGCTGGTTTTGTTTGTGACAGACCTGCCAAACAGTGGTCACTCCAGGTACCAGCTGCTCCCTGCTCTGTTTAGACAAGACATGTCACTGCCACGCTGCACTGTTTTGTTTTACTCTACAGACAGCCTAAGCCTGGTCCATATACCTACAAGGAAATATTCAACTAGCCTATTATACTTTTACAATATGTTACTCAATTAATGTGAATTAACTCTCATGTATTCTTTTAGTATTTATTTTTTATTGACCTATGAAACAATCATTTTTATGGTTGCCCTTTAGTATCACAAAGACAATAATTTAAAATAGTTCTTCTCACATTCATAGCACTAAAATTTGACACCCAGGCCTGATGTATTGCACTACTGTAACCAAACAGCTTACTGTACACTATGGCTTTCTATAGTATTCTCACATTTTCACTGTGTGAAAATAAATGGCTTCTTTAAGCACTTTTCTTGATGTTACAGCTCGTTTGAGGTAATTGAATGACACAGTTTGTTTAAGACGGCTGCCCGGCTCTCAGACTGTGTCTAAAAGGAGTGTACTGTCCTGGGATGCCTCAGTCACTGCTCACAAGGCTCTGTTGTCCCAAAGATGTGGGAAACATGAGGCTCTAGTTAAATAATATGTAACAGCAATTTAGATATCAGTTAAATACAATACTTTGAAGTTCATTTACAATTATGTATCTTAAAGAAGTCTCGAAGTAAAGCCTTGCAGTTCTCAGAAAGTAATGGTCAGAAATGGGGACAGGATATTCTTGCTCATTATTGCCTAAATACAAATAATCTTTCTGTGCCATCTTGGTTACTTCCTCTTGAGCTGCAAAGATAAGAAAAACATGTCTGTGTTTTCAAAAGTTTGCTTTTGTTTCCAGACATAGATATTTGATGCTGTGCACATTCTATGAGCTATGTTTATCTCAACATTAGTATGACATATTCACACTAAACTGCTTACTCAACATTGATCTGGTTTGACTTAACCATGATGACATGATGTAGAAACATAATTGGTTTCTGAAATGTGTCTTATCCTTTTCACATGTTTAAAATGTGAAACGTCTAATACTTTAATAGTTGAACTGGATCAATAGGAGTGTTCGAGATTCAGTCATTCAGCTTTGTTCTTTTAATGTCCATGAGCAATCCTCTGTGAGTGAAGCTGTGGTTTGAAGCAGATTTCAGGAGAAAGAAACTATGACAATTTTTTTCCTAAATCCAAACAAGTATTAGGGATGAACCAATCCTGCTTTCAATTCTGATACAGATTTCAATACTGTGCTGATACCCGGTATCAACCGATATGAATGCAGAGAATGCAAATTCCAAATGTTTTATGTAGCTGTTATATATCTCTCCAGTAATGCTGAAAAGCTTTATATAAATGCAAATCCAAAACATTATGAGACTTTCTTGACCAACTACGACTAGTAAATAAATCCCATTACATTAATTTATATGTTCCACCAGAATATCGGCTGAACCAAAATTTGGAAACCAATGTCCAATCCAGCAAATTTTACGGTATCAGATATCTGATACCAGTATCGGATGGGTACATCTCAAATTTTTGTTTAGGTTTAGGAATTTAGTATTGAAAGGTATTTTGTTGTTATTTACAATAATATTTAAACTACTAGAAAAACATAATGTTTGTCCTGGTATTTTTAATGTGTCTGTACAGGCCTTGGAAAATGGACAAAAAATATTTTTAAATTGAATTCACTGAAGCACAAAGTACAAAACAAAATGGACTAAATCATATGATCATGTGGCAGTAATAGGATTACCACTTTACTGATAATGAACAGGAATGAGCACAATAAAACAAAAAAATATATATATAATAAGCAAGGAATAATATTTTATTCCGTAGTTTAATGTTTTTTTTTCTTCCATATATGGTTCAGTTTGTGCTCATGGCCTTGGTGCATTTATCATGCGTCTTGCTTTTTCACGCATGTTAAGCTCAGATGAAAGGGTCAGTGGGGGTTACTGAGAAAGAATGTGAAGACTTAACTGAATACTTTTACACAGAGTCATGTGAAACATTTATGCTTTGATTTTGAGTTCCTTTTTCCATTAATTACATGGCATATGTGAAGGGTTACTAATACTCAAAATATTATTACTGAAACAGAAATTAAGATGAGGTTTACACAAGTGGAATTCTGGGAACCAGTTATTGCCTGTGTTTATTAAGCTACTACTACTGCAACTGTAAGTATTACTGTGACTGCTTCAGTCCAGCACCCCTTTGACTCTAATACTCAGTCTGTTGTCATCTATAGCTGTATAAAGCTCAGTCAGGTAAATGTTACTTTTCCTAAACCAATCTGAAGGATTTAAACACATGTTTGGTTTTACACAGGTCATTTGTGCAACAAAAACATTTTGAAAAAACTGTTCCTGAAATATATTGTTAATAAAACATATTATTCAGTGTATTTTAACTCTATTCATCCATGTGTGAATAAATATATCAGTAGAAGAATGTCTCTGATGCAGCTTCTGCACTGTGTGCAAATGCTAGATTGTATCAGTTTAATTTGCCTTTGGTGAATGTGATATCCAGTGCCAACTGCAAGAATGTATATTTATTATGCATTTGCACCCTTGTTTGTGTAAAATAATGACACTTGGAAGAGAAACGTCTTTACACCCCTCAGTCAGGTTGGTCTCAGTGTGCTTGTTTAGATGAAATCTCTTTTTACAGATCTTCATGGAGAAAATAGTTTCAGTCTGGGTGTGACAAATAACTTTTTGGTATTGTAGATGGGCAACCTCACTATTGTCAATCTGGCATAGGGCTACAATAGTGCTTACCACCACAGCATGTAGAGTGAATAATGTAATGTTGAGGTGCTATATAAATCTATCATTAATAATTAATAATAATATCATTATCAATAAGTGCTCTCAGACGAACCAGCTTGAGTCACTTTAATCATTTTAAACTATATAGCATGAATCTAAATTAAATTGTAAACATAAACAAACATAAATTAAATGAAACTGTGATATGAATTCATTCTTTCAGAAGATTGTGGTGGCCTTCCAGTCTTATGTCGCTGATAAACTAAAACTTAGCCAAAAGCAGTGCTAAATCCTGAATGACCATTAAATAGTGCACGCACAAAAACCCTTTGTTGAAATAACCCCTGCAGTTATGTATATTTTATGTTGTTGCGAGGTGAATTTTATTGTATGTTTCAGATCATTCACTCTCACAATGTCTGATGGGGACTACGATTACCTCATCAAATTCCTGGCTCTGGGTGACTCTGGTGTAGGAAAGACCAGCTTCCTGTACCAATACACAGATGGCAAATTCAACTCCAAGTTCATCACTACAGTGGGCATCGACTTTAGAGAAAAACGTGTGGTAAGTCAGAAGTACAATCAGCTGTAGACCTCTTAAACTGTGAAGTAACGAGCTCGCCACAAAGGCCTCCTGTGAATGTTGCAACAGGGATCTGAACAATGACTATTGCAGCACCCTCCTAAAGAGTAAACACCATATTAACTTTAGTTTACATAATGATCATTCTGTAACACTGACATACCTGTGCATGTAGCGTGTGTGTTGGCCATTGCAAAAAAGTACTTACACCATATAGTACTTTAAATAAATAGTGAAATAAGTAACACAAAGAGTATCCCAGGATTATCTGCATTTTATCGAGATCTAATAAAATGGAGGATCTTGGTTGTGGCTAATGCCCAGGATGTACACCTCTTATTTAAAGATCATGTCTCCATACAGGAGGAGCTCTGTGGGCAAATGAGATAATTCACAAAATTAAAAGAAGATGTTTATATTTAGACTTTTGTACTGCAAGTTTAAACATCTTAAAGTACAAATAACAATAATAAGTAGTGAGCAACTAAATATGTAAAACTAGTGCACATTGTTGAAACACATTTGACTTAAATTAACTACATGTTCATTAAAGAACTGAGTGAATCATAAAAGGCAATATGATATATTGTTATATTTTATTTATTCAGAGACTGCATATTACATATATTTAAACAGGATAGAGTAATTTCCATATAATCTGTTGTCTCTGGTATACATTCATAGCTTGTCACAGGCTTACTTTCTACATTTTTGATTTGTCTAGGTTTATAAATCCGGTGGTCCTGATGGCTCTTCAGGTAAAGGACAAAAGATCCACATGCAGCTGTGGGACACTGCAGGCCAAGAGAGGTACAAGATGCCCTGCTTATAGTGCCACAGCTCACCCACAACTTTTAACTCATTTTGTTTTGTTTGCTTTTAGATTTCGCAGTTTGACTACAGCATTCTTTCGGGATGCAATGGGTTTTCTCCTTCTGTTTGACCTCACAAATGAACAGAGCTTCTTGAATGTCAGAAACTGGATGAGTATGTATGAGTAATAAAAAAATATGTTGCTATTATTACAATTGAGGCTTTACTTTGATTAATCTACTAACAAAACCACCCAGAATAACCCAACAGAACAAGACACTCCCATATTAATTTATGATTGCATCAAAATTTAATATTCAACATTCAGTCATATTTTTCAGGTCAGTTGCAAATGCATGCATACTGTGAAAATCCAGACATCGTTTTGTGTGGGAACAAGTGCGACCTCTCCGATCAGAGGGCGGTCAGTGAAGAAGAGGCCCGAGAGCTGGCTGAGAAATACGGGTACGCTTAACCTGCACTCACCTATCCCACGTTTGTAAAAGAGGTAGTGGTTTTACTGTTTGCTAAAGTCTATACAGATAATGTCAAGCCAAGTTGTTCCTCCTTGAAAGGCAAATATTTGGATAAGATATGCTCTTGCTCCCGCCCTGATACACACATTGGAAGGATTTTTATTATATGGTCTTGTGTCCCACAGAATCCCCTACTTTGAAACCAGTGCTGCCAATGGTGAAAACGTGAGCCAGGCTGTGGATGTTCTGTTGGATCTAATCATGAAAAGAATGGAGCGGTGTGTGGACAAGTCCTGGATCCCAGATGGGACGGTTCGAGCAAACGGAAACGCAAACGCAGACCTGTCAGAAACTCAAGATAAAAACAAGTGTACGTGTTAAACAAAGAACTGCTTCCACCACTGGTTCATTAGAAAACAGCCAAGTTCAAGATTTCACCAAGTGTCTTTATGTACATTTTACATAAGAATGTATTTGTATGCTGCAATGTGTGGCAATACACATTCTGTGCCTATTGAAGGGGGGCATTTTTATTACAGGTCATATGCATCATTTGAAAAGCTTTGTATTTTTGGGACTGGTGGATATTTATTTCTTGTGAAGGTGTATACTTTTTCTTTCATGCCTTAAACATGGTGCCTATACTGGATGCTTTATTACAATTAAAAGTGTTTTGTTTTGTTTTTTAAATCCAACTGCAAATATTTTATTACACAATATTTATACTTCTTATGTGTCCACTGTTGGGCATCCTTGTAGACTCTGCTGCGAGTAATGGTTCTGTGTTTGACTGAACTGCCCTCTATGCTGTAATATATGCATTTGTTCAAAATCTAAGATAAATCTCGCCATGTCTTGCATTTAGGAAATGAAAAATTGTCAACAGCACCCTCTATCTGCAGCACAGTCCAATCTGTATTAAATTAGAATTGAAATTTTATAATAAGCCACTCTCTTATAAACTAAACTAAATATTAGAACATTGTTAAGTACTGGGGGACATATGGCTAAATTAAGACATAGAAGAAGAAATCAACAGAGGTAAAATTAAGGATTGGAACTCTCTAAGGCTGTAATGAATATGGATAGAATGTGAATATTTTTATTGGCTGTAAATAAGATCTGTGTGGCTACGAATAAATGTATAATATAGTAATAAATGTAATTTATATGTTACTTTTCCCAAATTATCTGTTTTATTACGCCATTAATTACTGTTGTTGCAAGTATGTATAGCAAGTATTTATACTTTAGTTTTAAGATGAGAAGAAAGTAGGGGATGTTATTTCTTCCCCATCATACACTTGTGTTCCACTAAGAGAATTAAAACCCTGAGGTATAGTTTACTATGATTGTACCTTACAGTTCATTTGAAAAAGATCTTAAATATGTCCAAAAATAAAACATATATTTATGTAATTTTGCTTTTCTTTGCTTTACACCTAAATAATACAAATGAGAAGAGAACTGAACTGAGAACCTAAGAAGAGAAGTGATCATTTTGGACAATTGAGCAGCAAGGCTTAGATATGTAACTAAAGTAAAGTGTTGACCTAACGTTCACGCAGTATGTATGTGCGACACACCTTGACCTAGAGCGCAAAATTTGTTTAATCCTGGCAGGGGGCGCTCCTGAGCAGAATTGAGTAATCCTGCTACGAATTTTATCAAGAGAGGAAGAAAGGAAGACAACAAACAGAAACAGAAGTAGAAGCAGAGCAAAAGGGTAAAAACAAAAATAAATCGAAAGCCAAACATTTGAACTGAACTTAGACTTCATAAAAGCTAATAGTTATTGTTAGCATTGTATATTTATTCTTTTAATTTAATCTAACTCTCTGTATATTCTAAGATACAGTCTTTTACATTTTGCATTACACGTGTTTGTAATTGACAGTATAAAGTGCAAGTCATTTTAATTTCTTCAGATTTCTATAGTCTACATTATATATTTAACGGACATACTCTCATTGAAATGTTTTCTCTGGCTGAAAGAAGAAAATATCAGTTTCCACCCAAACACATAGGTTAAATATTTTAGGCGTCTAACTTATATTGCATTGATTGCACTTTCTTCAGTTTCTGGATATGTTGACTAGATGTATTGGTAAATGTTTGCTTGCAGAATGGCTTTCCACTTCTGCCCTCAGTGTGGAACAAAGCTACAGCCAGATTTTAAGTTTTGTCCCACTTGTGGAGAGAAACTGCCCTGTCCTGAGGCTTCTGGTCCAATAGCCTCCACCCTGCCTTCCACAACACTAGTGTATAAAGGCACAACTTCAAGTCCAGCTTGTGAACCCAAAGCTGGTGACTATATATATTTGGCTTTATATATGCACTGTTAACTCAAGTACTTGAATATTCATTTCATTTTTCACAGTTACAGCTTCTCTTACCACTAGTATAGTGTCATCCCGACCGCCACTTCACAAGACTCGTAACTCACTTCGTCTGGACAATCTGAGTATCAAAGATGCTTCTTCATCAGTGACATTTCCTGGAAATGTTTCCTTTGATGATGCAAATGAAGGTATGCCTCAGCTAAACTGGTGTCTACACATCAGTGCATTAATAAAATTGTATAGTTGTATTTGCGTATTTATATTTCATGCAGTAGGTAAAAATATGACCCAAGCTACGCCCCCAAAGACTCGTTCAGTCACTATTAAAACTGACAATCAAGGGGCTGCTTTAGAGTCTTCACCTTTAGCGAAATCGCCCAGAAATGGTAAGAATTACACCTGACACATATTTTTGGGGGAATGTTGAGAGCAATGTTGAAATTCTGTCTCCTTTGCTTTTCTGAAGTTAGGGGCAAAGCTAAAAGAAAAGCTGAGGAGATTGCAGGAGAAGCTGAGGTTTTAAAAGTACCATTGTCTTCACCAATAAAGTCACCACATTTAAAGTCTCCTTTAAAAGGTATGGGCAACCTATTACATTCCTTTTCAGTGGTCAGAACCCTTTAACCTTGTTTTTTGTTATGATAGGGAAAGGGAAATCTAAGAAGACAAAAGCTATTTCTGCTTTGGAGCCTCTTCATGAAGGGACAGAGGTGATGGACACCAATGGAAAAAAGTGGAAGTTGGTCAGATTGCTCAGCCAAGCAACAACAGAGCTCATTTATGAAGGTAACACTTGTATTTTATACATTATATCTTAAACTGAACATATAATATGTGTTTTTTTTTAGTTTCACCACCAAATGCAAAAGAATCAAACTACATTGTCAAACTTGTAAGTATAAATACTACTTAATACTCCTTGATATGATATAACATATTGTAACATATTGTTCTTTCCTTTTAGGGCGCAAAGGATGGCAAAATCTTTAATGAGCTGAATTTTTTGCAAAGAGCTGCTAAACCTGCATCAAGTAAGTCATACTTGAAAGAGCAATTTGTGTTACTCTGTTTTCACAAACTAATGAAAAGTGAACCCAAAGCAAATGTGTTTTATTGGGCATAACATAACATCTGTCTTTTTATAGTAGAAAGATGGGTCAAACAGCACAAGATGGATTTTATTGGACTTCCTCAATGCATTGGCTTTGGACTACATGCAGACTCTTACAGGTATGGTAATATGTGGTAAAAAATTTTAACAAGGCATTTCACAAGACTAGCAAATGTCTTTTTTCTTTTGTAGGTTTTTGGTTTTTCCAAACATGGGCCACTCTCTCCTATCTTTAATGAATAAACAGAATAGGTCTTTGTCAGAGGTTACAGTTCTTCAACTAGCATGCCGCATAGTAAGTACATTTTATTAGTTGTTATTGGTTGATTTTCAAGCTTTAAACTATTTATATGTTTATTAATTATTTAGTAGAAATTAGTGACATGGTTAATATATTCTATTGCAGCTTGACGTCTTGCTGTATATCCATTCAAATGAGTATGTCCATGCCGATATTAATGCAGAAAATGTTTACATCAATCAAGGACAAGGGTCACAGGTATATTTAATATTTTTTACTTAATTGACCCCTTTTTAAACACTAACTGGACTGGATTTGTGTTCAGGTCTATCTTGTAGGATACAACCATGCCTTCAGGTATTGTCCTGGTGGTCATCATGTGGAGTACAGAGAAGGCAGCAGAACACCAAATGAGGGTGCTGTAGAGTCCATCAGTTTGGACAGTCACAATGGTGCAGGTTGGTTACTGATTTATGCCAGATGTTTCTTTGGATTTCAAATATTAAAAGCACTTATACATATCTTTACAGTAGAAAATGAAGATGTGATAGTTGTTTTTTTAGACAAATATAATAGGGGTACTTCACTGAAAAACGCTTGAGCATACCCTTACATTTCAGCTCCATCTCGTCGCAGTGATCTACAGTCTTTGGGTTACTGTATGTTGTATTGGCACACGGGAACCCTGCCTTGGACTACATTGAGCCAACCTGATCGTATTGCTGCAGAGAAAAGAAGGTACAGCAATTGGCCTCAAATAATACAATGTTTTTACTTTTAATTCAGTTTGTTTTATTTGTATTTAGGTATATCAACGATGTACCTGGCCTTTTGTACCACTGCTTTGAGAAGAAGAAAGTGTCTGGTGGGTCAAATTCTTGGATCATTGTGTGGTAAACATTTTGATATGCATTGTGTTACTATGTACGTTTAACTGTCTTTTGTTTGTGCTGGTGAAGATGCTTTTCAGTCCTTTTTGTCGGCTGTGATGGCCCTGGAGTACAGTGAGCAGCCAGACTACACAGCTCTGAAGTCTGGACTCAGTGCAGCCTTAAACCAGCTAGGTGGGTGTGTGGAGCAGCCTCTTTGCATTTAGGCAGATCTAATATTTCAGATGGTCTAATAATCCTTTTACATAGTATTTTTTTTTATTCATAACTCCAAATGCTCCTGTGTTTTCCCTTTAGAATTTAGAGAAGTGAGAGTGGGACAAATGCAATTTCAACATGAATGTATTTGTTTAGCAGGTTTATATTGTTGCATTGTTATAAATAATACAAACTGTTTTAATAGTCACAATTTGCTGTGGTGTTAAGTTATTATTTGTTGAGTTTATTTCCCTTTTTTATTTCTCTGCTTTTAACACATTTGTAAAAATTACCATTTTAGGAATATTTATATGTTAAGAATACAGTAGCCAAATTTTGAATTTAAATTTAAATTTCATGCGGACTAGCTGTTCTTCTGGGCAAGCGTGATTTAACATTAATTATTTTAACTTGTGCCTTTGTTATTTCTGTCTACTTTAAGGAATTGTGTTTTAAAAATAAAAATCTTAAAATTGTGTGCTTCACGTTCTTGGTTTGTGAAATGTATTGCACTAAACCACTATGAGTCAGTCATAATTACAGTGTAGGCATATGGAGTCACCCGCAAAGACAAGCTGCATTTGTTTTAAAGAAACCTTTATAAAGTTTGGACATTTCAGAACATAAACGATTTAACAATTCAAGACATACAGAATTCTTTTATATGAAACAGTAAATATTTCTTGTGCACACTCTTAGTCAAAATAAACACTGTTCTCTTTGCTTGGTCTCCTCTGTCATGGCATAAACCCTCTAAATCTAGCAAGTGAGGCACTTTCTGAGAGAAGAGGCTTTTTAGGGCACGTTTAGCATAAAGAAGCTCAAACATAATATTGCGCCCTCTAGAGGCAGGTACACAGTACATAGTCACACACCTGATGGCTCCCATGTCCTGGAGCCTTAGCTTTAGCTTACACACACAAACAGCTGATTTGAGCTTTGATTACACACAATGGCAGTGTGAGGCCACTACACATGCAGATACATATTTTCACTGCAAAAGATTGAATGACCTTAGACAGCACAGCATTGGAGTGTTGTATATTCATGTTGTCCATAATGTGCCCATAAACATAAAATAATGTCCATAAAAAGAGGAATAATGGCAAAATGGCAAAAATAAAAAGTGGTTTTCAAGAGGACAACTTTAAATGTGGCAAAGATAGTGGCAATGTAACTTAATATTGATGAAAACAATGTGCTCATGAAATCTCTTTATAACCACATATGAGCCACCATAACACTGCAAATAGTAACATGTCTTATCCAAAAATACTGACAATTTTTGCTTGTAACCAGTGCTTTTTGAGAGAAAAACTAAAACAATCTTTTAAAATGCTTTGTAATAAAAAAAACAAAGTACAAGGCTCCTTGAGCCAGATCCTGAAATGCTTAATCTTTTGTTTAACGGACTAGCACAAAACAAGGAATATTTGTAAATGAGTAAACTAATGATTGCTGAAGGAGGCATCATTATGGGAGTATTGAAAAGATGAGGACACATGGGGACATCTTGTGTTTGGTGGTTATTGGACACAGCTGAGGCCAGAGTTGGTCATAACAAGGCAAACTCTGTTAAATGCACAAACCCCATCATAATGTGGGAGCCTGTTTGTCTGACCAATGAGAGGGACCATCGTGGGCCTTGAGACGCACAATTGGCTTGAGATAATCAGAGAACTAGCTATGGTCCACCTCCAATGGAAAGAAGACAGTCGTGGTCAGTTAGCTGGGCACCAAGGGCTCCTCCTGATCATGAAAAGTTGTTTCCTCTAAAAATAAACAAAAAATATGATGTATGTCATCACAAGAATCTGTGAGAGTTTAGAGTTGAACTGATCCTACCATGTTCCTCTCCCTTTTCTTGGTCAGATTTCTGTGGTTCTTCTGGCATTTCAATCTGACCCAAATCCTGCAGGTCAGCAACACTTGACTCCTTTGCAGAAAGTTTACATTTTATTTACACACAAGCATTTTTTTTTAATTTAAATACATTTCCCATACTTAGAATATATTAAAATCACCTGTGATTCAGAATAACGGTCTTCATCAGAGTTCCTAAATCCTTCTGGAGCCTCCATAATTATATTTAGATCACCATCTACCTCTTCATCACTGTAGAGAAATTGTTTTTGTTTATATTTGTCTGTTCTTAAATAAAAAAAGATGTTTGCTACTAAAAGTGTTTAAAAAGCTTATGTGAAGCCAGAAATAAGACCAGAATGAACATTTCTCAAAGTTGTGGCCAATATTTCACACCAGAGTTGGGAAATCTGACTGACAAAATCTTACAACCGTGGAAGCCCTTTTACCACAGACATGGTATTACTAACCTTCCTTCTGAGAAGACATCTTCCTTATCCTTATTCTCTGCAGTCTCATCTATAGATTTGTTATGGTCCTCTACTGACTGAATTTGGTCCACTTCCTGTACAACCTCTTCCTTTTGTTTGACCTCTGTCTTCTTTTGTTCACCATCATCAAGAATGTTGTCATCTTCCTCGTTCTCTCCTTCCTCATTCTCTTCTTCCTCCAGGTCAGAGCAGTTGAGGAAGTCAAAGCTTTCCAGAGCCGTTTCCACTTCCTGGTTGAAACTTGCAGATGTTGGGAAAGGAGCCTTAGAAGAATACAGGAGACTTACATTACACTGATAATAATAAGTGATTGTAATTAATAATAATTAATAATAATAATTTTATTTGAAAAATTGCAAGTATTAGCTCACCCCTGGAGATTCCGCTTCCTTCTCAGCATGGTTCACATCCTCATAGGATGGTGGCGGCTGGTTCACTTCTGTCTCCTCTTCATGTTTTTCTAGTGGCCCTTCGGTAAAGTCCCCTGTCACCACATCAGTCTCTGTAGTCTCTAATACTGAGTCTTTTTGCTGATCACAGCTGACCTCGGACAAACTGTCCACTAAGGGGGTGGGGGATTCGGACACATCCGGACAGGAGCAGCACAGGTCCACAGAGGTTTCCGAGAGGTCAGCAGACTGGAGAGATGCTCTGTCAGACACTTTACAGTCAGAGGAGGGTGTCTGAAGGTGACCATTAGGCACTTGATCATTTAAACAGAAAACCTCAGGCGCCTCTGACTCCTCCTCCTCCTGGTTAGAGGAGAGTGATGGAGTGGACGCACTAGATTTGTGTGGACTGAGTGAGAGCTGATTGGTGAGAGTGGTCTGTAGCAAGTTTGATGCAATAAGGCGCTGTGCTGGGTGAGCCAACGCTGGACTTGATGAATCATCAGAGGATTCAGATGAGTTGGACCACACGGTCCCATTCTCCACTTCACCCTGTCGCTTCAGCAAAGACTACAAACAAAAAGAGAGGCAAGGATAAATGAGAACAAACACTTATTATTATTTCAGTGATATGTATTTATGTTTATTGAGTTAAGCATTGCTTTAGTGTTTGAAGCCTACACTAGAGCAAGAACTATAACCAAAGCACACTGACTGTGGCATAGACGATACTCGGACTCGGAGTGTTGTACAATTCAATTGGCAACGCAAGTAGACCATCCAGGCCATCACACCATCGTGGAAATTGTTCACCAGTGAGCAGCTGTGTTGAAGCCCGTCATGAAGCCCACTCTTCGGCAAGGTGAGGAAGATGAGGGGCACATTGGAGCACTACTCAACCATTATTAAAGCTACAAGGACCACAGCTGCGTTCACACATGCTTGTGCTGTCACTCATTCTCCTACTACTACCATTCACCGCAAGACTTGCTCTGCTCCCCTCAGACATGCCCCTCACACACTGTGCTCTGTGAAGGCTCTCATCTGTACTACCACTACACAAAAAACAGTGGGGAAGCCGCTGAAATAGAACAAGCCATTGAAACAACAGTAATAACCATGAGCAAGACAAATAAACACATGGCATACAATAAACAGTGAATTTGATAATTTATGTATTTGCACTGTAGGTTTAATTAAGGAATTAAGGATGTAATAATCTTTCTGCATACTAAATAATAGGGTCTGTCCGTGCAGCTGCAGTAGAAAATGCTGAACATAAAAGTCGAAATGACTCACATAAAACACCTGCTCTCTCATGGAGGGCGTGTCCGGGGGGCTCTGGTTGGACAGCAGCCTCTTGGAGACTGTACTGCTGGACGATGTCGGATCATCCTTATCAAATGGACTGAAAACACACAGAAGAATTGTTGGGTTTCAGATGGTATGATAACACTACATTCTTGGATCTGAAAATCACCAATACAAACAAAGAAGAATACTTGCATTCACATGATAACATTGAAAAGTCACCTTAAATTTGTTATATCTAATAAATAAATAATAGTTGTTGTTAGTGTAATCCAGTGCTTCTCAAATAGTGGGGCGCGCCAGGCTCCGTCAAGGGGGGCGCGTTGGACCTCGGGGAACATGCTTTTTTATTTTTTTATTTAGATTTTTTTTACTGTCTTAAGGGCCGTTCACACCAAAGCGTCAAAAAACGCCTTGACGCCTCTATTTGGAGCCTTTGCATTTGAGTTTAGATGCCCCCGACGCGCTTCTTTGACGCCGTGGACGAACGGGACAAAAATACTTGACGCGCGTCCGTTGCCCTGGAAACAAGAGCCCGGTCCCGGTCTTTTCCCGAGTGTTTTTATGACATAAAAACATCAACGGAGGAGATCGGGTCGACGACTGGGGCGTATATATGTTTATACTTCGCTGACACTGGATCAGTCCCGGTCTAGTCCTGGTCTAATACCGGTCTATTCCCGGTCTAGTCCTGGTCTAATCACGGTCTAGTCCCGGTCTAGTCCTGGTCTAATCACGGTCTAGTCCCGGTCTGGTCCCGGTGTAGTCCCGGTCTAGTCCTGGTCTAATCACGGTCTAGTCCCGGTCTAGTCCTTGTTTAGTCTCGGTCTATTCTCGGTCTAGTCTCGGTCTAGTCGTTGTTTAGTCCCGGTCTTGTCCTGGTTTGGTCCTGGTCCGGTCCTGGTGTAGTCCTCGCGATCGGCTCGGTGATTGTGGCGTATATATTTATTCTCCGCTCATGTTTGTGGTTCTCTTCTGGTTCTGGGGTTTTTCTTCCTGATAACAACGTCGCTGCGTCTCTGGATACTCGTCCCTGATTGGTTGACGCTGCGCGTCTGACGCGAAAAGTTCAGCATTTTCAACTTGACGCTGACGCCTTGGACGCGCGTCTTGGCCGCTGACGCCAAAACGCTGAAGACGCGCCGCGCTGACGCCGAAAACGCGCCGCAAAAACGCAGGACGCTCTAGTCGCGCGTCCACATAGACTTTACATAGAAAGTGGACGCTTTGGTCTGAACGGGCCTTTAGAATAAAGTGCAATTGCACTTCCACTACATTAGGGGGCAGAGCGCTCTCATTGGCAGAGTGTGCGCAGGGAGCATTCGCTCGGTGGTGTAGGAGTTTTGTTTGCACTGAGCATGCGCGCTTTGCACACAGCACAGAGTTTGAGTATGAAGTGTAGACACGAAGTGTAGCAGACCC